AGTAAGCCAACTTGATTGTATACACATAATATTATTGATAAGCACCCCGTCCTGCAGTAAGACCTTCCAAAATAAGCAGGAAGAGAACATTCCTGGAACTTTAACAGGGCTGAACTGTTGCAACTGCATCCATCAGGACCTCTGTTGAACAGTATTATGCAGCAAGGGGATTTGGCGAGGCCCATTATTCAACTACGGGAGACAGAAAGACAGACAGACAAGGGAGTTCAGCATTTACAACAGACATTCATCTGACATTTTAGTTCACTACCCCAGTGAGATCTCCTTCCAAATATCTATGGTTCTTTCTTTTCCACTTGGAAGGAAGATCATAAATTGGAAGTGTAACATTCATATTACTCTACAGAATGATACCAAGGGAGCAAACTATGCTAACAGAAGAATGACTAAGGGCCACACTGCAATTCTTCTTACAACACAAAACTTCTATTAATTATTGATAACCTGCAGCACATGTTGGAACAGTTTGCAAACTGTGCGTTATCTTACCCGGCACCCGATCCTGATCCAGGTTTCTACCTTCTCTTCTCTGTCATACTGTTGCCAATAGAGACTTCTGTTCTACCACGTAACAACATTTTATTTCATCAGAAGTGCCCCTCTGCCTCTTCGGATTCCAAATTTAAAAATAAAAGGTCAGAATTCCATCGGAGAGGGAAAGTCACTCCCAGAAGTATGTCCTCTGATTAAAGTTGCTTTTTTAAAAGTAATTATTATTATTATTATAAAACAAAACAACAACAAAACTATCCGTCTTATTAGGAAAGGAACAGACAAAAATGCAACTATTTCAATAGTTAATTTTCAGTTAATGACACAAGCACAAACTCAAAACACTGTCCTGCTATCCAAAGAAACTGAACTTATCTGGATGCATATTGAAACATAAGAAAAAACTCCTGCAGGATGGGAGCATTTAAACACTAAGACATGTCACCCAAAGAGGTTGCGCACCCTCTTCCTTTGGAGATACTCAAAAATCTAAGGAACCTGTCCTAGCTAACCCTGTACTGAACAAAGGAGTTGATGTATATGATCTCAAGGCCCCTTCCCACCGTAACCATCCAATGATTCCTTTATTTATGGATCTACATTTCTGCCAAATAAGGTGACAGAAGAAAGGGGCAGAAAAAGGTAACGGGTTATTCAGATAATACATGACTGCTACAGATCTTTCCTGAAGTCATTTGTCTCCATTTCACCCTTCCTTTACACCCTACCTGAAATGTCTGAACAAGCCTACACAACTCAGAAGCGAATGCTTCCTTGAACACAAATCTGCATGAAGTTTTATCTATCATAAGGAAATAATGGCAAAGGAAACAGTGAAAAACAGCATTAAATAAGAATTACTCCCCGTAAGCGTACCATTCGTAAATGAAAGTACCTGGCAGAATCAGCAAGTCAAGCTGACTGATGACGGCACGTGCTCAGATCACTTTCTTTGCAAGAGTCACAAGACTTCTACCTAAAAAATAATTCCTAAGGCAGGTGGCCTTCGCTACGAGTCAGCTGGGGAAGCGTCCAACTTCATTGCCAAATACTAGTTCATAAGTTAATATAAAGGAACAAAACCTAAAGTTACTCTCATGCCCATACCAGTGTTTGACTGAACACATTAGCCTGATTCTGAACTCATATCAGTCTGCTCGGGAAAGAGCCAAACAGTTCCGTTCCTTCTCCTGCAGAAAACAGGGAGTATCATATGAAGTTCTCAGATAACAAGTTCAGAACAGAACAGAGGAATGACTTATTCACACAACACGAGAAGTCTAGTGGTGCTTGCTGCCAGAACGGTGGTAGATTCCAAAACAATACACAGACTCAAGAGTTTTTAAAAATTCCGTACATCCATGGAATAAAAAGCCATACAAAACATCACCCCCACAGAGGGACTGGCAGAGCTGACCTAAGGAGTAACCCAATATGCTTCCCTAGAAAAGAGCACAAGAATAGAGCATCTGCTGTCAACTGCTGCTTCGTTGTGCAGCACAAGCAGGATTGAAACAATGGTTCTGTCATATACCAGGATCAAAGAGCTTTACTGGGCTTCAGGATAGGATGGCAGATGAGCCCAGCAGTATAGATCTTCCTGTGAAAAACGATCTCTGCCAAAAACACAGAAAGGAACAGTGTTGCTCCAGCACACCACTTCTCCTAAATAGAGGTGAAACAGTGGTTTGAGACTGTGATACAACCCATAGAAAATTTAGCTCAAGCACAGCTTGAGAAGATAACTTGCTTCCCCACCTTCCATAGCATTTCTTAGGAAAAAAAAAAAAAAAATTCTAAAGAAACCTAAGCAGCTTAAGGAAAGATCTTTTCATCATTATTGCAATTAAAACAGGATTGACCATTCAAATGACAACAGGCTTCTAGTGAAGTATAATTAACTACCGACACAAAGCCTGAGAAAGTAACACACAATTTCAGGACGAAAACATGCAGCATTTCACTTTAAGTGGCTCAAATATGTATTAAAATATTAAGCCAAAGAAAAAACAGAAGCACCCTCAAATTTGAGTACTTCAAGTTGTCAGTCTTGCAGCTCTCTAAGCCAGAAAATAATCATGAAGAACATACCACTAAACACAGATCACTGGTACTACTGGTGCACATACAGAAGAACAGTAACAGCAACGCATCTGGTAAGTTACAATATATACTGACTAAAATTTCTGGAAACACAGGTTTCTGAATGCTTTCAGGAAAGCCCTGCCACCTTCCTCTAACCTGGTAACCATAAGCAGGAATCCCAACGAACCGTAAGTAGCATGGCTAAGCACATGTTAATGTAACCGTATCCCAGAATGCTTAATTTTCAGAAATTATCACCACCACAAATAGTACAAAAAAAAAAAAAAAAAAAAGCAACTGAATAAACCATAAAGAGCACTGATTATTTTTACACAGAATCCCGATGACCTTCTCTTCCCAAAGGACATGCAGTATGTTCTACACAAGATGAAAATTTATTGTATTTTAGCTCCTTGTGTATATTATTGTTACAGTCCATTAAAAAAAAAAAATTGTAACTCAGCAAGGCAAAGTTTCCTTCTCAAAAACAGCAGGCTACAACAAGGCCATAAGGCCACTTAAAATCATCCAGACTTACTTATTTGGTGAAAATACAGCTTCAAAAAAGCTTCCTATCTTACTACAACAACACATTCCCCATATTTGCAATCTTTTATTTTGGAAAGAGAAAAGTCCATGCTGAAATACAAGGCAATTTAGAAAGCAAGATGTTAAGCAACCTCATTGCAGAGCAAATCTATGAAGTGCAAGAAGTTTGTCCTATTAAGAGGTTTCATGTACTTAGTTCAGCTGTTTCCCCCTACCCTTGTTCAATCCTGACATTTGCAGTGTACTCTTCTGCTACAACTCCATTTGATCACTATGGATCCCACAGAGTCAATCTTCTGTGATCAGCACTGAACACTGAAGCTGATAGACTCGTAATATCAGTATGGCTTCATAGATAGATCACCAGGCTATAGTGCAAATCACCATGAATTTTTTTTATTTTTTTCTTAAGCACAAAAAAAAAAAAAAAAAAAAAAACCACAAATCTAGGAGATCATTTTGTTTTCCTTCAAAAAAAGGAAACCATCTTGCCTGGTATCTAACATGTTCACAGCTCACTGAAAAAACATATTCTGAGAAGAATAGCAGCATTCCACAGCAAACTGATGCTGAACACATATTCTGTAGCCTTCCACCACAATAAGAAACAAGAAATATTTCACAGGTATCAGACAGAACGTAATTATGGGTGAAACAGAAACTGAAAACCTTGGTATTCAGCAAATAAAGAATCCATCCCCAATTTCACCTCCCTACTTTACTGAAAAACTAACACGTCTTCTCCCCTCCTGACATAGGATCTCACAGACTGCCTCACAGGGAAAGACATCAGTGTTGAAACCAGACAGAGGCAGTCTGGATTAAACAGATGGCACTCTATTTAGAACAATTTCACTGTTAATAACACGATAATGGCACTCTTTCTGGAACGCTTCTCATGATCTCCTAATATCACTGTAAAAGCTTGGAAACTAGAATAAGCTTTCATGAGGTATTAAGAAACCAAGCCTGCAGTCAGTCCTAATGTTCCGCCAGTACCACACTATAAACCAATATTTATTCTTATTCCTATCTGTATATCTGAAATGAATAACCTAGAGTTTGCATTCAGCTACAAAGAAACAGCATTACCACAGCATTAAGAAACGATTTAAGGCCAAGTTACTGAGTGGCTGTCCTTCCAAGTTTCTTTCCAGAGAAATGGTACTACATACTCAGTCTGAAGAACACAGACACACACGCAAAAAAAAAAAAAAAAAAAAAAAACCCACCAAACAGCAATGCTTCATAATCATATATCAATGGCATGCAAAACTCCAAGCTCCAGGGTCGAGCACTCAATAGAAGAAAGGAGCAGCTTCACAGGAGAAGCAGGTCTTGAGAAAACCTTTAACTTTCAGTCACCTTTCAGCTCAGCTGCAGGATTTCACATCGTCTCCCCACCTCTCCTACGGAAACAAACAGCAGTGCCCTCTCAGGACGCACCCGCTGACGGTCCCCCCCCTCAGCTCAGCCTAGCGGGCCGCTTCAGCTCTCCCTCCCCTGACGAAAGCAGCCCCGGGGGCAGGCGGCGGCCGGGCCAGGGGCGGCCGGGCCCGAGGCTTACATAAGCGCGGGGTGCGGGGATGCTGTCGCCCATCGGGTGCCTGGAAGCCGCCGCCTGAGAGGAAAAGGAGGCCGAGAGGAGGCTCCGCGCCTCAACGAGAGACAGCTGCGGTTCGCGCCCCCGCACACGGAGACCCTGCGGGCGCCCGTCCTCGCAAGAGCCGACGGGCAACGGCCGTACCGGGAGAGGAGAGAAGGAAGCAGGAGAGAGACCTCGCTGCAGCTCCTATCCAAGCCTCACCGTCCCACAGTACTGGCGCGCACCCTTCCCGCCAACACCCCCTCACCCTTTCCTCCAGCGCTGCTGCCGCCACCTCCAACCGCTGCCAGCCCGCAGCCCAACAACGCGCCCGCCCATTGGGCCGTTCCCGCCCTAACAAGCCCCACGCCGATTGGCTCCTCCAATCGTCTGCTTCCTCGTCCTTAGATCATCCCCCCTCACCCGCGCTCGGGTTGGTGGTGCCGTTGCGTGCCCGTGAGCTGCCTCGGTGAATCTCCGCGGCGGCAGCACTGCGGGAACCGGGGGTCTGAGAGCAGCCTCAGAGTTTCTACCTGCATGTGGCGCTGGGAGGGAGGGGGGAACAAAGCGGAACAGAAGCTACGCGGAACGCTCGTGTCCAGCCGCGCTTCCGTTAGAGGCTCCGTCCGCTGACTTCCGCTTCCGGGCAGCCGCGGTGTCCTGGCGGAGGGTCGCGGAGCGGGCAGGTACTGAGCGCCTGGAGCGGGGAGCGTGGGGAGGAGGCAGGCCCGGCCCGCTCAGTCGGGGAGAGCGGGGCTGCCCTGCGCCGTGCCCTGCCGTGCTCTGCCGTGCCCTGCCGTGCTGTCTGGCCTGTCGCGTTCCGTTAGGCCGCCAGTTGCACCAACCCTAGGCCGCAGCCCTTCTCGGGGCAGAGGGCATCCGGCTATGCCGCACTGCGGCTCGCTGCCGGTGCGTGGGGCAGTGGGGGGCTGCTCGTAACCCTGCCGGTGGGGAGGTAAATACTGATAGGAGAGCAAGGTCGTGGATTTGCGTGGCAAGGTTATAGACAGACAGATGGTGGTGGTTGTTTTTTTGGGGGTTTTTTTGTGCGTGTTCCTTTTTAAAACTTATCTATTTATTTTAGGAGCAGATGTTTTTCAGGTAATCACAGTGTTAGTTATCTTGTTCAGATATGCTCCTCTATCCCTTTGGGCCCCCACAGCCAAGGCTCATACAGAGCTGCAGGCTTTGAAGCTGTCATCTTGGCACGGTTTCATTGCAGACAATTCTCCTACAAACTAGGGCATGAAGGCTGCTCTTTGCTACCAGATGCATGCTCAAATGGGAAACTCATGTTGAAAGAAGTCTTACTACACTGTGGAAATAAAGACTTTAAAGCAGTTGCTGAATAAAACTGTAATTACGCTAGAAATATACAAAACAGAGGCTGTAGTGTTGTACAGAGTTGGTTTTTTCAGAGGCAACCCTGGAGAATGATCTGGAGAAGAAGAGGCCCAGGGGAGACCTTAGTGCTCCCTACAGCTGCCTGAAGGGAAGCTGTGCTGAGGTGGGGGTCAGCCTCTTCTCCCATGTAAGTAGTGGTAGGACTAGAGGGAATGGCCTTCAGTTGTGCCAGGGGAGATTCAGGTTGGGGATTAGGAAATGCTTCTCTGAGAGAGCAGTCAGGCCTTGCAATGGGCTGCAGGGAGGTGGTGGAGTCACCGACCCTGGAGGTGTTGAAGAGGTGTTTAAATGTTGTACTGAGGGACATTTAATGGGCAATATTGGAGATAAGTGGATGGTTGGACTTTTCCAACCTTGGTGATTCTACAACCCTAAAACCTCTTAATGTTCAACACAATTCCAAATGTAGTAGTACCTGCATCCAGTAGAATAATTTTAAGGACTTTAAACTTAGTGCATCCTGAAATTTTAGAACTTATGTTTTAAAACATTATTAGTGACAGCGAGAAATAGCAGCTCTTTAGGCAAATACCAAAACAAAAAAAACCTCTTGCCTACTGTTTAAAGAAAATGACCCATTTTCTTACAGCATAAATGAAGGTAATGCTTTAAGAAATGTGTCTTTTAACGGCTTCCAGCTTATTTGCCTTGTACAAGGAAACAAGATTGCTTTGTCAGAGAGAAGTTTAGCTGATTATCCTTCTGCTGGATGTATTACAATTTTATGAGTCAATGATATAATAATGCTCACCTATAAAGTGTCCAATGCTATTATGGATGCTTTAAAGCTAGTTATTTTGCCATTTTTAATATGTTTGTATGTGCATTAATGTTTTTAACAGGCTACCATTCCATAAGAATTTTAACAACTAACATAATGCACTACTCTTTTATATTTACATTTAGATTATCCTCTGTTGTTTTTCTTTTTAATTTGATAGTAAACTGCGGAGAGTAAACGTAGGTTCAGTTAAATTGGGTAATTCCCAGGTTTTCATGTCTTTGAATTCCAGTTATTTGAGGGTGCTGGTTTAAGCATAATAATATTCAGTAAAGGTGTACATAGGTCACTAACTTGAGATTACATTTTTTTACATTGTATAAGTGACTTGTAGTTGTGAAGTTGTCTCTCCTTCTCAAGCCACATCACTATTTTCGAATTCTAAATATGCAATTAGGGATATTTTACTGGCTTAAGATGAGGAAAAACTTGTAATGTGGTTTCTTAGTTGGCATATTAAAAAAAATCAAAACCTACAGTGTGGAGTATTTAAACTATTAATCAGAGATATTTGTGTAACACTATGATATCAAACCTGGGTGAATTATTATTTGTTTCCTGGGTCGTGTGATTTTCTGTTGTTTAATAACACAGATTTTTCTGTTCCTGAGCAATGTTTGTGTTATGTTAATGCTGTGTATTTCAAGGTCTGTGTTAATGGTCTTTTTTTATTAGCAAAAATTCCATTTCTTTTTTCGTTCCATAGATAAGATAATGTTATTGTTTCTTTGGAAATAGTTTTATGTGGAGACTCTTGCCTTTAGACATACGGCACGTTAAAGTAAGCATGTGTAATTTCAGACCAAATACCAACTGTTGTAATATATGGGAAAATGATTAAAAAATCTAGCACAGTTTGCTTCTTTATCACCAGCTTCTGAAATGCAGTATAAAGTCTCCTAGTACTTTTTTCAAAGGTGCACTGTTCAGAAAGCAGAATTCTTTGTGTGCAACATTACTGTTTTGGAGTACTTTTTGTAACCACCTTGCTCTTCCTGTACAGGATATCGGTACTTCCGAGCATTTGGAGAACAAGCTGATGCTCCCTGAGAACTGAAATTCATCTTTGGTTGTAGGTATGGGGCATGGAGGTGAACATGGCCATGGCCATGGCCGAACAGAACTGCCCGACTACAGGCAGTGGAAGATAGAGGGTACTCCACTTGAGGAGGTCCAAAGGAGGTTGGCCAAACGGGGTCTCAGGGATCCATGGGCTCGGTAAGTGCAGGAGTTTCAAAAGTAGTATTGATATGTTGCTTAACATAGTTTCCCCCCCCCATTGTGAACTATATGAACTTTGCTCAAGTACTCTTCAATCATGGTTTCAGAGTAAAATCAGAAGATGTAAGAATTGTGTAACTAGTTTAGGGAAGTGAGTCTGATACTACATTAGTGTTACTTGCATCTCCTGTAAACTGTACCTGTATGAAGAATTAAGAGCTGCTACAGTTACTTGAATGCCTACATGATAGAAATGTAACCATCTCACTGCATATCCAGAAAAAAACTCAATGTTTTTCCAAAGACCTTTTGCCATGTTTATCACACTGGCTCCATTGATCCTGTTTTATTCTTTTGGTTTTCTTTTCCTTTTAGTAATGAAGCCTGGAGGTACATGGGTGGCTATGCAAAACCTGCCACTTTAACAGAAGTCTTTACCAGGGGACTCAAGTGGGGATTTGCAGCTTTTGTCGTTGCTCTTGGCATTGAGTATGCCCTGTTTCCCCCGAAGAAGAATGGAGGACATCACTGAAGATCAAATACAACAGTTCTTTTCATTACTAAAATGTACAAAAGCCTGCTGCCCACTGTGCTTATAATGCACATATTAAAGTCTATCACAGGTAAAAGCGTGTTGCCTTGCTTTTATTACACTTTTGTAAAAGGATCGAGAAGCCAGAGCTATTTCCCTGACTTCGGTCTAGGGAAGGAAAACAAGGAATATATATACTCTTGGGCTTGCTGTACCATCTTTTAAAGGGAAACAGCCCAGCTCTTTCAAATCCTGCCAACATCCTACTGAATGAAATTGAGAAAGTGTGATGCTTTTGAGCGAAAAATTCTATTTTACTCCTTACAGATTTAATAGCTGTTATTTGCAGGTAAGGGATCCTGCAGTAGTTATTTTTTAAAAGTATAACTTACCCACTTTTGTCTTTCAGTAAGAAAAAATGCTACCTTAAAGCTTTAAAAAGTATCCAAAACTGCCTAGAAGTGTGTGAAAATACCAAACCTTTTGCTTAATCATATTGAATACACTAACTTACAGATACTGTGCACCAACATAATCTGTTCTTTGTAACATCCAGAAGTTAAAACTCATGTTTCTACCACATTTACTAAGCAAAGTAGTGTACATTTCATTCAGCAATAGCTGTACCTTATCTTAGTATGACCTCCAATACACTTGAGTGTAAATAAAAGAAACTGAAAATAGAGAACAGTTGTTTTTTCTGGTATACAATTCCAGTTATAATTTTGCATTAATACAGCTTTCTTATACTATTTTTTAAATATATTATTTCTCTTTGCATTATTCTTCCTAGAGCGCTTTTTGGATGCCTGGGGTGAGGAAACATAGTAAAAAAAGAGCCTTTGCAGAGCTAGGAATTAGCACTGTCTGGATATCCTATTTTATATCTTTGTTATGCCCTCAGTAAGGAAAGAAAAGGCAGTTATACTAAGTTTTCAATTCAGATAATAGGGTGCCTATCACTAAAAAGAAAGCAAAACTGATGCTACATACCAGTAGATAATTATACAGTGTACATCCACTGTGAATAAAGTGGAAAGTTTCTTGGGGTAGCCATGTCACAGATGCAGGTTTATTAAAATAAAATTGAAGCTCCTACCAAATGGCTTAAAAGTGTCTTTAAAACATATATTTACACAACATTTTAAAGTGGAATTACAATGGGGCTTTATTTTTAGAGCCAGTAACCATCTGTTGCTGTGAGAGGGCAGCAGTAGTGTTCAGTGGAGCTTTACATCTCTGCATGACATTGCTCAAAGCTCTGTTCATAGGGCACACAACAGCTTTACTGAACTCCTTTTTTTGCCTAAAGTCTTTTTGAAACATCTCCATACAGTTCAATCAGTCTGTGAAAAGGCAAATCAAGAACATACTGTGTGAAATCCACTGCACCAAGAATTTCCATGTTGTCCCTTAGGTACTCCCAAAAAGCATACACATTTGCAAAAGCTAATGCTCACTTTTGTCTCCCTCTATGTCGGCCTAAGACTAAACTGTTAAATTTCTTCTGAACAACAACCTAAAATTCAGTTAACTATTAAGAGCCAGCATTACATGTGCTATCAGTGAATCTTAGCTTTGGATGCACATTTCTCATTTCAGCTGTTCCCATACTTGATGCGTGTGCCCACACACTGCCTCCCAGCCATCCTGCCACACTGCATAATGCTTCTGGAACTCTAAGCAATAGTTGCTCTTGGTTTTAGTTTCTTGTTGGTAAAGCTTGTTTTCATACTAGTCTACAGGTTCACATTTTATTGGTCTCTGTTCTATGTTGAATGCTTGAGTCTGAAGTGAGGTTGCTGCAAGTCCCTTGGGATGAATCTTTCAAACCATCAGTCCTGCCGCTTCATTGACTATTACAAGCAAATTAACCTTTAAAGGTCCCTTCCAACTCAACTGATTCTACTCTGATTTACAGCAGCTGAAGAGATACGTTTTTCTTTTCCTATCACTAGCAGATGGAAGCACACTTAGAAGTTACAGTAAGCACATTTTCAGAATGCATAACATTGGTGTGCTGCTTAGTTTAATTGGGCAGAAAGATTGTAAAATACAAAGAAACAAACTAACGTGTTCTTCAGTAGCTTTTTTTAAGGGATCATTTGGTTTATCGAGAGTTTATCATAGACAACCACAATTTTACATAGGCATATTAGGCATATCAGCTGTCAAGCTGGACTAGCATCAGTAAAGTTCCTGAATTTATGAATCACCGTGGGATCATTGAGGGACAGAATAGCCAGGCAGCATTTTGGCCTCACCCCTTAGCTGCTGCCTTGATTTACGATGAACATATTTTGTCAACACTGTGCAATATAAAAATATTATACAAGACAACTCCTATGACAGATACGAAATAAAAGTCTTTATCATACACTAAGCTTTCCTGAGAGCGCAGTCCTACCTGCCAGCCTCCCGGTCGAAGAACCACGAAGGTAAATCTCCACCACCGGAGATTTACTAGGAGCCGGTAGCCATGCCGCGCGCTGCGGCCGGCGGGGGGCGCCGCGTCCTCTCGTAAAGTCGCGCCGCCATCTTGGGTGAGTTTGCGCAGTTCGGTTCGCTCTCCTGAAGGAGATGACGGAACCAGGAGCGTAGTTCTTGCCTCGCCTCGCTCCGAAATACCCAACAGCCGGAGTCACGATAAACCGTAAGGGCTGACGAACGTGGCGCGGCAGAGAATAACGGAGGGTAAGGCAACCAAGAGCACCGCCCTCGTCCCTCAGCGAGAGGGATCTCGACCTTGCACAGCGACTGCTGCTACCCACGCGCAGGGGCGGCTGAGGTCTCCAGCAGCCTTGGGAAGTATGAGGGAAAAGCACTTAAGTCACTCTCTGAAACAGAGAAGGGCGTCCCTCACCGCCCTGCTCGAAGCCTCGCCAGTTCCCACGCCGGACTCGGCCACGCTGCTGTAGACGAGACCGTCCCGGCGGGCTCGGGTGCGTTATACCTCCCGCTCTTCCTTTCCCCGCGCCTGCTTTCCGCACACCCTGCGCGCTCCGAGAGCGGACCCTGCCCGGCCCGGCTGTCCGGGAACGGGCCGAGCTGAGCCGGATGTGGGTGCGCGGCTGTCCGCGCTGCCGGGGAGACGTGAAACCCGACACTGCCTTCTCTGGCGGGGTTTGCCTCGGAGATTTGGAGAGCCCTTTCGCTTGGTTTTTCCGTGTGTGATTTAAAGTGCCTAGTGAGAAAGTGGAGTGCAAGTCTACGTAAGCTCCTTGGAGTAAAAGCGAACTTTACTTGTTTTGATGCGGAAGACTGGGGTTCTTGCCATCTTTAAATGGCAGTTCGTGTGGTCGCTGGTAACGTACGTGGGAAGTTACTCAAGCCTGGCAGAGGAACAAGAAGCGTGAAAGGTCCTTTCTGAGACTTCTGCTTTCCCTGCTTGTACTTATACAGGGAAATTTGAAAGCTGGGAAGCACGCTGAGTAATTTTTAACGCTGAACAAAGTCAGATCGCAGATCTGAAATGCAAGGGCTTCTACATGAGCTCATCATGTGAAGGAAACAAAGAGCACTTTCCAAATAACTACGGCACTGATGTTATATCCTGTTTTTGCTGCTGCAGAAACAGTTACGAAATGTTAAAGAAACAAATGCTGTCCAAAATGACAGGCTTGCTTAGACCTAGTTTAGAGCGTGAAATGTTTCTTCGTCTCTTTTGAAAGGCTTTTTTAATGCAAGGCTTGAGATACGACCGTATCCTGATTAGTACAGCATTCTATTTGCCTTGCTAATCACACAGACATTTGAACGTTGCACAACGTCTGCATTGCAGTCATGGGAGCAAAGGTTTCGGCATGGTGTTAAGTATCAAAGAGTAAAATTGTTTGAACCTTGTACAGACTCCTCTTGTTAATGCTGACAGGGAGTTACGATAGCCTTGTGTGTGCTTGTGTGTGAACTTCTAGTATGCTGTTACTTGCTGCATAAAAAAAGGTGTCCTTGATTTTGGTTCTATGCTGTATGGACTGTTCATAACGTGAAAAAGCTCAAAAATAGGAGTATGATGAAGTTAGCATCAGAGAAACTGATTAATATAGTGGTGGGTTTCTGTCTGCTTCTCTGGTGTGAAATGGAAATGACTTGTGCTTTTAGGAGTAAATATGTTTGCTTATACTCTCAGATGTTTATTCTAAAAAATAAAAATCTTTTGGACTTTGTTGGCACAGTCACAGGTCAGCCTAGGCTTAGGCAAATAGAGTTGTCAGAAAGGTAGTTTCCCATGCAGTAGGTGAGAAATTAACCGGTAGGTGTCAAATCAGCTTTAAAATCTTACGTTTTTTCAGGGAAGCTTGAAAGTTAATGAAGACCAGAAATTAGTATTCAGGTGCTCTTTGATCTTAACCTCCTTGAGTTTTTCTCTCAGCCTTTTTAGGAGACAAGAGGACTGATGAGTCCTAGAATTTATGGTTTTGTTTCTGGAGATACTACAAGTATTAGAATAGCCCCTTTTCTGAGAAAATTTGGAGTGATTGTGAACTAAAATAGCCAGACTTACAGAAAACTGCCCCCTCCGTGGCTTGTTTTCCCTTACTGTGCCTGGGGGTTTCCTAGCTCTTTTAACAGGAGGAAGGAAAATTATTTTTGTGCTCTGTGTAGGCCATGTCTTTCATTTACCAGCCCTAATATGACCTTTCAGTGTCAGTGGTGATGTCAGACTTGAGCTGTTTGAAATGATTAACCATCTTCCTGTTCCAGAAGCTTTGCATTGAAATATTTTCTTATTTAACACTGCATTGAACAGAAAAATGCTCAGTATTTTGTTGTGACAATGTTGGCAAATCACATGTGCACAAGAGCACACAACCTGCTGGGGCAGCTTTAACTCTGATGACTATGAACTTTTGTTTTCTGTGTTGAGAAGATATACTGTTTTTTTCTCAACTCATGTTTTTGGAAGCAAAGATAAAAATGCTGTTTCAGATACTGAAGATCTTCATGTTGCTCTTAGTCGCTGCCCACTGAGAACCCTCAGGGAGGGAGTGCATTTAAGTCACACATTTCACTTCCTCAAGTGCTTTTGAAAATCCTGGCTGTAAGTACCTGGGGGTGCTTTCCTATGGGAGCATTTTCTGTCTCCCCCTTCTAGAATGAATTCCGTCTCACAAAAAAGTTTGTTTTTCTGTGGGATATCTCACAAATAATACTTGATGATAGTTTGGAAATCAGAAGTTAACAGCAAAAATGCTTTTCCCCTGATAGGACACTGTACAGTACAGATTACAGTTCATGGGAGTAGAATTCCTGCTTATGGATCCTGGCTCCATTCCTTCCGGTCACTCAGGTGCATTCCATTGCATTGCACTGAGTGCACCTGACCTTCCCTGGGTTGGCCTTGCCTTCCACCAGGTGCTCTATCACTGCTTCAGGCCATGACTTAGCATTTCCACTACAGCTGTGCTTCTCCAGTTGTACCAAGCAGACCCTTGTGTGAAACAGCATGTTCAAAAGTACATTCATTTTGTCTTCACAGTTCATTTTTGTTGGAAACACTTTTCAGCTTGTTCCCAAATGATGTGATGTGAAGAACACTGTGCCTGTCTCTTTTGGGTTCTGAAGAACAGAACTGTATCTGAGTGCTGCTTTTTCCTGGTTCTGTGCTGTAGCAGGAGTACCATAATCATTCACCATCTCTATGTGCTTAGAAGTATGTGTTGAACACACGTGGTATGTGGTATGTGTAGAGCTGACTGTTTAGGAGACTGATAAGCAAAGGTTATCCACTGCCTTGTTAGTGTCAGGTGCTATTGAATACTCTGTGGTACTGAAAATGAGCTTAAGTGGCCTTGATGACATTTTGAGTTTTGCAAATACATTTGGTCTCATTTGCATGGTGGTACAGAAGTGTAGGAGTTTTTAAGCTAAGTAATACTTGGGTCTTCTAATGTGGTGAATTTATATTTTACAACAGAAACTTCTGTTTCGTTTCTGAAGGTGGCACCTTGGGGTCATAAGCTGCTTGTGTTAAAATCCCGTAGCGGTTTAGTCATGTTACCAGAAAGATTATTCTTTTTTGCTTTCTTTTTTCTTTTGTTGGTTTTTTTTTTTTTTTTTTTTTGTTTTTGTTTTTGTTTTGTTCTTTAAATAGTGATGTCTTTTCCTGCTATTATGGTTGTCATAAAGTGGAGGAAAAATCCACTGCAGTCTTTGACTCCATAGAAAATATGGTTCACAAGGGTAGCTGTCGATAAGACTTTGCCACAGGAACTTGAATTTGATTTCCTCTTTTCGTGAGTAGTAGAACTTAGCCTATGGTTTACTCTGATCCAACTCTTACAATTCTCTGTGTAAAGTCACTTAAGTGTATAGAATTATTTTTCATTTAAACAGCTCTGAAATGATAATTGATTGATTTTTAAAAAAAGCTTTTAGATGAGTTCTCCTTAGCTGCTTAGCGCACAGACATAGTATGCGTTGTTGAATGTGACTTCCAGGGCTGAAACTGATTTTAAAAACATGTTACCCTGATCTTACAGTGTTACTACGTATTAGTCTTTGATGCTCTATTGGGTTTTGTTTTACAGCGTGGTTTACTCAAGACCATATGCAGTGTATTAACTGAACTGCTTGTAAGGGCTAAGATTTGTCTTCAGATTGCTCATTTCATCTTTCCCAGTGTACGTAATGGGGATCAGAGAGGGACAGATAGAATTTCCATAGTGGCAACGGAAATTCATCATAGCACCCTAGTTACTTTGTTAATCGTGAGGGTTTTTTTTCTTTCTAGTTTTGAATTCTTTCGGTTTTCAGTATGGGTATCACGTGAAAAAAGAGGTGGTCTGTGGCTTATCTGTGCCTTCAGAGTTAACTACTTGGCATATTGAAGGTTGGAATTTTTTCTTTTGAGCGGTTCTTTGACCTTATTGAGCGTGGAGAGTGTGGGGGAGGAACCCTTCAAACCCTGGTAACTCAGTGGAATCACTTAAAGTGGTACTAATAAATAAGGCAATCTACACGTTCCTGAATTTGAAGGTAACTAATATGTAAAAATAACTACGTTGTTTTGGTTTTTTTTTTAAACTTTGAAATGGATACCTGATAAGTGTTTCTGTATTTAGTTTGTTGTTGTTTTCGTTGTTTTGTCTACGGTGTGTGGTTACACTATCTCTTAAATCTGAAAATGCTTCCTTTAAAATGTCTTAAGACATTTGGGCAGGAGACTGAGTGGTGGGTTGTTGGAAAGAGATCAGGGCTTTAGACTTCAATTGCAGTGGAACTTAATCTCTTATTACCAGAAACCCTTGAAATACAGACTTCTTATCAGCGAGCTGATGACTCTTGTTTCACTTCCTATGGAATTCACAGGCTTGTATTAAGGTAATTTTACTTTAAAAGAACTTCCATTTTTTTTCTAATCAGTATGACCTACCAAAGATTTCTTGTTCTGTAATGAACATCTGGGAGAACCCCTTCAGAACAGGAGGTCCATGTAAACTAAGTTGGCATTTTAGTTGTAAGGGAGGTATGACAAATGGGAGAGTTAGCTGTGATCTTGTGCAGTAGATTTACAACCTATTATTCCTCTTCCACAGAATTCTTTACGTCGAAATGGATATAGTTACAGCTGAAGGCCAGAGACGTGCTGTAGCAGATACAGACTTCATGTCATGTTGGCCTCCTGTTTAAAAGAAGGAAGGCTGGCAATTTTAAAGGGACACCGAGAAAGTGATGACCAAGTGCCAAGTACCAGCTGTCCTTATTCACCAGATTGAAGAAGAATTGGATAAAGAAGAAGATGAGATGATGATTTTCCTGTGCCGAGACCTTGCCCCTGACTTGGCTACTGCTGGCCTTAGAGAGCTTTTGGTGGCTTTGAATGACAGGGATAAACTATCTCTTCTTGGTTTGTCTGAGCTGTTGTACAGAGTTAAGAGGTTTGATTTGCTGAGGAGGATCTTGAAGACTGAGAAGACAACAGTGGAAGCTAACCTTAGCAGGAATCCCAGACTTGTCCCTGATTACAGGTATCTATTTCAGAAATGTTTTGTGTTTTCTTCAAAATACGTGTTTTCTTTGTTTAATTTTTAAATTGTTTGTTTAACTTGTCTTGAGAGTGAAAGAAAAACAGAAAAGAATGTCATGCAAGAGTTATAGTGAAAAGATTGTCAAGTTTAATCCCTAAAATAAACCTTAATGACTTCTTGACAGTCAGGGCATTGGAAGCATCTATCTTCAAAGAGTTTGTTCATCTTAATTTATTAAAACTGTGATGATTGTGTAGTTCTATATTAGCAGATAGAAATGATGCTTTATAGAAGTATCATTAATTAGATAGATTGTCTTTTCTTGCTTGCTTTGGGCACGTAGCCTCATTGTAGCTTTTCTCCGGTGACCTATCCCTTACTGCTCTTTTTTCTTTAGCTTTAAGAAGCTTAAATTAAGAGAATAGAGTGATCTTCCCTAAGGGATTTCAGAAATAAGTGCATACAATCATAAGGAAGATTTTCCTGTGGTGACATGTCACTGAAATAAAAACCCTATCACTATTAGGTTAAAAGTCAAAGGTGTGTTATACTGTCTTGTATTCTTTCTCTTAATCTGTACTGAAATATTAAGGAAACTATTTCTCCAGCAGTCAGTCTGAAGAAATACTGGTGCTGACAAGCATGATGAGGTATTTTGTAATTAGATATTAGAGCAGAGTAGTTGTGTGTTTGTTGTTGTTGTTTCTTTATGTTGTTGAACTGGGAATGTTGTGTGAAGACTGGAATGTGGGAAAAATTGGGTAGTTGAACAACGGTAGGATCTTGCTAAAAACCAGTCCTTTAGAAATGCCTCAATTTTATTTCAGGGTACTAATGGTGGAGATTAATGAGAATCTGGAAAAAGAAGAAGTGAGTTCTCTTGTTTTTCTACTCAGAGATTTTGCTCCTCGAATAAAAATGGCAAAAGATAAGGTAATACTTTTATTCTCTTCTTTTCCTCTAGAGCAAGGAGATTAAAGTAAAAAGGGAGGTGGCTAGGAGGAGAAGAGGTTGTACCATAATGGATGGCAAGGCAGGAGTAGGGAGAAGTCAAGTGTGAAAGGAGAAGTGGCTTGTATTTCATTATTTTGTTGATGTTCTTGTTTTTAATGCAAGAAAAGAAGCTAAAGAAATAGTTGGAGAGAACTCTGAAGAGTTTCTGGAGCAAACAGGGTTGGTGTGAATCTCACAGGCAGAAGACGCAAAATAAAACCTCTCTTCAGTGTTGCTGATCTGAAAATTCATATCTGCGGGATCTCAAACCACTGATAGTATTAAACATGTCTTGATGTACAAGATCACTTTTTATGTTTGTGCTCTTCCTACAAAATAATAGGGTTTTCTTAATAATGTCATTCTTTGTATATTTGCATTCTGAACATTTGTTCCAAGTGCCAAAGAAAGCGCGGATTCAAAAAGCTTGGCCACTCTGCACACAGGACACTGAAGGCTTCTTTTGAATTTTTGATTTTAACCAAAGGAGGGGAGAAATCCTGCAAATTTCCTAAAGCTTTTATTATCTACTGCTTTGTGACATATGAAGTGATGTTTCATGTGGCTGGCTATGTAGTAACAACGAAATGCAAGGCAGTTTCTTCAAAACCTTTGGATTGTTTTTAAGTCTATCACACCATAATAATAATAATAATGCTAAGACCTCTAATATTTTCCAGGTAATCTCTTCTTAGTGTTTCAGCAACAACATGCCCAGTTCCTGAAAATACAACCTTTAGCACCTGAACATACTATTTCAAGTCTGTTTTTTAGTGATAAAGAACAAATGGCTGATATGTGTTAGGACTTGAGAGAACAGCATGAAGCTGTGTTGATGAAGGCTCAGGCTACGTGTTAGGAGAAAGTTGTTCACTGGAAGGTGGGTGGGCACTGGAACACACTCCCCAGGGCAGTGGTCATGGCAACAGCTGCCAGAGTTCATGAAGCATTTGGACAGTGCTTTCAGAAATATGGTTTGGGGTTTTTTAAGTGGTTTTGTGTGGAGACAGAAATTGAACTCAGGAACCCAGGATATTCTATGGTAACAATTTGGTTTTCTGTTGCTGTTACAGAGTTTTCTACGTCTGGTTATTGAACTGGAGAAACTGAATTTGGTGGCTCCAAATCAGCTGGATTTGATAGAAAACTGTTTCCGAAATATTCACAGGATAGACCTGATTAAGAAGATTGAGAAGTATAAGCAAGAAGGTAAAATGCTTTTGCACTGCTTAGTTTTGATAGTAAGGATACAATGCAGTCTTTAACTAAAGACAAAGTTACAAGTCAGAGTATTAGCATGCTCCGAGGAGTTGGTCTTTCCAAGCAGGTCCTATATCACAGTGTATTTCTCTGTGTGTTTCTGTTCAATTTCCAGCTTTCATGTCCTCCGTTCATTCTCAGCCTGTGTATGTAAATGCCCTTCAGGCATCTCTCCCTAATCTCAGTCTGATTGACCCTCCCTACAATTCAGGGGTAAGTATATAGTAACTCAGACATATCCTTTATATCTAAATATTACAAGAAATAGAAAGAGGATTCATCTTTGCGAAGCCTGAGGAGTGAGAAATGGCTAGTAACAAGAATACTGTTTGGGTTATATTTATTGTTTCTGTTATGTAGTATGTCTGAGGCCTGATAGAAATTTTCTGACAGTCAGGTCTCCTTTCAGTAGCTACTGTGATTTTTATGTATATATTTTTTTCTTATTAATGAAGAATATAAAATCCTTTCTCTTAAAAGTGTTCTTCTACTATTCTGGGGAGTGGAAAGTTTTGAGTGTTTTTTGCAAAACACAGTGTTCTTCTTATATTTGTGGACTTTGCAGAACACAGGGAAAATAGCTTTTAAACCTTAGAAGCAAAAAGTTGTGGCTTGCTTCAGCTGTTTTCTTCGCTTGTATTTATTTTAATCTGATTTTAACCGAGGTATCTCAATATGTCAAAAGTCACCCACTCAGTTATTTCCAGTCAAACCCTATTGTGTGCAACATTGTTTATGTTTGACTTAGGTCTGATGTTGTAATAATATTGACCTTTCTTGAAATCTTTAATCTTGCGTAGAGATGTTTTCTGATATGTATTTAATAAATATCTATCAAGCTTACGTACAGAACACCACAATTAGCTCTTATCAACAAAGCAACAGGCTTGTTTTCCAAACTACTAATGGGAAAGAATTTGTACTGACTTTCCATATTGTGGTAATATTGTTTTAACTTCCTTTTGAATTTTATGAAAGTTTCTACTTACCTTTGTATAGGTAACAATACTCGTATCTTTAGAGAGACTTTTTCTTTTACTAGCATAGGAAATAAGCTTTCCTTTGCTGTTCTTGGAAAACTGATTACTTTGTGGGGAGGAAAGAATTTTTCTCTTTTTTTTTTAATTATTGTTTTAAAATTCTAAGTAGTTGGATAGGTTTGAATCCAAAAGATGTAATCCTTTTGTTGAGGAAAAGAAGTATTATCACATGGTATTTTTAAAGCATGATTACTAGTTTTGAAAGAGAAAGGGAAAATAGACTTTTCTTCATTTTAGTTTCAGAATGTGAACAAAGAAAAATCACAAAATGGAGAAATCTTCTTTCAAGGTAAGAAAATTTTATCTAATATTTGCTGTCTAAAGATTGGCTGGTTTAGAACTGTACCATGAATTTCATCTATTGAAAGAACAGTTTTTTGATGGCTGTGTTTATGGCTAAGCCTGTTTAATGTCACAGGAGCAGAGAGTATTTCGTACCTCTGAAAACTGAGCCTTGTCTTATTATTTGTTTGGCTTGTATTGCCAGAGCTTCAAACTTTCTTGGAATTGCTGGTGCCTTCCAATCAGACAACTTTTAAATAGAATAAATATTAATAAAATAGTGAAAGAGGATAACTATCCAGCTCTGGAGAGCAGTGTAGTGCATCTATTCCCATTAGGTCTTGACTAGGAAGTTTTTGCATCAGTTTGGTTGTGGATCCTCCACCAGGCCATCTAGGAAGTTTTCCAGTGAGTACCAGGTTCTCACTGTGTGTGCTGTATTCTTTTTGGAAACTCACAATACCTCTCAAATACGATGGTTTTAAAGAGACTAGCTGACTGAATTCAGAGTAGGGAAGAGATTGTTTTTACTGCTTATTGTTGTGCTGTTTTCCTTTTCTAATCATAAGTAATGTAGAGTGCAATCCAAATAACATTTTAGTGTGAGCATTTTTATTTTTTCCTTCAGTAATATACATAGGAACTAGGAGGACTAGGTGAGAGAGAACTTGACCAAACTATATAGATTCTTTTTTATCTGTGTTGCTGTCAAAGAAATAGCACCAATACCTACACACTGAGATTACTTCCATATGCTTTAACCACAGGAGAACCAGTCCACATGTCTATTCAAGAATCGGGACCAGCATCACATAAGGTAAGTGCTTTAGCACTTATGATACATGTAAGTTAAAAAAAAAAAAAAAAAAAGTAGATATTTGCCTTGGTTTTCCTTTGGTTTTGTTTTAACATTTCCTTTAGCTGCATGCAGCAAGAACTGTATGTACATTCATAGCTTCATCAACAATAAATAGATTCTGTGAATTGCTCTATGCAGCTTTAATGTAAATTAAATGTATAGGGAATTGCCTATAGCAAATTGTTCCTTTGCTCATTAAAGGAACAGGGGATTGTGCAGAGTCATTGCAGATTATTGGATGAAGGGGCTTTACACTGTTGTACTAAATGAGGAAATGAATGTTGTCTTGATAAGCAGAGTCCACTGCATCCCTACAAATCACAGACGTTATCTACTTATGTTGACAGGGTGAAACTTAAAGTTCCCAACATCATGTTAGCAGTCACACTCCAGGAAAAAACACAGGATCACTGTGCTCATGGGTCAGGTCTTTAGAAAGCCTCTCTATCCCGTCTCCACTCTCAAACTTCCTTCTCCCATTCCTGGTCCAGTCTTAGTTTACGGATCGTTAATGTAATACGATAGAATAACAGCAGATGAAAGTTAAGGCCATACAGGAAATAAGGAAAAAAAATTGTGAATCCATGTGTCCTGAAGTTTTGTTACACAGGAAAAACATACTGAATTCCAGAAGATATGCTTCTACTAGTCACTCAGTGGAAAAGCAACAGAATATGATTAAAAGGTCTAAAGTGATTAAACTGGACAAAAGAATCAAGTCTGTAAGATAAGAGAATGACATAACAATTTGGAATCAAGTCTATAAGACAAGAGAATGACATAACAATTTGGTATTTATCTTTCAGTTTCCTCATGTGTACAGAATGCAAAGTCACCCTTTGGGAGTATGCCTGATTATAGACTGTATTGGTAATGACACGGGTAAGTCTCTGGAAATTAAAGCTCCTTTTCTTGTTGGTTTGTTTTTGTTTTTGTTTTATTCAGGTGATTAGAATTCATATCAGAACATAAAGAATATGATGCATATTTTCCAACCAAACTAGAGTCATGTTGTCTTAGTCAGCTTTCTGTCAATTACAGTTAATTGTCTAAAGAAAGAAGTTGGGAGGGCCAACCTGAGGCTCTGTGTGAAAGAACTTAAAAAGGGAAAGGCTGATGTCAGGGGGAAGGAAATTACATCCAGAGAGACCAACAGAGTATTTATGCTACAGCTGCGCAGTAGATTATTGGCAGAGATGTTAAAGAAAACATTGCCACCATTCCATAAAAATGAATCTGTTACAGACCAGAAGTGTAAAAATATTGGACACCACTGATTTTGAATTGCTGAAAGCAAATGGTCCTTTGTTAATAATACTTCTAGTCCAAGTTGTGTGTTACGCAGTTTAACTGAAACTGTTGAGGTAAAAGAAAAAAATACTACCTAGAATTCAAAGTAACAAGTCCTGTGGTTAAAATGTGAATTTTTCTGATCTCCTCATCAAAAATAAGAATCCAAAAATACAGTCTTTACGTAAGCAAAAAAAAAAAAACAAACCCAGAGAAAAAAAACAATCCCACCCTTCCTATCACCCAAGAAAAAATCATTGGAACACATGGGCTAAAATTAAAATAGGATGTTTGCAGCCAATTTTTATTAGGCTGGGAGATAAAGGAGAAGATCAGTGAGATATCTTTTTTCTTTCTTATAGGGACCATTAGCAGACAGATCAATTACTGATGCAGTTAGTGAAGAGAAGTGAGTGCAGAGCACAGACACAAAGTAAAACCTTGCTGTCTGCTTGATAATATTTTCGGTAAATAGTATAAAACAATGCAGTTTGCCACTTGGGTACAAGAAACTAAAACTAATTCAGGATCCTGCCAGGTGTGGATGAAGGACAGGGAAAACACTGAACTCACATGTGACTGGAAAACATCCTTTGGAATCTGTCTTGCTGGGATAGGCAGAAAATTTATGAACTACTTTTGTAGCAAAATTAAATAAATTTTTAAAAGCCCCCAAAAATGCAATTACTGTGTATAGAAACTAAGTTCTTTGATCTAATGTACATCATTTCTACTCAAAAAGTGTTATGCCAACTTTGCCCCAAGAAAACAGAGCCTGCCAAGGTGGGAAGGACAGGGTCAGAGCAAGGGCTTTTGAGACTTTAAATAAATAAGTAAATTCTGCTCTGCGAGGAGGCCTACTTCTTCATTTCTGCTTTCTTCTCTTTTACGGTAGCTTTAGTGAACAGACTTTTTGATGCAAGAAACTTATTGGTTATCTGGAAGGCACGTATACTTCAGAAAACTGGTAATAAAGAAGGAACTACTATGTCAGTTCACAATCAGAGGTGCATAAATTTAGATTTACTCATCATTTGAAGGCACAGATCTTTTTTACTGGCAGTGTAGACCTCCTTAATATTACAATGAAATACAAATATATGCACAAAACTTACGATGTGCTGTTCTTGTGCTCATGTAAGCACTTCAGTATTTGCACAAGAACAGGAAATATGAATAAGAAAATCCTGCTGATTTGAAAGAATACAAATGGATTATGTTTTCAGCAGATTTACCTGCAAATTATGGATTTTCTGCTGTTGTGCCAAAAGTACCCAAAGCAAGTCTTAGTGTGCCTCTGTCTCCATTCATCTGTATAGCACACAGAAGGAATTAAGCCATGTTTATGCCTCAGATTTCTAAAGTTATCAGCATTAAAACAAGCATTTTAACATGATAGAAAGCAAGACTTGCACTGATGTAGATTACTGTTTAGGAGAGGTGCAGGGCATATGACATTATTTCAGGGAATGTTTTAGAAATGTGTTGACTACTTGAGAGTTCTCGTGCTGACAGACTTGTGAAGTCTGAAGATACCAAAGAGAGAGAAAAAGACAAGGAGGAAGTTAGGAATTATACCTGTGGCATGCATTTGAGTCTGCAGCTATCCCAACATTTAATATGAGGAAGCTGAATCAGTGATAAATGCTGCAAGATCAAGTATCACAATGATTAAAAATGCTCGGTACAAACAGTGTGGATTCATCAGATGCTGATAAAGTTCAAACTGAAGTTGCTTTTGTTGTTATTCAAGCAGTAATTGGCTGCTCTTAACTTTTTCATTTCCATTTGAAAGTCAGGATTTATTCTTGTGTTGTAAACAGAGGAAGAGAAGGGTAATTTTTTATGTAGGAAAGGAAACTCCTTAAAAGTCACTGGTGGTTTGTTGAGGAATTATTGCTGCTCTAGGATGCTGCATGTAATCTCTCGTTTTATCTTGTCTCAAAGTGAAAATGCTGTATCTCAAACTTGCCATGTGTAAGTTCTGATTCATTTTTAAGCAATAGTATCAGCTCCAATAGTTTGGGTTTATTATTTTTAATCGTGACACTTAATTTGTGTGTATGATCTAAGGTGCTACCAAGTTTTGTATCTTTGTTTACACACATGCTAGTGAGATGAAGAAATTCTAAGAGCTCTCCTGTTGCTGTAACTGTCATTTTGCATAGGCACTACTGCCCTCTAATGGATGAAATGCTTCATCAAGTATATGACTTCTGAATGGTGCTGAGCTACTCCTGTGTAAAAGCACCTTTTGAATTGTTCGTGTCTTCCACCTTGAATTTTCAGAGCATATTTCATTGTCTAAAATAAAGGATACTCTGCTTTCTACTTACAAACAAGCAAGTCTAGAGTATTTGAAATATTGTACAAAATTTAATCAAACAAAGTGGACTGGAACAGAATCCTATATGTAGCTCCTGTTCATCACCTCGCTATAGTGCAGAGTGTATTTCTACCCTGTGTTTTGTTGATTAAATTGATTAAATTTGTTTTCACTATGTGCTTTTTTAGGTGAGGCTAGTGAAACTCCTGCTTTGCTGCTGGTTACCTCTGAAATTAGCTTTTGCTAATTGGCCTTTGCTAATTAGGAATTGTTAAATTTCTGAAGTCAGGGGACAGCCTAGCTTCTTGGGACTGTAAGGCATTTTATATTGAAGTGGTACTTGTTATCTTCTGTCACAGTTATCAGATACTGCATGTGGGCAATGTATACATTATTTCTACTAAGGGTACAATGCTACAGTTACAATTTGTAGTAATAATAAGCTGGTTCTCTGAATGCTTAAATACATGTGAACTTAACCAACATGGATCTGGTTTCACTTCTATACTAATAAACATCCCAACTTTTTCAGAACGTAACATGCTTTCCTGCAGCTAAAGTTAATACAGGTAACAGATACGTATAGGCTGTCTACAGTTTTAACTTTTAGGATATTGTTCAGCATTTTATTTCTGAAAACGCCATTTTGTCCTCTGGCTTGCCACAGTTCTCCACCTGGAGCTTATCACTTTTAAGTAATTTTTAAGTAATTTTGTATAATAGTAAGCATAAGTGCAGTAGATTCACTTTTAACTAGTGAAAGCAAGTGTCTGGATTATATACTCCTCTAATAAACATTCAGAGTAATTTTGAAAAGTTGAATAGTTGAAACAGACTTCCCAGCACATTCCTTTTCATATCAAGAATCTTCTCTGTGAAGCATTTTTTTAATGCCCTCTTGCCTCATGTTTTAAGTCCTGGAAACTTGGGATCCTGGTTCTAAATGAAAGCACGCTGAAGTCTGTGAAATTAGGAAAAAATTGCATGCTACAAAATAATGCCTTTGTCAGGAAGTGCATAAATCATGTTGAAAGACAGTATGCACATAGGATGTATGCCATGTACTGTTTGATCAATACCGAGTACTCCTGATTTTTTTAATTAGTGTGATGAGATAAACACCCTATTGCTTGTAAGGAAATATTATAAATTCTGTAACCCTTAAAGACAGACTGAGGTACTGTGACTTAATTACATCTTTCTTTCTTCAGACATGTTGGAAGAGACTTTCAGAGGCTTGGACTATGATGTTCATTGTCACAAGCACTTAAATATGACTACCATGAATGAAACATTGCTTGAAGTTGCAAGGTTACAGAAGCACAGGAGTTGTGACAGCTTCATATGCATATTGGTCAGCCGTGGAAATGCTCAGAGCATCTTCTGTACAGACTCCATCTCTACTGGATTCCCTTTGGAGCAAATAAAGAAATACTTTATGGCAGATTCGTGTCCTGAACTCCGAGGAAAACCAAAGCTTTTCTTTATTCAGAGCTACATTGTGCCAGAAGATGAGCAAGAATTTTCTAGTCTGGAAATAGATGGAAATGATAAGAAAATCATCTCTAATGCAAAAATGCCCTTGAAAGACACTATTCCCCAGGTAGCAGATGTCTTTTGGAGTCAGTGCAAGGTGGATGTGTCTGCACTAGAAAAATCTCCAGTCCCATCCTCGTATTATTTGCGTTGTCTGGCTGAGCTGCTCCGCAATCCTCATAAAAGGTGAATGAAAATCTGGAAAAATGAACCTTTTTTCTAGGATAACTTACAGTCTTAGAGAAAGAGTTCTGCTAGATTTCATCCTTTCTGGTCCTGAGAAGTGCCTTCATGCTATGTTGTAAGTTAAAATACAAGTGTATGTGGTCCTGGAACAATGTCACAGGAATGCAGTCTAGAGTGAAAGTGAAGCTTCAGATTCTAGAGGGTAAGATAAGTGTGTTATGGCACTGGGATTTGTAGATTAAAAAAGGAAGCATCTGGGTGTAATGTATATTAGTGCTACAAAGTTGAGGGCTTTAAACAGGACTTGAAATTGTTCTTCTTCAGCTTATGAAGTGCACACCTGGCTTCTTGTCAAATTGAAGATTGCCTCTTAAATTATTAAGAAGGGCCTTGCTTGCAAATAAAATGCCAGTGCCTGAGTTTACTCAGGGAAAAAGTCAATTGAGAGGGAAGGATTTTGTTCTTCATTTAGGTATAATTCACCCACTCTTCAGGAAGCCATGAGTTTTTCCAATTTATGATGTTGAATGAAAACTATCAAAGATGTTTGTCTGTCCAAAGAGATTATCAAAAGAGATCTGAGCAAAAATCAAATGTTTGCATATATAAATTTACCAGCAAAGATTTTCATTGTACAGCTGATCTACAAGAGCTAGCAAGCATTTTTCAGTGTACTTGTGGGTTCATATTTAGTAGTTTTCACAAACCCTGAAATCTTGCAAAGAAAGCACCCATCATTTTGTTAAAATCAATATCATGACAGTGATTTGGGATGTAATGAATTTACAGAATGCATATTCAGCTTTGGGTTTTAAAGGCATAACTTCTGCAATAAAGGCTGAAATTTGAAACTATCTCCTCGCTGAGCCTATAGTTATCTTCCATCTGTGGATTGTTAAATAGTGTCTTCCTTCTTTGTCTAATAAAAATCTTTTACTTCTGTTGCTGCAGGAAGCTCTCTATATTAGATATCCATACGGAACTGAACAAAAGAGTCTATGATTGGAATCAGACAACTGACCCAAGCCAGCAATACTCACTTCTGCTCCAGCACACACTGAGGAAAAAACTTTTTCTTTCTCCCAGTTAACTGCTATTGGAAAGGATATGTCTGAAGTAGCTGAGCAGTGCTTCCTCTGACTCGGTTTCAACCACGCTTTTACTTAGACTTTATTACTGCACATGTGCCTATTGCTTCCAAACACAGGTATTTAGAAGCATTTTAGGTTGTTTAGGCACTATAGATTTTAATATGAAAGTCTGAAAGCCTGGATGGTAACAGCAGCTGTTGTATAGAACGGCAACAGATCTTACAAGCAAGTGCAACAGGTAAACAGTGGGGAAAGAATTCTAAACTGTATGGTTGTTGGATTTTCCAGGGTTTTGTGTTTTGGTTTTTTTTTGATTGGTTGTTTGTATTTTAGTGATCTTGATGTGAATGCACTGAACTAGGCTTTTCTTTTGCTGCTTAAAAAAAAAGACAGGCCAGCACAAATCGTTGAAATCTAGTATGTAAACCATTAAAATTCAATGAGTACTTTCTCATCACTTAAAACATGTCAGGAGAAGATGCTTACTCAGCATACCTCCACAGAATTAAACAAAACAGAAGTAAGAGAGGGATGGTCTTTTTAAATAATTTTGATTCCATCTGCCTTGTATATTGGAAGTTCTAATTCACCCAGAACTCGTACTGTCAGTACTATCCATAGCACACCAGGATTGTATGCTAATAAATCAGGCAGTCTGGCATGTTTTGTGCTGTGTTCACCACTGATGCAAAAGGGACTACGTGTGGCAGCGCTTTGTAGCAGTCTGTGCAAATTATACATAAATAGTGGGATTTTGGCAGGTGTTCCAGGGATGCTGAAATGCACTTCACTGTGTGGTACCAGGCAAAGTATAAGTATGCTGTTTAGCACATTTGAACCAAAATGTAGCAACCACTGCTTCTTAAGACCAAATAAAATTAATCCAACACCTTCCCACACATACCTCTTTTGAATATGAAAAAGGTTTATCAGTTTACTAACTGGTTTTGTTTTGTTTTAAGTTTCTCTAATCTGTCAAGAAAAGGCAGTAGTGAAAGTTGTAGCTTTTTTTCGCCTCCAATACAACATATAACTAACATAGAAAGTTCAGCTGGCCTGCTTGTTATGTAACAGTATAATCTGGAGGACTTATACTGAAATTTAATGAGTTTATTGCAGTCTCTTCCCTCCTTATATAGTCTACTTGCAAACTTTTAATACTGCTATAGTTTCCTGATCAGGAAAAAATGCTTTTTCATTCCTCAGTGTTATGTACTTCTAGATGTTGGATTGACATTGTTTTTGGTAACCCCAAGTTTTATTTTTTCTTGTAAAACAATCTTTTTATATATTAACTCAGATAAAAAGCAAATGAGTTTTCAAGTAGCTTCTATAATTGTAAGTAAAGTCACGTTTATCTGGTGTAGTAGATGTCTAACTCCATTAAGCTCACAGAAGTCCTTCCTTGTTACGTGGTATAGGTCCAGTTTCTTCCTGGCTTGAGAGGTTCCTAAACTGCTGATTGAGGAGAAATCCACTGAACAGGTTTTGCCTTACAGTCTTTCCTTAGCCGTCTATGTGTGATGTTAAGATCACAATATCTATTTATTTATATTAATATACAATTTTATGTAATATATATAAAGTACATTTTATATCATTAACTGAAGTCTTCAGTTATGCCTTTTTAATTTTGTAAATTTTAAAAATTTGTTTTTGTATCTTTTTTGTGTTAACTGTAGAAAATGAAATACATAATTGTGGTGAAGAATGTTTGCACAAATTAGAAAAATATTTTGCTACATTACAGACCTATGTATAACATACTTCTATCTTTTCACTTAATAAGGTAGTTTCCCTTTAAAAAAAAAAAAGAAAACTTTTTCTAATAGCTTTGAATTGAAAAATGTGACTCCTAATTATATCTTAAATTAGGGGTATGTGTATTGTCAGTGTTACTGTAATTTTATGTAGGTCCAGGTATAGGAAGACAAAGATAGTAACAACTTGTTCTCAGTAAGCATTAATGTAAAAAATACTAAAATTGAATTTCATTATGTTGTAGGACTGGAAATAAATGCATTTATACTTTTGAGTGGGAAGGTCAATTCTTCCTTTCAGTTTCTACATTATAAGAAAGGGCCTGTCAGACTGGCTCTTTTCATACACTAATTGCGTATTGCTTCTGTCTTTAATGATAGATAATGTCTTTAAAAATATGATCTGATGTATTTCACACACAAAAGTAGAAAGCTTCAGAGTTTTGCATTAACAGAAGGATCTATGTTAATAAAATAATCTATCATAAAATAATAAAATAATAAAAATAATAATCTAGGTTAATAAAAATAGCCTTCACTTCTAACTCTGAATATTTCATAACTGACTAGCTTATAATAAAATGTAGCACAAGTGTAATTTTGAACTTCCATCTTGCTGATGTTCCTTCCATAGGGTGAGAGAAGGATTATAAAATGACAAATTTGGAGTCTTATTAGTTCCTGTTGCGACTGGTAAGGGAAGCAAATGGTGTGGCAAAAAGTATAGACTCTTCTGTGGCTGTGTAAATCAGGTTTGATTCGTAATTGCCTATATAAATATGTGATCTTAATAAATGCCATTCCTTCACAAATTAACTTAATCATTCTCCCATTTTCCTTACTAGCTTTTACATGTGATGAGTACTTCTGCTGCCATATAGACACCAAATGCAGGGAAAATGGAACCAAGAGAGGGCAGAGAGATGAGGGAAAGAAATAGTGAAAATTCAAGCAGAAATGAAAAGGGAAGTGGTAGGGAAGAACCAAGAGAAGAACACATAAGGAAAAGAAGATATGGAGATGTACAACATCAATATCGGAAGGAGGAAGGAGAAAAGATAGGAAGTAAGAATAACAGTGGATATTATTAAGAGATCTGAAAACTTTTTTTTGAGTGATGCTAAGTCCAACTATTTAGTAGAATGTTAGCAATAGGATATATTCTGTTTCTTGTGAGTTTGTGACATGGGTTTGTGTTGAAGGTTGAGGTGTATTCTGTGCTGTAGTGTAATCTGTATTCCCTTTCTTAGGAAATAAAGGAAGAAGCGCTGTTTTGAAAACAGTGGAGATGCCTGTAAATAACCCTTGTAGTAAAGAAAGGAAAGGAGTTGCTTTGTGTTTGGCTGCTTAGATCAGAATTGATCGCAGTCCTCTAATGACCAGGGTGTTTGGGGGGACATGTCCTGTGTCGAGCAGCATTCATGGGTATCAGATACTGGATTTCTACCCTGAAGCCTTGACCCTCTGCAGATTCTTAACTGACACTAGTACTCATTCTGGAGTCATTCATCTAAGCAGCATTTATTGCCTTTGCTTCTCCTTCAGGAGTCAAGAGTTTGATTTCCTGGACTGATGTGCAGGAATTTTGCAGTGGCAGAAGTTGTCTGTAACCTCTCCAATAGATTTTTGTGTCCCTCCATGTATGTGGTAGGGACTACTTATTCTTGCTGCATTGTCCATCTAAAATTTGAGTCTGGAAATTGAATGCTGGGATCAAGCCCTACATGTGTTTGACATGGTCTAGCTGAATTCCATTCAGCAGCTAGGAGAAAAGAGGGAGAACAATTCTGGATCCATCATAACTGTGTTAACATAGGACCATAGAAAGTGGCAGGTGCTGGTAGAGTTTAATGGGCTGCCAAAACATATAGTTTTCTGAACCTGCTGTTGAACAAGGATATGCAAGCTGTACCTCCTGCTTCTGCATTGTTCCTGCTCAGAGCAAGGCTGTTGGACTCATGGCTCCATGGCATAGCTTCAGTTCTGGTTTCTGAGAGCTGAAAAACAAATCTAGTGTACTTCTGTATGTGTTGTATATATGGAATGGGGAAAAGAATTGTCAAATGTAGATGATGCTTTCCCATTGGCTCAGAAGATGTAACCCTGCAGCAGGAGATTCTTTGGTGTTTTACTCCAGTCTTAATTAGCATGATTTTTCTGAGCTATATATCTAGTTTACTTTAAATCTAGTTTACTTTATACTGTTATCTATTTGTGTCCTGAATTACAATCAGTGCCAGCTCATGATTTGGAAGTTGCATTGAAGAGGAACTTTACAGTGCTCGCAGTTGATGTCCTACTCTGTCTGATACCTCTTCAACTCTGTAGTTGAAGAAATAACAGTGACTCCCGTTATGTGTGGTTGAGTCAGAGAATCTTTACATGATGCTTCCTGAGAATGTTTTTGTGATACGCACGGCTTTTAATTTCTGACACGCAGCACGATGTTGCTGAGAAGATGCTGGCTGTGGCAGATGATGTGCAGCCTGTCTGCTGTGTATGTGATTATGTTCCATTTAAACTGTATCTTCTGTCTAAATTATTTGACAGCTCTGTAGCTATTACTGAAGGATGTTTTCTCAGTTTCTGTGTTAGTCAAAAAGAAGTTGAAAGTGTTTCTGGGCATTTTCAGGATTGTGCCTCTTTGTGTGCATTATTTTTTCATTTGCATCACTCTGAGAATGTATTTTCAGTTTTTAACTTATATAAATAATGTCAAAATAAATGTGATTTCAGTTAATGCCGTTAGTAAAATGCATAAGCTTTGTCGGTCTCCCTCCAGCCCAGAGTACCCCTTGGAACTGTTGGCCAGTGGATCTCTTTAGTGCTTGCTAAAGGTGGCTGTAGAGTTACCACGGTTCTGTAAAAGCGAAATGAGAGCATGACGGTCAGAGAACCTGCTCGTTTCACAGAGAATTCACCCCGTGGCTGTGTGCTGGGCAGCAGTACGCGCGCGAAGGGCTCATCCCGGAGGCGTGGAGTTGGCACCGCGTTACGTATGAGGCTGCGCTGGGCAAGGTACACTCCCCGTCCTCCCGGCAGAAAAGGGCCGGAAGGACGGCCGTGCGTGAAAGCTCCATTGAAGGCGTCTCCCACAAGCACTGATCTCAAGCTGCACGTGTGTGATAAACTCGGCCTTTGCTTTTTTTTTTTCTTTTTCTTTTTTTTTTTAATGTAAAGTGCTTTAAAAGGGGCTTGATACCGAAAGTGAAAGTAGTAGAAGAGTTACCTCTCGCTTCTTACGCTCCGCCTTGCAAGAGTCCCCATATTTTTTTTCCAGATTATTTAGCGAAATTCCTGGGCTGGGGCAAGGGCGGGGAGTTCCAAAAGTCCCGAGGCCGACTGCGGCGCGGCACCGGGCGGAGGGCGCTGCCCGCGTGACTCCGCACCCTGCGGGGAGGAGAAAGGGCGGCCCGGCGCTCGGCCGAACACCGCGGAGCAGAGCCGCCTATTAGCAGCCCGTCGCGCTGGGAGGCGCGTCCCTAGGGGCTTCCATCTGTCGGCTTTGTCCCGCTTTGCAGTCCCGTTCCTGGGAATTCCGCCCCTCCTGCAGGGTGGCGGGCTGGCGGCGCCTTGCGGCGGCGCTGTGACTCAGCACGTGGGGCCGCGCCTGGTGGCGGGGCGCAGAGCGGGCAGCGCGGCGCACCACGCGCACAGCGGCCGCCGGGAGCGGAGGCGGGCGCGAATTTCTTTCGAAGGTAAGAAAGGAGGGTCTGGGACGGAAGGGGAACGAAAGAACGCGCCTCCTTCCCACGCTGCGCCGCTGCCCCCGGCGGCCAGTTGATTCTGTTGTTTGCGGGGCCGCGGGCTGAGCTTTGCCGTTCTTCTGCGTTCGTGGTTTTGCGTTCTTTTAAAATCGTTGTTAGGCATTGTTCCGTTCTGTGAAACGTTAGAGGAAAGAGTAATTTGATAATCTTCATCGCTTATTTTATATGATTTTCCTTCCCTATGGATATTATGCAAAACGTAGATTGGAGCGGCAGTTCCACTACCTTTCTGCGTGCGTCGGTTTGCGCTTGTTAGTGCCCTGCTGGCCTAGCCGTGAGCCGTGGCAAACCTGGGAGGTGAGGAGGTCCTGGCCATCGAGTGTCGCTTATAAAATGCATAAGTGCTAGAGGGCTCCAGAAATACCATAGCTGTAAACCGAGCGGGGGATTTCAAGCAACGAAGTGGTGGTGTCTCCTCTCCCAGCGTTGCTAGGAGGGAGGGCTGGGCCTTACTGTGGGCGGAAAAAGACTTCAGGACAACTGGTAAATTCAGCACAGGTTTGGTGGCTGTGAGGATATTCTGAACTCAAGCAGAAAGTGTTTGGAGTGAAGGGCATTCCAGGAGCGGCAGCAGCACGACTTGAAAACTGTTTTAAGGGTAGATGAAGGAATCTGTTCTGGGTCTTGCTTCAGTTCGATTTGCTGATGAAACAATTATGTATGCTTGGGCTATGCACGACCCTCTTCTCCTAAAGCTATGATTTATTATCAGATTTAATTCAAATAATCGACTCCAAATTACAGATAGTCACTATTCAGTTTGAACTTGGTTTATATGGGCTTACTGGCATAGGCAGGAATCAATTTAACCTAAGTTATTCTGCTGAATTTACTTGATTAAAGCAAGAACAAGGTTTAGAAGTAGCTTGGCTAAACTGATTTGAATTGATTCCAGACCTTTTTGATAGTAACTGGTTTCTTAAATGAAGAAAGTTTCACAACATGGAGTTCAAATTGAGGAGAGATTGTAAACAATAGTTAACGAGCTATTACATTTTGAATACAGGAAAAAGTGATCTGAGGGCTAGTTTGTTTTCATGTGGTTTTTCACTCATGACAAAGGGACAGTAGAGAGTGCAGGACTCCTGGAATTTGTCAGCTCTCTTACTTGAAATGTAGATAATGCTTCTTTGTTTGCTCTGCTTCCCTGGCTTTTTTTTTTTTTTCCTAGGTGCTCTCTTATGTAGAAAGCTTTGCTCATCCCAACTGCCCTGAACAAAAGACTAAGAACCTACCTGCCTGTCTGAAGGAAGTGCCTGAAGGAAGGCACTAAAGCTCTTTCTTAAGTAAGCTTCCCTATACAACATTGCACAGGCAAATAATAACTGCATAAGCTACACTGAAGAAGCTAGTGCATAAAAGGATAATTGCTCTCTATTGGAAACTTCAGTAGGATTAATTTGCTTGCACAGAGGCTTTCCTGCGCTAAATGCAAAAGAGTTTAGTAGAAGATCAAGGAATAAGTGATTTTGCTACATTCTCCCCACTGAGAGTTACAAAGGGACTCTTCCCACCCACCAACAGTGTGAAGAAGTGAAGCTCTGAACGTTAAAGATGATACAAAGAAATAAAAGAATTTAGGTTGGAAGGGATCTCTTGAGGTCATCAAGCACAGATTTCTGATCAGCACAGGGCTGATATCAAAGTTAGACAGGGTTGTATAGAACACCTGCCTGTATGGGAACTGTTGAATCACAGCCTGAGCCTCTGATTGATCAGCTGAGGCAAGCGCTGAGCCAGCCCTGGGCGCACAGGTGAAGGCAATTCAGCAGTGTGACAGAAAGGGATGCAGCCTGGCTCCACCTCTCCTAGACCCCATTTAAGGGCTGATCCCCACTGGGGAAGGGTCTCTTTCTGGAGATTGCTCCCTTTGGAATTTTTCTGCAAGCCTAGGATATGGGCCTTTCTTTTGTTTTAGATTGTTTCTTTCCACCATGATAATCCTTCTAGTTATATGATCTATACAATACCAGCCTTATCATGCCGCTCTGCTAATTGTATATTTGTTGATTGTACGCTGCCAAATTTATCCTTTGTTGTTTTGCGCTTGGAGAAGGAAGTATGTTTCGGATTGGTTTAAAAGGAAACTTCTCTTTTGCAGAGAATTCAAGTCTTTCAAACCTCCTTGGATTATATCTTATTATTATTTATAGTTATGAGGATTGCTGGAGATTTGACTGTTACCAACATTTAATTTGACTTTTAGGCAGAGATCATCAGTGCCAACAACATGGAGGATGTTGACAGCTTGCAGTTTTGTCAGCTGCTCCTGCTCATTGATGAAAAACTGGGGGCTGAGGATGTAGCAGCATTAAAATTTCTCTGTACTGACTTGATCCCCTTCAGAAAACTGGAAAGCGTGCAGTCAGCAATGGACATTTTTCAGCTTCTTATGGATGAAGATTATCTGAATGAGAAAGATACTTTCCTGCTAGCTGAACTGTTATACAGAATTAAATACCACTCCCTGCTCAGTCTCCTGGGTTATACCAAGGAGAAAGTGCAAGCATGTCTGCGTGAGAAGGGAAAAGTGTCTGTGTACAGGTAAGTATGAAACGAGATTCTGCTATCTGCCATCTATAACTTTCTGTTTCCCTTTCCTTTAATTTCTTGTATTGCTTTTAGCTTTCTCCACGCTCTGTTCTACCTTTGTCTCACTGAGTCTCTCTTACAGGCAGATGCTGTATGAATTGTCAGAGAACATTACCAATGAGATGTTGCAGGAAATTGTATTCCTCCTGAGAAACCATCTTCCAAAGCGACACAGAACTATTGTATGTGGGGAGAGTGGCAAATATGCCTATGGCGGGGAGGGAAGAAGATCAGAGTGGGAGTGAAATGGGAGAAGTGTGAGAAGTCTTTGGCAGAAAAGATGCCGTGTGACTAAGCTGGTCAATGTTCATAGGGTGAGCAAGGAGGAAGCTCCCTCTCCCTGTGATGTAAAATTGACTGTTTGGATTTTATTGATAGGAGGCAAAGCAGGTGATCGTGGGATTATTTGAGACAGACAGGGCTGAAACAAATGGTTTTAAGTTCTAAAGAACAATAAATATATTTCATTGTCTTCTTTATCAGTCTGCTTTGGAGTTGCTGATTTTATTGGAAAAACAGGGTCTTTTAACTGAAAACAATGTGCAGACACTGGAGGAAGTCTTGAGAAATGTTTCACCTGATCTCCTGGAAACAGTGAACTGCTACAGAATGGCAAATGGTGAGAAATTCAGAGTTAGAGAATATACTTGCTAAAATGCAGGAAGCTCTATGAGGGTCTGGGCAACTGAACTTGAAAGATCTATGTGTGCTTTACTAGACTGGGTTTGTTCAGTATCTTCACACGCAAGTTCAGCATAACTGTCCCAAACTTGTATTACATCATTATTCCCCAGTAGGAATGTGTTTGAATATTTGAGGCCACGCAGAGCAGTCCAGCACATACGAACTGCCTGAGAAACTAAAAATCCATTTATAGTTATGCCACAGTCCTCAGTTTCTATGTGGGTAGCACTGAGTTGATGATGACTATCCTATAAAAGACGCTCTGTGATTCATAAACGTATACATCTACAAAGCAGTTGCTTGCTAGTAAGCTGGAAAGGCAATTTGTGTTTGTCTGATACATGGTAACTTTAATTTTAGAATGTGTGATTGGTGTTCTCAGGGGTGTTGTACTGCAGCTTGTGACACTGCTACTCTTAATGTCCTATGGAGTGACTATAAGCATGCTGGAGAGAAGGTTCTACTTCCAATTATTTTAACAATGGGAAGCAAATTCTGGGAAGTCCAAAGCTATGTTTTAAACAGGTGTGAGGGCATTCAGTACCTCCAAGGGGTCCAGTCCCATGTGCTTCCTTTGTGTGTTTCAAAATTGTTTTTTATTTTAATGCACCTTTCATTAAGTATAGATCTGCATTTGCCCTAATGTGCAGGTTCATAGGGATTTAACTAAAACACACACGACGTCTCTCACTTGTTTTCTGTTTTTCTTTTTCTTAGTGTCTCTGTCTGAGCAGGAGAATGCTCTTCCAGTCAAGGAATCTTCACCATCTTACGCTGTAGGCATCAGAGTTTTCAATTCCCCTCAGGTACACTGGAACACATGCTGTCTGGGTCAAGGGTTTTAGTTTTTGGGGTTTGTTTTTTCTTTGCCTTCACTTTGAAACCATACTTGGTTGGCTCTCTGTTTCACTGATTCTTTCCACTTGATTTAATAAGGTGACAAGCATATTTGTTCTGCATATAAGAAATGCAACTCTATGTAGCATCAAATAGTTTCAACTGAAAAACTACTGTTGGTCGTGTGCAATTGGAGGAGAAGATAACACTAGGAGGAGAAATGTGAGAGAGAGGTATAAGAGGGCCTTCTAGAGAATGAGACATGAATTGCAGATTTTTAAAGTTTTGTCTGATCATCACAAAACTATCTATCTCCAAGGATTAACACCGTGTACTGACAACCGGTTCAAAAGGCTGCTTCTGAAGGAGTGTTCCCATTTCTCCAGCGTAGCAGTCCTTGCTCAGTTAAGTCATTTCTGCAGCTGAATGATGAAGCAGATTAAGAAACCTAACTTGCATGGCTTATGACAGATTTCTTTTTTAGGGGAGGGAGTTTTATTCCAGTTCTGAATGAGGGAAGCAATGGTCTTTTTGATGATACTTCCCAGAAGTGCAGTCGTGGTAGACAAGAGCTGAGGAAAATGTGCTATTCAGTATCAAAAGGGCTTGCATTACTGCAGCTTTGAGCTTTGCTCTGCTTTCATGCATGACATTTGGCATGGTAAGAAAATTAATGTCAGAGTACAAAAACATAGATAGAAAAAAGAAATTATACTATCCAAGAGAATTGATAGGGGGCAGTGTCAGACTATTTTCTTTGTTTTTAGTGATTGCCCACCCCTATACTGAAAGATAATTTGAAACTGAAAAAAAAAAATTGCTGTTTCTTTTACTTGTATGAAAAAATGTTTGTTTGCAGTTCTGTGACATTTGCAGTAAGTGAAAAAGTCTTTTGTAGTTTCATTATGCTTCCTGCTCTTAGGAATTTGGTATTTTCGTTACCTTGTTACCTGCTACTTAGAAAGCTTTGGTGTTTATTAAGCCTGTTTTGCTAAAACCACTATGAGGTGTGTGTGTGTGTGTGTGTGTGTGTGTGTGTGTGTGTGTGTATGTATATGTATATATATATACATACACACAATAATTTTAACATGTTCCTTCCTCCACTCAAAAAATAGGAGACCTCAATCAAATTTGTCAGTTCCAATATCCATGGTAAGACTTTCCAAAAATACACTCAGTTTGTTACTTTTATGTTTAATATTGCATATGATTATTTACTGTAGTAAATTTCTAGCATTTGGTTTAATGCAACACACTTACCTTGCTGTCCTACCTGTAAGGGACTTTTGCTTTCTACTCAAGAAGATTTGAAGGATTTCTACTCTTATGTAAATGGGAGAAAATTGGCAAATCCCATGCATTTTGTTAGTCATTCACTAGAAACTAACTAGCATAGTTTGTTTTTTTTGGAAGTGGAATAAAGATTAGTAGTAAGAAGATAGTTTGTTCTTCTTGAGAAGAAAAAACAAGTGCTCCATTTAAATATGCCTGGAAGGAATAGATCTCTGTGACTGTTTATAAAACTGAACTGTTAATTTTTTGTGTGTGAGACTTTAGCTCAGACTTCTTTTGCTATATAGATCATTATGTTGAAGAACCTGGGAGCCCATGGGAATATGCTGGAAATGTGAGCTCTGTACCTGGCAGGCAAGGTTTGTATTCTCTTAGTGTTTAATTGTTAAGCAATTTTTATTCTGTGCTGCCTGAAATTTAATGTGTTATTTAAAAGGACCACACCAATTCTTGTAGCCCTTTCTGCCATACCTCTGGGATCCTTATAGAGGAAATGAGAAGATGCGCTGACTTTGTCTCTCCAGTCCAGTTCAGGAATGCCAGTTCTTCTCAGACATTTGCTGAACAGCTGTTAAAATGGCAGAAAATAAAAGGTCTGAGAACAGAAATAAGCAAACAGACAAAAATTGGTTTAGTTCCTGGCACCTTTATACACTAGAGAGAGCATAACGTGTACAGTTAATGTTTGCACGTCTTCTATGGCTTCCTGGAAAAGTGAAGTTAGAAAGATTACCAGTTGAGGAAGTCACCAGGTGTTATATAGTGGAAATGGATGTTTTGAATGCATTGAGTAGCCTGAGATAGACATGAGAAGGAGGGGAGAGTTTCAGGTTCAGAAGGAAACATAAATAAATTAACAGTTGTATGGGAACTGCTGAATCACAGCCTGAACCTCTGATTGATCACCTGAGATGAGTGCTGAGTCAGTCCTGGGAGCACAGGTGAAGGCAGTTCACCTGTGCTGCCGGAAGGGGTGGAGCTTGGCTCCATCTCTCCTAGACCCCATATAAGAGCTGACTACCAGTGGGGAAGGATCTCTTTCTGGAGGTCCCTCCTTTTGGAGTTTTCCAGCGAGCCCAGGACAAGGGTAAGTCCTTCATCTATTCTTTTTTGGTGTAATAACCTGCTTAGCCAAACTCTCTTGTATGTTTCTTAATTATAACATCTGTATATTCATTGACTATATGGCAATAAATTACAATTTGGATCAGATCTCTAAAAGGATTATGTGCAAATAACAGTGGCTGGTATGTATACAGCTATCTTTGAGACTCCACTGGCCTGTTAAAAAGTATCGCAGCATAACCTGTGGTTTTCCACTTTGAACTTCTTTGAATGCTGTTTGAAAGTTTTGTCTCAGAGCTATTGTGAATCACTCAGGAACTGAAAGTATTATGTAATGGAAGCTTCACTAGTAAGTCACGGATTCTTCTTACAGTGCAGTTTATTTCTAAATATTTCCAGTTGAAAAATTGATTTGGCTGTTGCAGGTAGACTCTATCATTGTACCACAAGTGTCTTTGTTCCCTAAAACCAGCGCAAGCAGAAGCCTTGCCTTAGGCATGAAAATACTTAAAATAACTGGAGACATGTTCAGACATGTCATGCCATGTAAGTGATAGTAGCTATCTCATATGGAAAGAATTATTCCTTTCAATGTATAGCCATTTTAAATATAAGAAGGGCTGTACTGTAGCTAAACTCCTTTTTGCTACATACACCAATACTAGATTAATCCTCAGAAATATTTATGCTCTTTTTTCCTAGATAACAGAGTGCCTAATCTTACACAAGTCTTCTCTGAAACAAACCTGCAGCTGTCTGGAGGATTCAGTGGTGTAGAAAATGAATCCAAGGTTTGAGATAATCTCTTAAATGATTATTTGTGAATATGTAGGTATGTAAGGTCTCTATCCCTGCACTGGCATGCAATAGCATGTGAGATTTTTCTGTGTCTCGTGAAGGTGGTTGAGCAGTCTGATAATCCAGAATATTTTGGAGGGTATTCTAACCTTGGAGGTCAGGAACTTCACCATATTGAAAGACATAGTGAGGCAAAACAGGCATATTGCCTTTGGTGCTATACACACATTGTTATCTCCCTGATAGAGGCAAATCGTCTGGCATAATCTTGAGTTGCAAAGTTTGGAGATGGCAGCAGAATGTGCAGGTAGAAGCGGAGGCAAACATACCTTCACAGTTCTCTCCCTCTCCGGATGTGGCTTAGAAAAAGCTTCAGGGTGCCTTGAAATTAATAATATTGCCTTCACACTCTACCCACTATGGAAGAAGGGTAAAAGAAGGAAAGGCAAGTGTGTTCAGTAATCATGGGTGTGTAATGCACCAGGCGTCTTGGTTCAGGGGAAAACGTGCCTTCTGTGAGGTACCTTTTTACAAGTCTTGTATGTGTTCTTTAAGCTTGCACAGCAGTGTAACCATTAATTCTCCCCATGTCTTTTTCCTTGTGATAAGCACAGATATTGAGAGAGCGTGTTGCTGCATTTGTTTATACCTGTTTAATTTCTCAAAGTTCTGTGCTATCAACTGATGTTCAGAATGCTCAAGCAAACACTACTGTGCTACTCTTGAAAGAGTTTTTGGGGTGATGTCTTGATTTCCTTCAACTATAATGCACAAAATTGGGTGTTTTTTATTGTTCTTTCCAGCTAGCAGAGAGGAACAGGAACGGTGGAACTCTAATTTTTACCTGAGGTTAAAATTAGGGATAATATTTGAAGTTTTGGTGACTTCTCAATTTTTAAAGCATTTTTTCTTAAGAGGGTGGTAATTTTTAAGTCTCAGTGAAACTGCTAGTGTGGCAGGTTTGTTCCTGTGTGAGATCTCTGTTCTCATTGCATCCCTTTCCAAAACCACCAGTAGGCACTCAACAGTCCTCACAGAATGAAATGAGGTGTCTGACATTGTCAAGATTGAGGGTAAACCCTTATAACTTAAAGTTATAATCTTTTCCTGACAGTGAAATACTGCTAACCCTAACGCCAGTTCAGATTGCATACAGATCACCAACTCAGTTGTTAAACCCTTCTTCTGCACTTTGATGGTTTGGTGATAGTGTGCTTGAGACTTCATCCATGCCACTTCACACAAGGAGGCATTATGAGTTCCACTTTGTTGGAAATATCCTGGAGTCTTGGGCACCTCTGGTGTTCTGGTTGCCAGTTTTTAAACATGTTAAGGAAATATGATTTCTAGAGATCACACATCCGTGCTGAATAAGTTCTCTGAAGCTGTAAGCTGTTTTTCTTATGCTTTTTACAGGTGTCAACTTACAAAATGGATGGGCCACAGAGAGGAATTTGTCTTGTTATTAATAATGTTAAATTTGATGGGATTCTTCAAGAGAGAAAGGGTTCTTATAAAGATGCCTGTAAGTTCTTGAAGTAAGATTTTTGAAGGGTTGATCTCTATTTCCTTTGATTTTCCTGTATTGTCTATATTTTTTGTATGTGTTCCAGTAAATATTTTTAAACAGTAAAATTTTTGAGATGTTACGTCACTTGTGTATCCTTGCAGGAAGGACTAACGACTGAGTAACCACTGAGTTTTTCATAAAGTTAGATTGTTCTTTAAACATCTTGAGAATTCCTTTTTAGTTAGTTTTAATTCTTTATTATAGATATAGACTGTCATTTTATATAATGCGTAACTCCTTAAGCAAACAGCTCCATGTGTACTCTTTATTCTGTTTGTCTCTTTTTGATAGAACTCTGCAATAGTCAAAACTGCAGTTGGAAAACAACATTCTAAGAAGGTTTCGAAAGAGATCACCTTAATTTCCATATGTAATTTTGAACTCAGTTTGTGATTGTACACTGTACAATGTCATTGTATTTTCTGAAACTTGTCTAGAAGGAATCAGTTACTGTGTTTGAGCTGATGCTACCTTTATTCCATTAACTTTTATTTGATAATAGTATATGGATGAATTTACAGAAGGATCAGCATATGATGTCTTTTACACTTAAAATTAGCTTGCACAATGACCATAAAATGGTTTTCTACTGCCTCAATTTTTCTTTCTTATCTTTAATTACAGGGGAACTGGAGAAAGTATTCAAATGGCTTGGTCTGGATGTGAGGACTTACACAGATCAGACATCTGATCAGATTAAAGAACTGATGCAAGCATGGCAGCGTTCAGAATACCACAAGGATAGGGACTGTTTTGTTTGTTGCATTCTGTCTCATGGAGAGTCAGGAGCAGTCTATGGGAAAGATGGAAAGCTTGTATCAATCCGCACTATCATGACCTACTTCACTGCCAAACAATGTCCACAGTTGACTGAAAAACCCAAACTATTCTTTATCCAAGCATGCCAGGGTAAAGAGATACAGCGTCCTGTCTATGTTGAAACTGATGCACGAGTTCCTGACTTCTCTTCTGTACAACAGAGCATTTCTCCTTCTGAAAGTATTCCTGAAGAGGCTGATTTCCTTCTAGGCATGGCCACAATTGATGGATATGCTTCTTTCCGACATGTTCAAGAGGGTACTTGGTATATTCAGGCCTTGTGCAGCAAGCTACAGTCATTGGTACCAAGGTAAATAATTATTTAGGTAGCTCTTATGAAAAAATGGGAGGAACTTCCCCTTCTTTTATTTTTCTCTGAAGGCAAACTCGAGTAGTAACATTAATCCATGTTCTGAAATAGGCAAAATCAGTGAAACTACTGGTTTGATAATTCATCTTTGATAAATTTACATTAACACCAGTAGTAGCTTAGTGTCAATCAGGTCACTGTGAAGTTTATTGGGGAACTACCCCTCAAAAAAAAAAAACAAAAACAAAAAAAAAAAAACACCTAAAAACCTCTGAACTTCCAATCTCTGTCATATTAGATGAAGCTATCCGTTTCTTTAGTGGATTTAGATGAAAATATTTTGTTCCCTTCTCTTTCATTACTGAATGTCAGTCATAGAATTATAGAATGGCTTGGATTGAAAGGGACCTCAAAATCATGAAGTTCCAATCCCCTGCCATAGGCAGGGTTGCCAGCCAATAGATCAAGCACGAGAAGTCAGAGAGAGAAAAAGTTTTGTATTTCTAGTATGACTCAAGTGAATATCAAAAGAAGGGGAATTTGGAAAAAAGGGTGTGCTTTGTTTTACCTTTTTTTGGCTTTAAGTGTTTATACTGTAGCTTCTAGATTATCTGACAGGTGTTACATGGAGAAACTGTATCATCTGCTCATTAATAAGTCACTTTTTATTTTTGTTTTCTTTTTGGCTGCAGGGGTGAAGATATTTTGTCCATCCTTACGGAAGTTAATGAAGATGTTAGCAAGCGTGTTGACCGTTGTGGGACAAGGAAGCAGATGCCGCAGCCAGCATATACCTTAAGAAGAAAACTTATATTCCCAATACCTAGAGACCCTCCTCCTTCACAGTGACATTGAGACTTTTTTAATACATCCTTTTGTCAGTACGTCTCTCTAAATGCAATTCACAACACTTTTTTAAAGTTGTTACTGACTCCTCAGGAACTGTTGGTGTCAAGGCAAGGCCTCTCTCTTTTTTTTTTTTTTTTTTCTTCCAGAGAAACTTTGAAGCTGAGTTGGAAGAGATGCAGTTAACACAATCAGTGTGCCAGCTATTTACATCATCTGTATATTCAGAATTTTCAGGGATGGGAGAAGCAAGTTTCTATGATGTTAAGCATTTTTATCTAAATGAGGATGTTAACAGTCTGGTTTAGACTCATCAAATTTTATTTTGCATACTAATAATGCTTAAACCTACTTCTAAAACCATAAGCTGTGTTCATGGAGAAAGGCAAAGGTAGGAATGAAGAAGAGAAAGTTCAAGTAGAAGGTGGAGGAGAATTTTTTCTTTCATTCCTAACTTAGATCACTTATAATTACTGAAAATCACTTGGTTTTTTTTTTTTTTGCTGTACACACTGATACCCTCTAGTAGCTATTATCAACTCGCATACAGGATGTTTCCAAGACTCAGTATAGACGAAATGCTACAGTATTCCCTCTGTGAAACCTTGTTAACCCTCATTTCCACAGGCAAGTTAGCGTGGAACAGCTGAGCACTACGAAATGATAATATTCAGCATTGTATCTGCATACATTGATCAGTCTGATTAACTGGAAACATTAAATTTTCTGATTTCTTATTTTAAGATATAAAATGCATTCATATGGGACAGAAGGCTCTTTATTAAGCTTCTAGCAGAGTATGTTTTAGAGTTAACCAAAATAAGGTGATGTTATTTTGTTAGAGATGTTTACTATGTGTATCTGTGTCCTTCCTGTTTGTTGCTGAGTTTAATTTATACTTCTTTTTAAGAACATGGGAGTGGGGGAAGAAAGTAGTAATAAAAATTTTGTACAGGGCTAAAGCTTATCATTGCTTCTGCTTGCCTACCTGTAGAATAGCATGGAATGGAATAATTCAGATGAAAGAGGCCTTTGAAGATCAACTTGTCCAACTGCCTGACTACTTCAAGGCAAATCAAAAGATAACGCGTGTAATTGAGGGCATTATCCAAATGCCTCTTAGACACTGACAGGCATGGGGCATCTCTAGGAAGCCCCTTCCAGTGCTTGACCATCCTCATGGTAAAGAAATTTTTCCTAATATTCCGTTTGAACCTACTCTGGCACAGATTTCTGCCATTCCCTTGTGTTATATCCTTGTTGGGTCTCATCAATTGATGGGATTTTTACTACTTCAGGACTTAAACTGAAAGTGAAGCTTAGTTTATTTCAACAAAACAGTGATTATTATCTATAATTACTAGCTGTAAAATAGCTCAAGACTTGGGGTGTAAAAGTGAGAGAGCATGGAGTGATGCTCTTGGAACCAATTTTTGCTTGCAGTATACATGATTTTTGTATCACTCAAAACATTAAAATGCAGTCAATCTGCCAAAACATCTTTTACTTTTCGTCGTTATGAATTGAACTATATTCTAAGTCAATTCATGACTGCATTCTAAGGCTTCTGAATTAGTGTAGGTCCTACGCTTGGGGTTTCGTTTATGCCACAGGTAGAAAATATTTTCTTTGCTAGTAGAATATATAATATTCTATACAGAATATATATATTTTATATTAGAATCAGTATATATATGTATAGTGCATATATATATATCACCATATATATATTCACTATAATAGAATCACCAAGTATCTGGCTCAAAATTAGTGTTCAGATTTGGTGCACTCCTCTTTCATATGTTCAGATAACAATTGAATTTTATCAGTACAAGCACTGACAAGAATCTTAGAATCGTAAGAGTGATTCGGGTTGGAAGAGTTTGGGAATACAAGAAAAACTGTTCAGAGGAGCAACTGTGGAGCAAGATAAACAGCATGAGAACCAAGGACACCTAGAAGAAGAAAGAATGTCTCATGGTTGATTGGATAAGCACCTGCATGAACGGTTGAAGAGTGTTTGTAGAATGTTCTGTTGACCTGTGAAGGTGGATGGGAAAGCTAGATAAAGGAAACTTCTGAAGGTACAGAGTGATGTGAGAACTTGTAATAGACGATTTGGGTTGTTCTCATCTGAGTCTGTGCATCAGATGCTGCAGAAGAGACCTTAATGACATTCATGGTGTAACTGCATTAGTGGACAAACCCTACTATCAATGCAAGCTGGGAGATGAAAGGATAGGACATAGCCCTGTCAAAAAGGGTGTGGGGTACTGATGGTTGGTAAGCTGGACATGAGACAGCAGTGTGCCCTTGCAGCCCAGAAAGCCGACTGTATCCTGGGTTGTATAAAAAGAAATGTGGTCAGCTGGTTGAGGGAGGTGATCCTGTTTCTTTGGTCTGTACTGGTGAGATCTCACCTGGAATACTGCATCCAGGTGTGGAGTCTTCGGTACAAGAGAGATGAGATGCAGGCCTATTAGAGTGCGTCCAGGGGAGGGCCACAGAAATGATCCAAGGGATGGAGCACTTCTCCTGTGAGGACAGACTGAGAGCTGGGGCTGTTCAGCCTGGAGAAGAGAAGGCTCCGGGAAGACCTTATAGCAGCCTTTTGGTATCTGAAGAGGGCTATAAGAAGGAAGGGGAGAGTCTAGCAGGTTTGTTGCAGTAGGACAAGGGGAAACAGTTTGAAGCTAAAAAGGGGGAGATTTAGATTGGGCGTGTGGAAGATTTGTTACAATTTATTTATAATTGCATATAATTTACTCAGAAGATCTTTAAAGTGGGATTTGTATAATTGACAAGTCCTTCCACACTGGCAGTTTTTTGTGTAGGAGTGGTTTATCCTGGCTTTTGCCAGTAGAGGCCAGTCACCAATTTCCGTCAGCATTTTTTGCTTCCTTGAGACCAGCCTTTCTGGGAGAGCTGAATTTTTTGTAGTCTGCTGTACACGGAATTAATTGGATCATCGAGATTGTTCTTGGTGAAGCCAGAGGGACCAAATAGAGCTGCAGAAAAGCTGAGGGAAATTGGAGTGACTACAGGTTAATAAAAGAGCAGGGATGTTTTGGGGAAAGATGAAAGAGAAATAAGAAGTGAAATCATAAAAACAGGAAGAACAGTACCAGAAGGGGTGTTCCCTGGAACAACTGCATGATGGGAGAGATCTCTGTCTGGAAAGAGCTATCTTAGGATTGGACTTGTCTGCAAATATTTTTCATGCTTTACTAATCACGGTATTTTGCCTCTTTAAATCTGCAACTAGAATCTTGATTCATTTAAGACACAGAGTGACTGATGAAGGAAGAGAGACAGTGAGGCATGGGAAGACGCGAGACAGAGCTGTTTTGGACCTGAAGATCAGAGAGTGCTTGTTCTGTTCCTTGGTGTAATTTCTAACCTTTGGATAAAAGGAAGACTCATGCAATTGAACATTAGACAAATTTTCTGAGTTCTTACAAGAGTATGACCTTTGGAAGAAGTTTGTAGGCCTCGTTCTATTAAAGGGTATGTTATAATTTTGAGTTCTTAAAAGCAGGTAGGTTGAAATCAATGAAAGGTAGCTTCCGTTGTGAAATTTGAATTTCTGTTCTCCTGTCTCTTTTCATAATATTGAACTGAGTTTCAGATGTAGATGGAGGGGTTGGTAGCTGTACTGATTGTTGTTTATATGCTTCTCAATGCATGAAGTGTACCAGTGACCAACGGATCATTCTTGGAACTTCATCATGAAAGGCAGAGTTCTATGCATGGAAAAAGATGTAAATGCCAAAACTTAAATACTGTTTAAATTCTTTTGCAAATGGGGAAATATGAAATAATTTCAAGGAGATGTTTAGCCTTTCAGTTTCCTGTATGCACCAAGTACTGCTACTGAATATAGTGCTGATATTTCATTTTAGGAAATAATCTTCCATGAATATGCTTGTTAAAAGTAGGCTAGGTGAGTTCAAGTGGGACTTAAAAGAATGGAGGTAGGATGTGGAAGATCTGGTGACACAACAGGATGATGGAACTGAGATATTTTTAAATGGGAAGATGTAATTAATGCACGTCTTTACTGCTATCTTTTAATTAGGATTCATATTTAATCACCATTTAATGAGCAGTACCATATGCTAGCAAGTCCTTGCTATGCTATTCAGTGTGTACTCTCAAAAGCTTCGGTTACTTTTGTAGGTTTACTAATTTTTCTCACGGCCAGTGTAACAATTTCCTGATTCCAGAAGAGTGATAAGTGGAGAAGGAAATTGCTGCAAAATTATCACAGCTCCGATACAACTTTCATTTTGTAAGTCACATGACAACACAGGCCATAGTACATCCAGTACTTTTCCCGAAACTTCCAGGACAATTACTTTCATTTTTCAGAGTTGTCTCAGCAGTCTTCCAGCCCACCTTCCCAAGTAAGTGTGTTAAAGTGGCTATTTATGGTATAGAAGAAATAGTTTGCCGTTGTATCGGTTTTGTTTTAGTGAAGTAGAAGACAGATGCAGTTAAATATTGTTTTAGTGTGCTCCTGTATTTACAGACAGGCTTAAATACAGCGTGTAGACGGCACATCTGTTCTAGTTGCAGTAAGTTGTAGATTTGAAACTTGTTTTCTGACTTTCTATTGTGCTCAAAGGCTGGATGCGCAAGTCAAATTTAATATTGGTGAAGCTGATAGAGGTGGTAAGTGATGGAGGAGGAGGATGATATTTGATGATTAGTGAAACAGAACTGCTTTGACAAGAATTCTCCTGGTCTTTTTGAAGAGGTCACCATGATCCGTATTTGATCTGAATATTACTGAGAAATGGAGACTGAATTTTACTTTCTCCAGATGAACCAAAACAGGACAAAGTGCTTTGTTTACACTGACCAAGGTCAGAAGCAGTATACTGAAGCAGCTAAATAGCTTAGAAACATGCTCATATGGGCCTTTACCTTTGTCAGGATGTAAAACCTTTATCTTTGTCATAGTACAAAATCTGTCAGTCTTATTTACTGTGTAGTCTATATTTCAGATTTTGAGTGACAAAAGAAAAACTACTGACTTGCCAGGATAGTATGTCTTACATATCAGTACATCTGGTTATTGAAATACACCACAGGAAGTGAGTTCAGAGAACCAAAAGGGCTAAGTATCAAAGCTATGTTTGCGGGACAGCTTCTGTCTATTGAAGCATGTTTGATTACATATATTTATCTCAGACTATTCTGTATGGCATGATACCTTTTATAATCACGTGGTTGCACTACCATTACTGACAAACCAAATCAAATTCTGTCTGTGTTTAGATCAAAATCTTAATGTGAAATGAGTTCAGACTTCTGGAAACTCCTTTTTGACATTTCTGAGGCTTTGGTCACAGAAGAACTGGCAGCTCTAAAGTTTCTCAGCTTGGAGCATGTCCCTGTGAGGAAGCAGGAAGATACTAAGGAGCCTAAAGCTTTCTTTGAAGTGCTGAAGGAGAAAGGGATGATTGAGGTGGGGGACCTGTTCTTCTTGAAGGAGCTGCTCTACCGCATCAATCGGATGGACCTTCTGGCTTCCCACCTGGGCTCCAGCCGAGAGGAGATGGAGAGGGAGCTCCAGGTCCCAGGGAAGGCAAAGGTGTCAGCGTATAGGTAGGCACAAGAGTAGTATACTTTTGCAAGCAAAACGTACAACAGTTCTGTTGTCTTTCTTGTTTTCTGTCTACAGTGTTATTTTATGAATTGTTCAGCAAAATTATATTTATTACAGCATGACTACTTGATGCTGTGAATTTGGAGACTGTGTCTTACATTTTGCTACACTTACTTCTCATAACTTAATCAGTCTTTCTCTGACCTTTAATGCCAGACAACTGCTATATGGAATTGCTGAGAACTTAACTCCAGAAGATGTCAAGAGTGTAAAATTCCTGCTGCAAGAAAAATTACCAAAGAACAAGCTCCGGGATAATGCTGTAAGCAAAATGATCTTGAGAAGTTTCTTGCAAAATATCTCAGAGTCTGCCTATTTTAGGACAGGAGTAGGGAGAGACTAGTGCGCTCATTAAATTTCTGTTCTTCAAAGATTTGTGATGGTAGCCAACAGGTGCTGTGACAGCACAGACCCTTTTTTCTCACTGCTTTTTACTCTCCTGTCCTCATTCTGTCTGCACTACATGCCTTTTCATCTTCTTGTGATATTTGTCATGCTCTGTCTTTCATCTTTGCTTGACTTTTTGTAAGGCATTTGTGCATATGGTGTATCTAATAAAAGTGATGTTTGCTGTTTAAAAAAAAAAAAAAGGCAATTTTTCGGACATCATAAAATGAGCTCTCAAGTGAGTTCCACCACAAATTTTTGTGTGTTACTGGTTACGTTTTCTTTTTTGTTGTAATCTGAGGTAACAACTCTGTTAATTCCCTCACAATCATATTAGGAGGTTTGGTGAGCTAGTCTCATACCTGTTTTGTAAATAATGTATAGTGCTTTAAAAGTATGTGGTATTACAAAGAAGCTTCCTTAAAAGTCCTATTTGTGTTGTAGCAACTATTGCAAAATGAGCAGATTTACCTCCAACTTGGTGGACAAATCCACTTTAAATAATAAAGTCATCACTGAAGGTATTTCCTGTGTTAGGAAATGTAGAGTCATGCAGCTGAATGGCTCACAGCAGTTCATCTGAATGCAGAAGCACAAGAAGATGCTGTGTTATTATCTGCTTAAGTGTTTTGCACTGCTGAAGCAAAGCAGGATAACCTAGCCATAGGCAATTTCTACAATATGGTCTTTATCTTAGTGGTTTGTTTCTTCATTCACATTGCATCCTGACCTTTGTTTTAATGAAGTTTGGGGGAAAAATAAATCGATCTTCAAGTTGATCAGTCTTCGGGAACCGAGGATGCTGATTTCTCCAGAAGTGTCTGATAATGCTGTTATTGAGAGTCACTATATGATTTTGGGTTATGCTTTTTGTTTGCTGTCCTATTTTTTTTTTTTTACCAGTCAATGTTGAAGGTGTTAGTGGAAATGGAGAGAAATGGGATAATTAAGGAAGATGACCTAACAATGTTGAAGAGTGTATTAAAGGCATTTAGACCTGACCTAAAGAACAAAATTGATAACTATGAAGAAAGAACAAAAGGTAAATTAACCAGCTGTTTAGGAGGATAACTTTTTTGTGTGTGTGTGACTTTCATAGCTCTATCTTCGGGATATTAGAATCTGGAGATAAGAGAGACCTCTTAAAGTATATTAAGATGAGCAGAACAGCTTTTCTTACCCTTGCTTTCTAATGTTCTCTGCTATTTCACTATTGCATTATATTTTCTTGTACCTCTCCCTGAAACATGTTCTGTTCTGTCCTGGGCTAAGGAAGGTCAGGATAAACAAACCCCTTGTCAGGAGAATAGCTTTTTAGTATTATTGGTATAGTTTTTCCCCCTTGATAATGCAGGAAAGGAGCATGTTGGTAGATCTTGCTTTTCTGACAATTAAACTCAATTTAAAACAAGTATTGTCATTTATTTCCTTGTGTAGAATCCTGGGTGATGATTTATTCACTTATTCCTGGCAGCTGTACTTAAAGCAGTGTTTTCTTGCTTTGAAGAGATCTTCCGTTATGCTAGTGTTCTGCTTGCCTGGCGTGTCTACCAACATAAACCCTCTAGGGAAGGGACAGTAACTTCAGAAGTAAATGAGTTGGCTGCGGTGTACCATTATAAAAATGGGTTTATTCTTTTACCTATGTATCCCATAGTGGAGATGCTAGTGAATGGCTTTCCTGGGGTGACTGTCACATTCATGCTGCTATTATTTGGACCTTGCTGCCAATAAAAGAACAAAGAAATTGATCAAGGTACAGCTGTTGTGAGAATGCAGTGCCTGCCATCTCCTGCCTCAGGTTGCTGTACGTGCACAGGCCCAGAAGTTCACTTCTGCTTAATAACTATTATACTAAGAATATCTGATTAGGGCTGTACAGTCTTAACACAACTGTATAATTCGTTCCAAACTTTGCACAGCTTCATCTCTTTGTGTTGGTTTTTGTTTATTTGGTGTTGAAATATGCAAAGTGGCATATTTATCCTAAAATATTCTGTTTATCTCCTTCTTAGAAAATGAATCTAACGAAAATCTGAGCTTTCCAGTCTGTGTGTCTACGCGTCCACCAGGACAAGGAGCAGAGGGTGGGGTGAGAAATGCCTCAAGATTGCCTTTGAAGTATTCATCTAACTCTTGGGAGCAGGGGGAATAAATTTTTAAGGCTAAGTGAGTGGAAGAGCTAAAAGAGAGGGCTTCTGGTTTTTATGTTGGCCGTGGAAGAGTTCCTGTTTTCAAAACAAGACCCAAGCCTTATCCCTTAGTAAGGACCTGGCTGTCAGCAACCTTACAAGACAATAAAGGTCGTTTTCCTATTTGTCATGGGAAGAAAAGCAATGTTAAAGAGGCTAGGACAGTAAAGTCCTGTCCAGGAATATCCTGGACAGCTGGGAAGGGCCCAGAAGCATCTGTTACCTTGCTGGAAAGCCAGGACTCTCAGTGAATGGTATAGTGCAGGAACTTTTCCTCCATGTGTGCAGAATTTAGTTAATGAATACTTTCTCCCATTCCAAAATCATATCCTAACCAAAGAGAAAGAGGAGGAGGGTTTCCAGAAGAGCAAGCAACTTCCTCTCACCTGTACCTGGAGCTGACTTGTACTCTTAAGCTATTTTTCTTGTAGCTTTGCCGTCAAGACATTTGTGTGTGTGTGTGTGTGTGTGTGTGTGTGTGTGGACATGGAGGAGCACCAATCTGTACATAGCATATTTCTTTTTTGGGTGATTGGCACTGCTTTCTTACATGGTTTCTTTGTTCTACAGCATGTGGAATCATACAAGATGGAAAATAACCCCCATGGTTACTGCGTGATTCTGAACAACTATCGTTTCAAAAATCCAGATGAAACCAGAGAAGGAACAGTGGAAGATGGAAGTGTGTACTTTTTTTTTTTTAATCCAATGACTAGTTTAGTCTCTTGTATTACCCTCTGAGTTATTTTTACTGTGAAAAATGATTGCTTCCACTGAGCTCCTTTGCCTCCAAATTAACTGCAGTGACAATCACTGTAGAATTTTGAAATACACCATGTCCAGCAGTTTGGCTGATGACTTTAAGAAGGAAGGTGTTTATGTTGTCAGTAAAAAGCATCATCTTAACTGGTCATATGTAACAAAAAGTGAAGGAGAGGTTACTAATCTGCTCTTTCACTTTCTGATTGCTTTTAATTTTTACCTATCATAGAGTAGCACTTCTGAGGTCCTTAAAATCTTTCAGTGTTCGTTTGCTTTACAGCTTGGCCATGCTGCAAGCTGAGAAAGCATTCCAATTTAGTCAGTATGGACACCCGTTTGCAATAATGCTCAAATAAATGCAGTTATTTTCTTGTTTTATAATTGTCCTTAATGCATGCTTTCTTGCAGGAATCACTTCTTTAACTTAATAAACTAAAATCAGTTTCTTGAAAGCGCACACCAATGATGTTTTAACTCCACCCTGCCTGTCTACATGCTTCTTTCTTCCCATCTCTCCCTGAACAAGTCAACATTTGCTGGGAAGTCTATGGAGCACTCTGTCCTTGCTAGCACTTTAGCAGGTTACTCTGTATTCCTTCTTGCTGCATAAATCATTCTCACAGAATGAGGGATCAAATTCATTTAAGAATGGTAGTTGTTATTGTAAAGAGTTGTTTCTTCCTTAACTAGCCAAGTGCTGTTCTGTTAAGCATCTGAGATGGCTATGCAAATAGTGAAAGCCTTGTTTAAAAAAAAAAGTACATTTCACTAAATTGTACAGATAAATTTTAGGGCAGTCTGAAACATGCATTTTGTTTTAAATAGTAGTGTTCAACCTGATTGCATAGGGTTTTTCTGGTTTTTGTTTCCCTTTAAAAAAAATAAAAGAAAATTAGGCCATTCTCTAATTAGACTTGGCAGGCTAAGAGATAGGTGAACTGTTCTGCTGCGGATAGCCTGATGTTTATGTTTAATAAGTACCTTCTGACTTTTTTTTCCCCAGGAGCTCTGAAGAGAGTATTTAAGTGGCTTCAGTTTGACACAGTTGAGTACATGGATCTAGAAGCAAAGCAAATCTTTGCAAAAGTTAAAGAATACAGCAAGAAAGATCACAGCAACATGGACTGTTTTGTTTGCTTCATTCTTTCACATGGTGAGAAGAACAAAATAAAAGGCGTTGATCATGAACTTGTAGATATTAAAGATTTACTCTCCTGCTTCAGTGGATCTAATTGTCCTTCTCTTGCTGGCAAGCCCAAGCTGTTTTTCATACAGGCCTGCCAGGGCTACGTGGGTCATCCAGCTGTTGCAGTAAAGGAAGACTGTTCTGGTCATCTTGAGACGGATGCTATCCCTCTGCTTTCTATTCCTGACCAGGCTGATGTTCTGGTTGGCATGGCTACTGTGGAAGATTTTGAATGCTACCGTTGTATAGAGACGGGCAGTGTTTACATTCAGTGCCTCTGTGACAAGATGGAGTTACTTTGCGCACTGTAAGTCTATTTTTAACCCAGTACAGATTTGGGGTTGTAATGCTGTAACACTATATATAGGCAGGTGTGTTTATGTGTGCACACTCTTAACATTTTATTGACTGATAAATGAATTTTCTTCCAGTGACACCTGATGAGAGGCAAATTTGTTGGGCTAGTACACAGGCAGAAAATCAGTATTCTTTACTCATAATTCTCATCATTGCCTCCCTCTTAAACTTAATTTAGAAAATGGAATTTTTCCTCCAGACGCTACCTTCTTATGATGTTCAAAGGGCAGCTTGGTGAATGCTTAGACTGGTTCTGTTTCATTTTATTGTGCTACTGTGACCGCAACTGAAGTGGAAAGCTGTGTTAATTTGTAAGGTGATCCTACATGGAGGTTGCTTTTATTCCCCAAAACATACGGAATTCTTTGGTTACAAAATGGGATGTGCAATTTTAGTTGTGGGCAAGGTGAAGAATAGATAATAACTTTCTGAGATCTCACTTTATTGGAGCAAAAATAGATCAGTTTCTGCCCTAGCAGCACATACTGTGTATTTTAATGTAACTTTTCTTAATTTTTGTTCAAGTCGCAAGGATCTCATAACCATCCTGACAGAAGTGAACAAGGAAGTGGGAAGACTAATATTAAATGGGTGGAAACAGATGCCAAAGATAACATCAACCCTACGGAAACAATTTATCTTCCAAATTCCACAATGCCAGTCAATTGAAAAGCAGGAAAAATAAGAATGTCCTCGATTAGGAATTGCTTCTGGAATGGACTTCCACAGGGAATTTAAGAGAACTTGCAAGAGAAATGGTCTGGGTCTGTGTAGTTTGTTGCTGTCCTGCAAGGAGCCATCTGACCTAAATTTTTCAAATGCCATGTGTGATGAGTCTGCCCAAACTTAAATCAGTAGGCAATGGAGGAGTAAAGAGTTGCTTTCCTGTTGTGCAGATGCACTGAAATCTGTTCAGTCCTGGTTTTAACTTTAGAAGCACCTCCAAGCAGTATGATTTTTAAGTATTTCATGTTAATGGAATTATAATTTCTGTCTGTTAGGAGAGTAAGTCCTTGAAATCTGAAGGAAAGAACAGGAAGATTCAGAGCACCAGATCCCTTCCCAGAGAACCTGTGTAAGGCTATAACTGATTTACACTGAAGTGAGTGACTGGGTATCTCTGGAAGCTATGTAATTTTTCACAGAAAATAATATCTCCATCCAGAAGGGCAAAAGAAAAATGATTGTTATATGTCTGGTTCTTTTCCTCCACATTTTTTTGTTTGTTTGTTTGTTTGCCTTATGTATTGATTTGCATGGTTGGGCAGCATTGCTGGTTAGAATTTTTAATAATAAGTTCCAATTGTGCTCTTTCTCAGAATGCTTGGGAAGCACTATCTTTTGAAAGGCTGTTGACCACTGGAAGTAAGGTTCCATTTCATGAGACACAATTCTGAGATACTGTCACCTCCTGGCTGTAGCTTCTATGGGCTCCTAATCTCTGTTGTAATAAACACTGTTTGTTGTCACATCACCCTTGTTTGTGGTGTTTTCCTCTCAGGAGCTAACTGAGGGACAGTCAGCACAATGAACCTCCTTTGCTTCAGCTAAAGAAGTTATTTTTGCTTTCACTGAAGTATTCTATGGCAGACACTCTGACGGAGAGGTGGTGCATTGATATTCTTTCATTAGCAGATGGAGACATGGTAGAAAAGAATAAACTTAAAGTTAGGACATTCTTGATAATGGGAGCTGATGCCAGTGAAGCTGCTCTTACCTTGTATTTTCAGCAATATGTATGAAGTATCTGGGAGTCATCTGAAACTCTAATGGCTACATCCCTTTTAAGCTTTGTAGCAAGATAAAGGATCAGTGTGAAACACTTTATAAGTTATGCTTTTTTCTTAATAGATCTGTGTCTAGCTGTAACGCAGGGATTCTTAATTCACCCTGTTTGTCTTCCTGAAGTGAGGCCTTTTACTCCTAATTCTTCACAGTTGTTGACAGTTGCTCTGCTTACCAGTTTTACTTTCCAAGTAGAAGAGAGAATGTCTGTTCTTAGAATCACAGCTCTATTCATACAGGTTTCATAAATAATAAATAGATATTACAAGTATTATATAAATGAGAATGCTATTTGTGGCAGATGTTAGCAGGTGTTACAGGTTATGATGCATTTCTATAGCTGATGTTTGGTTAACTGTCGAGGAAACATCACAATTCACATTTCTATAGCATTTTCGTAAGTGAGACCTTGCTATAAATGTAGAAGTTAATTTTTTTTTTTTTCTTTTAAACTTTCTGGAAATATGGTTTAAATGAAATCAGCATGTAGCTTCCCCTGGGAGAAGCTTGCTGGCAGGCAGCAGCTGCTCCAGTAGAATTTAGAGAAAATATTACTGGTATTAGTGAAGTGGTGAATCTACAGCACTTCTGTTTCTTTCGGTGTCTCTGTGTCAGAGTTCTGTCCTCTCAGATTAGGTTCTTTTATTCCACATGAGGAGAATTTAATGTCTAATATCAAATTTACTTGTTTGGTGTTACTTGGGTTTTTTATATAGTAATAATAAACGTATTATCATATAATAGGAGGCATGACTTTTGGAGAAGCTCTTGTTACTTACAAGTAATTTCAGGAAGAAATCATACTGTGAGTTGATATGTGACTCAATGAAGGAGAAAATGCACTTTCATTTTTTGTGGTTCTGAGCAAAATAAATATGCGCAGCCCCATGGCAGAGTGGCTGCAATGTTTCCAACCATATTTGTTGCCCTCTATCAGAGCTGAGAGGTATGAAGGAAACTTGAAGACTGTACAATTTCCTGACTGTTTCTTCTCTGTAGCACAACTCGGAGAAAGGGGGAGGGGTGATTGCCTCTCTGTTCAGAAGGCTATAATTAGTCAGCCTGCCTTCCCTTTTCTTCAACTCATGTCTGGGAGGCAGAACTTTGCACTGAAGCAATGCTGACACTTGAGTCTGTTATGCTTTCAGCCAATGGAAGCACTACCAGTGGTTAGTGAATCACAAGATTGGCAGGAAGGCAAGGCTGAGTTTGGTCCTGCAGAGATAAGCTAGAAAGCAAGCAGTCAAAGTGAGGCTGTTTGGGAAAGAAAATGCTGAGAAGACCGAGGGAGGGCCATTATCTGCTTCGGCGGAAACAGTGTTCATTCAGAGCCATGAATGTCTGCTCTTTGATTTGAATCTTCTTATTTCTTCAGTTGAACATCAGTTTAAAGTCAGTGTCCCAGAGAGTTGTTGATGCCAGTCTTCCCTGGGAAGTTTGTCATTCAGTCTTTATGACAACTGGTAATCTGCTGCTGCCAGGGTGGGTTTTTGGCACGTATTAGGAGCCTGCCTGCTCGCTGCTGCTTTCTCTCAGCACGGGCTGCTGTTTAAGTATCCACTAACTTGGTAAGGGTTCACTCTTTTCAAAGTTTTTAGAGCACTGAAAAGTTTGTCTACAGGAGACTTTTTATTTAATTACTTACTTCTATTTAATTGTTGGCTATGTCTGCCATCTACATCTCACACGGTAAATCCTGGAAACTCATGAAAAGTGGAAACAAACTCCACATTCTTTAGAAGAACCAGTTGTGCAGCAGGGAGTTCAGAGCTAGAATGTTCTCATGAAATTTTTAATGTTAAGTCCTTGATGGCCATCCTCTTTATTTTGACCCCTAACTTACACAGGCACATCTTTTCTGGAATTATTCAGATCTATCTTTTTCTGATAAAGAGATGCAAACTTACAGAGAACATGTTTAGTTTACAATGGTTTCTGTGCAGTGTTCTAAAAGATAGTTGAGATCTTTGGGAATTCCCAAGTACTCATTTGTGTTTCCTTTCTGAAGCTGTGCCTTTGCTTACTGCTGTATTTGTTCAATGTTTGACAACGGCGGGAATTCCCCAGTCACATGATGTGACTGACTTCTGCAATTCTCAACTGTAACACATTCCTAGCTAGACACAAAGTTATTCTGCACGTATCTTTGGAGCTTCGCCTGGCTATTTTATATATCAAATGTTCCTGTAGCCACTTTGTGTTTAAGCTGTTTTGTCCAGACATGTCAGTGCAAAAAAACACATCCATAGCTCCTGCAGTCTATTCAGTAGGAGTTTGTTTTAACAGGACTTGAGGGATGTTAACTCATACGCTGTTTAAAAAGGGGAAAAAAAAGTCTCACTGCATTCAGATTACTTCCACCTTTGACCCAATCTATATGCAGGCAGTAATCAAATATCTTGCTTAGGGCTTTGTATGATAATAATGTAAATATTTAATATGTAATGTAATGTAATAATGTATGATAATAATGTAAATATTTCTGGTTAATTGCTGTATTAAAGGGTAAATATGGCAGATTCTTTTGAATACCAGTAATGTGAATAATGCAGCTCTGAACTATGGAATACCTCCATAGAGATTTCTGTGTTTCCCAAGAAAGCACTTGGTGTAACTGAGTGTGCAAATCTCACCCAATAGGTGTCCCTGTGGGGGTGGGAAGAGAGGCTCAGCCCATTGACTGGTTCCAGAAGTCAGCATGTCCTCCCAACTTGTCTGCAATAGTATCTTTCCCAAAAATTCCTCCTCCCTTTTTTATACTATTTTCTTACTTTCATGTGGAGCTTGAATGACTAATATTACTTATCTTGCAATCGGTGCAACAGAAAACTGAAAAACTAACTCAGTTTGACTGCTATGCACTTATCTGTTCCATTTACCTGTTCCATAGTACCATAATTGACTGCTATGCAGTTATCTGTTCTATAGTACCACCAAGTTCCCATCCCTGGGCTTAAGGAACTGTCATGGAATACACTCTGTGCATATTTACTGCATTCCATCCTGGAGGTGTCTACAATACTTTTTTTCTTTTGAGAGGGGAATATCCCAATAAGCGACTTCCAGTGATTACTCCACATAATTGATCCTGTGACTACAGATGCTCAAGACTCACAATATTTAGGAGGAACTGAGAGGACATGTGCAGCCTTGTTCTGAGGATTAGAGCTCAAGGGGCTCTGGGGCTTTCACTATTTATGGGGTAAGATGATTAGCACAGTCACAGTACGTGACGAAACTGTTATCAGCCCTGAACACAGCCTTGGGTGTAATGGCCAGGCCAAAGGATGAGGTTGGGGCGGGGAGAGTACACTCACAGTTTACTGTATACTTTTTTTTTTTTTTTTTTTAAAAAGGGAGTACTGGTAGGAAGAGGTTGTTTTAAAATCAGTGCTGAGCGCAGCTCTCGGTGCTGTTAATGTTCAGTTTCAGAACCATGAAACTCTAACCAGTAAAAACACCTCCCTCCTTCCTCCTGTTGCTGTAAAATACCATCTCTTTGTTAGAATTTATAACAGAGGTTATGCACCATTCCAAGTTCTCACCCCATCGTGTTGCTTCCTGTGGGCTTGCTGCTGCTGCTGAAAGCTTCCAGCAAATCCCAAGGGCTGGGAAGGAAGTTGGTTCAGTGGCTCGTGCCTGTTATTGGGGAACGGGGTTGAATACCTCGACTGAGTGTGCTGTGCTTCCTGTCAGCAGCATGGGGGCGGCTTGCGAGGAGGAAATGTGTTCTGAGATTTTTTTCACTTGTATTAAAATAGCGATGAATTGATAGTGCCCTTAGACTGTGGAGGTGTGACTGCAGCAGGCAGAGGGAGAGCTCCTGACCTGCTCAAATAAGTTCAGTTTTCTCAAGACTCCTTTTTGTGCTGGAAATATCCTTGGGATGCATGTGAAGATAGTGCTGTGATTTGAGCCCAAACTCTTATTGGAGAACTCTGAAGTCCTCTAATTTACTTTGCTTAACCACTGAAGTGCCACTCTGGCAATTGATTTTCATGTGTCTGTTTTGTGTGTTTCTTCTGAAATACTTCAGCACAGAGGCAAAGCTATTCCTTCTGCTTCCCCCACGTTTCCACTTACTGGTTTTGCTTAGTGAGTGTATGAATTTTATGAAGCAAAAAGGAAAGAATTCAAAAAAGCAGGGAGCAGTGTTAATGTAAAACGGCACAGAATGCTGTGTTTTGCATGTGTTGCAAAACCACTCACGTGTAAAATTCACTTCTTCCTGTCAGTAGTATGCGTGTTTGAAGTGATATGAGAAATCTGTCCGCTGGAAAAAGAGCACTGATGTGCTATTGGACGCTTTTTTTTTTTTTTTTTTTTTTTTTTTTAAACAGTAAAGACAGATGTATTGGTATTTCATGGTAAGAGAAGAAAAGGAAATATGAAGCACAGTGCCGCTCAGGCTGAAGGAAGGAGCTCAGCATTTGGACAGCAGTGACGCCTGTGGAGATAGGCGTATGGGAGGTGGGCGCTGGTGAGCGCTGACCGGCCCCTGCGCTCTCCCCCCGATCGTGCCAAGCGCATAGCAGGGATTTTCGACTTCTCCGGCCTCTTTCTATTTTTTTAAAAATAGCGCTCCGTAACTGTGAACGGAGACAGCCTCAGCTCTGTCAGAAAGCTCCCCGTCTGGCAGACAAGCAGTCTCTGAGTTGAACTGTGGGTTTTCAAGTAAGAAATCCAGACGGAACTACAGCTCCCAGGAGCCTGGGCGTTGCCCCGCCCGCCGGGAGGCGGACGGAAGCGCAGAAGCGCGGGTGCACGAGGAAGTGGCGCTCATCCCGGCTCAGGGCTGGAGCTGCTGCGGGGAGATGGAGTTCTCCCAGCTGCTCTTCGTGATCAGCGAGGCGCTGGACAGGACTGAGCTGGCATCTCTGAAGTTTCTCAGCCTGGAGCACGTCACTGTAAGGAAACGGGAAGATATTGAGGAGCCCAAGGCCTTCTTCCAAGCATTACAAGAGAAAGGGATGATCGAAGTGGGGGACCTGTTCTTCTTGAAGGAGCTGCTCTACCGCATCAATCGGATGGACCTTCTGGCTTCCCACCTGGGCTCCAGCCGAGAGGAGATGGAGAGGGAGCTCCAGGTTCCAGGCAGGGCACGGGTGTCTCCATTCAGGTGAGTGGCTGGCAGTGTGGGCTCACCAGGGTTCTGGAGGCGAAAGTCTGACAGAGCCTGACCCCGGAGTTGTTCTCTGGGGATCAGTTATCCTTCTTGGGTGGGTAGGTGCAAGATTTTTACTGATGAGTTAACACCAAGGTAAGGTTTGACAGAACATAAGCATCTCCGTCTTTCCTAGGAAAAGCAGGTATAAGCAGTAGAGAAAATTTCTGTCCAGTAAAGGAGAGAGGATCAAGCTTTCTTCTCTGAAAGAGTCGTGAGGCACTGTAATGGACTGTCCAGGGAGGTGGTTGAGTCACTGTGCCTGGAGGTGTTCAAGAAACATGTGGATGTAGTACTAAGTGACATGGTTTAGTGGGAAAATGCTGGCAGTAGGTGGACAGTTGGTCTACATGATCTTAGAGCTTCTTTCCAACCTTGGTGATTCTACGATTCGGAGATAATTTGCAGACTACAAAGGCCTCCCCACCTTTGTTGTGGGCTGCAGTCAGTGACTGGGTGTGACTGCCTTTACCCTCATGTCCCAGTGCAGAAACTTTCTGTGCAATTCTGATTTTGGGAAAAAACTTATTTTTGGTTGCAGCTGAAAATGGTTTGACTTCTGTCTGTTCTGGGACTAATGTCCTCAGATTAAAAAGAAAAAAAAGCTGCCCTGGGAAGGCAGCTGGGGGTGCAGAGGGGATGGTTCAATGGTACAGCATTAAACTGTGCTAAGGTGAATGCTAGAAAACATAATGAAACTGTCCTCTCCTGTTCCTTCTAGATATCTGCTCTTTCAGCTGTCAGAAAACATCACCAAAGATGACATGAAGTGTTTCAAATTTCTTTTGGGAAAAGAATTACCAAAATGCAAGCTAAGTCCTGAAACTGTAAGAATTATTTTGTTTTGTTTTTCTTTTGTTTTCTTTCCTTTAAATAACTGCTATAATACATAGCAATATTTAGGTTGCTCTGAGGGGAATGAGAGTCACTTTTCCGTAAGGAAAAGGGAAGACTGGGAATGGTGCATAGAGGACTTGTTGTGTGCCAGTGTGACATGTACTGCTCCAGCCCAGAAAGCACGGTTCAGCCCTGGGCCAGGCATGATGCCTGCACACCCAAGCTCTGTGTAGGGTTGACTGGTTTTATTCAGTAGAGGGCTGAGCACTTTCATTCATCTTTTCCAGCTGGTTTTCTTTTGGTTGCTAAGTAAGTCATTAGCGAATGAAGAATCACCCACTAGGGCTATTCCTGTAATGTTCTGGTTCTATTTATTTCCAAACCTAGAAGAAAACCTCGAACAGATCCAGGCAGAGAGCTAAGGCCCAAGAGCTTGGAGTTAACTTACATCATTGCAAGAGATACAACTGTTCTTTACACTATGTCATCCTGCCCTTTAGACTGCTAGGTACTTTGTTCTGCCTAATGAAATCTCTTTTAAAATCTTTCCTCTTTTCTTAGAGGATCAACTGTGCCTGTTCAGTGGTGGCTGTTCTAGTAAATCCATGGGTGACCGCTGTGCTCTGCCACTCTCTTTGGCAACAGCTTCTGTCCCTTGGGTTCTCTCTTCAGAGAACTCTTTATATTTGCATGGTTATACCCATTTTTGCTCCAGTGATGTTTGTGTTTCAGTCAAGTGCACAAAGTTGCTGCTGCAAGTCAGATAAATGTCATTAAAAATGACATTATTTGTTCCTATGTGATCACCATTAGCTCTCAGCATCTCTGAGCAGTGGGAGGGAAATAAGCTTGTTTTGGGAAGATATTTTTCATCATTGTACTTCTAGCTTTTGTCAACCTACATTTAACTGAATCAGCTTGAGGTATCAACTGAGACTGATAGTGGGTCACTTATGTTGTCAGTACATTAAAGCCAGCTTGGGTGCCCTAAACATGCTGCAGCTTCCTTCTCAGTAGCAGCATGGATCTGCCCTAAGAGCAAACTACTTTTCTGATTGCTCAGACAATGCTCGACGTTTTCATGGAGATGGAGAAGAAGGGGATTTTGAGAGAAGACAACTTAACTGTCCTGAAGACTATTTGTGGAAAAGTGGACAAGAGCCTGTTGAAGAAAATTGAAGAGTATGGATTAAAGTCATTTGGTAAAACAAAACAAGGCCTCTTTCCCATACTTTTTATTTTTGAAGTGATATGTAAGGTGTCTTAAAGGACTAATAGTGAATGCTTTACAGGTGAAGGAGAGATGCTTGTAACAGAGGGGCAAAGAAGCAGCACAGGAGCCCCTGAAGGTAACTGAAATTTCTTCCAAAATGAACATTTAGATCTTTGGCTTTTTTCCATCTTTTGACCTCTACCTGCATCTGGCCTTTAAACATGCGCCTATCTGAGAAGTGATCAAGTATCCTGTTGCTTACTAACTGATTGCAGCATTTTAAACTCCCTTTTAATTGTTTACTTATACATATGTTCTGTGTGTGTATTCAGACAGTGCCATATGGCTGGCATCATCTGTGGCACCTGATTCTCTCGGCAACTGTGATCAGCCTTCACAGGTAAGTCAGTTTGTGTCTTAGAAATGTCACAATTTTGTCTCAGAAGAGACCATTCCTTTATGAAGTGCACATGAACTATAATAAGCACAGCTGCTAAAGGCACTGTCTAGAAAAACAAAGATGTACTACTCTTTAACATTGTTTATTTTGAAACTATGTACCAGGCAGAAGCAGTAGAAGCATTAAGCTTAAGAAATGTTTTTAAGAGTAGAAGATACCCCTAATTTTAATACCAGGAGATAGGCAGCAGGTAGATAAATAGGCACAGAGAAGTGGATGAATGTAACACCCCTTGTGGGCGGAGTGTGATGGTGGAGGCTGCAAAAGATGGGTTCTGTCTTGCTGTGAGGCTGCACATGGCCAAGTCCTGGTAGCAGAGCTGTACGGGAAGAGCTGCCCAGATGGAAAGCTAGCTGGCTTTTTACCCTCTGTGCCACTACAAGGGCTGAGAAGCAGTCACAAGAAATCTTTCTTTCTAACAGCTTGAAGTTTATAAAATGACCAGCCGACCCCGTGGAGTTTGCCTGATCCTGAATAATCATAATTTTGCAAAAGCCAGGGAAGCAGTGCCAGAACTCAGAAAGATTAAAAATCGGAATGGGACAGACGTGGATGCAGGTACAGTGAACATTACAAATGAGTTTACATATGTTCAGGGAAAGTGGACTGTACATAAAAACAGGAACCATTTTGTGTTCTGGACTAGGAGTCTAAAGTTCAATCTTCCATGTCAAGGCTATGTTTCTTGTAGTGGTAGACTTGCATACTACTAAAATACACAGAATCAAAAGCAGATTTGCTGGAGAACCAGAATTTTACTTCACTTCTAACTTAAGAATAGATGGGGATATGGAATTCAGGCACTATTATATTGCTATTCAAGGGAATCACTTCAGTAGGCTGTCCTGCAGAGCAGCAGCGCTGCTTGTTGGAGGTCCTAGGGTCTATGAAATGGATATATTTGCACTACATTGACCAGGAGAGAAAAATCCATTAGCAGAGTGCAGGTTGTATTCTTGAGATGCAGGTACTACCCAAATATATTGACAGAAATATTTTATATATATTTTATCAAAGGATGTATTATCAAAGGAAAACTTAGAGGTAAATGTATGTCAGTATTTTTATTTTGTAATATTTTAATCAATATGCTAACTTTGTTTTTATTGAATGCATGATCAAGTTGTCCTAGGGGAGGCTTAGATAGATGTTAGGAAGAATTTCATAAGGGTGAGGATGGTCAAACACCAGAATGGGCTATCTGGGAGGTGGTAGAGTATCTACCCCTGGAGGTATTTAAGAGCTGTGTGGGTATGGCCCTAAGGTGCAGGATTTAGTGATGGGATGTGGTAGGTCTGGTTGATAATTGGATTCTATGATCTTGAAGGTCTTTTCCAACCTAGATGATTCTAAGAGAAATCACTCCCATCTATGTAGAATTAGACAAATAGTTAATGTCCTTTACTCCTGGGGAAAGGAGTGGCACTGTTTGACATGTGTTGCAAGACACAGAGACTAGCTGTAAAGTTCTGTGAGAACTAGCAGCTAGATTGCAGATAATACTAAACAGCAAGATCACAAGGAATTCTTTTATTGAGAGAGAAGGGAATGTAAAACAAATATGATTAGTGATCAGACTACTACATTATTTTCAGATAAAAACTGTAAATACCTGGATAACAGGATGGCAGGATTTAAAAAAAAAAAAAAAAAAAAAAAAAGAGTTTATTTGTAATTTTAGAAAACTGCTTTAAATACTCCTTGGTTTACTTTCCAGATGCTCTGAGAAAAGTCTTCAGCAACCTTCATTTTACAGTAGCAGAATACAAAGACTGCACTGCAGAGGAAATCCGTAAGATAGTGAACAACTATCGGTGCATGGACCACAACAACAAAGACTGTTTTGTTTGCTGTATTCTCTCTCATGGAAAAAAAGGCATCATATACGGTGTTGATGGGCAGGAAGTACCTATCCAGGAACTGACCACTTCTTTCACTGGGCAAAATTGCCAGTCACTTGCTGGAAAACCAAAAGTCTTCTTCGTTCAGGCTTGCCAAGGTGGTGCTTATCAGAAAGGTGTAACCATTGAAACAGATTCCGGGCAGCAAGATCATTCTTTAGAAACGGATGCAAGATTTCAGCTGGACTGCATCCCCTCAGAGGCAGACTTCCTCTTGGGCATGGCTACCCTGCAAGATTACGTCTCCTACAGAAGCCCAAGCCAGGGGACCTGGTACATACAGTCACTGTGCCAACACTTGGAGAACAGCTGTCCTCGGTAACTATACTTCCTAAGATACTTTTTAGCAACACCTTTTATCTTCCTTTTGGAGGACACAAGTTTGATTTGAATGCAGAGGTAGATAACGTGCACTGGGAGTGATCACTCAAAGTGAAAAGAGCAATGTAGAATAGCAACACTGACTGTTTGAAGCAGTTCACCCAACTGCTTTAAAGATGGTTTAAAGGAAGAGCCATTAGCAGTTGCACAGGTCAAGATGATATATAAGAACACAGTAACTTTTCTGATGTTACATACAAATACTCTAACACAAAACTGCCTGTATTTTTTGCAGAGGAGAAGATATTCTCACCATACTGACAGCAGTGAATCAAGAGGTGAGCAGCAAGATTGACAAGCAGAATGCAGGAAAGCAAATGCCACAGCCCAGTTTCACACTGAGGAAAAAACTTATATTTCCTGTAAACTAAATGGGAGCAGAGACAGAGAGCACTGCAGTAACATGAAAACCACTCATCTCAGCTGAGAATTCAGTAAAACATCAGTCTGCTCCTAGCAGAATATATATATATATATATGAATGTTTTTATTGGTAACAGATAAGGAATAAAAGCTTTATGAATGTAAGAGTTAATTTAGGTGATGCTTTTTATACTTGAAAGCTGGTCTCCAGTTTGCAAACTTACAATAGATTGAAGGCCCTTCCAGCTGTACCTACCATACATTGCTGTTGTTTTGTTAAGATACTTTTCAAATACAAATTCATATAAAGCCTTGTGTACTTTATGTTTAACTTTTCATAAAATAAAAGACGTGGGACTACAAATTTTATAGAATGCATCATCTCATCAGTATTTTCTTACACACCTCTCTGCTTTAAATCATTCAGACTTAGTCTCAATCTTTCTCAAAAACAAGTCAAGAACTTGTCCTCCAGCATCCTGAGCTGTGACCTGCATTTCACAGTATCCTTTACCTACAGTACTCTTAACATTCCAATCAATTGCATAGGTGCAGCATTATGCTTATGTTCACTCACCTTGCTGACTTTAAGTCTCTGTTGTAGGCATAGCAAAAAAAGATTTTACTAGATAAGTGAACAGCTCTTTAAAGACATATTACCTCCTCTGATTACTATGTGCACAGTAACGATATTAATGTAGGTGACTATATAGCTGATTTTAGATAAGTCTTCAGTTGAACCATTTTTGGAATGTAAGTAATTCCCTAGATTCCTCTGCTGAATATTTCTTCACTCTTTGCTACCAGTGTGACCTTTTTTACTTTGGATTTTCATCCAAGATTCTCTCTCCACACATACTGTTCAGTACTTTACCTTTTACGTCACACCTGTACTCTTCAGCAACGTTCTGTTCTGTACATACACCCTGGGCTCCTGCTATTCTAACTGTCCTGCTTGTCACACTGCAGATCAGCCAGCTTGGGACCAGTTACAGCCAAATGACAAGTTGCACAGTTCCCTTTCCTTTGGGTAGAGGCTGGAATGTCTTTTAAGCTTGTATTGCTGACAAAATTTAAGTGAGCCCAGAGATTTGAAATCAGAAGAATCTGACAGCATGCTTGTATAGGCAACTCTAAAGAGTTAAAGGAAAAAAACTACAGCAACTACAGTTACCTATTCTGAGGGAAATAATTTCCCCAGGAGAACATGGTATAAAAAATCTGTGGGAATTTTCCAGCAAGATAAATGCATCTCATAAGCAAGGTCTTACTAGGAATCTCCTCACATAATCAGTTTGGCAACTCTTTTTCAAATAGGAATTAAATGTGTGCCCTTTCAAACTCTTTTATAATTGGTTTCCTCTTATAAAGCAACTATTTCACTGATTCACAAGGAATCCCAGCAGCTCTGCAGACTAATTACACTCATGCATATGAAGAAAAAAGGAAATTCCCTCTACCTCTAATGCTCTTGGTCTTGTAACAGATATGTAAAGCAACAACAACCACCAGTAAGGTTTTGAAGGTTCTTTGTGTGCTGCTGAGGCACATGTATTGCAGTTACCTGTACAAGCACCCCTGTCAGTGGGACAGTGCACCAATAAGTTACAAGTGGACAGCCATAGAGGCCACAGCACACACAGTGAGGTAAACATTTGCACATTTTAGACTAACTCTCATTGGTGTCAGTTGTTTGCTCGCACTAATTCTGCAGTGCTTACCTTAGGGTAACATTTTCATCACAGAGATAAACTGCAGTGAGCTGGTGGTTTTCTTCAACTGATGTAATTTTCTTCTGGATGCTTCTCTCCGCAGCAGATATTTTGCTTTCTTTGCAAAGAAAAGAAGAAAAAAATCTGTTTTCTTTTTTTTGTTTTTTTTTTCTTTGTAAATCTTTGTAAGTCTTTTTCATTGTAAATTTTTTTCTTTGTATATCAACATCACAACTAGTAAATACAAACAACAGTAAATTGTTAAGGTGACTCATGACAAACAAACAAGTACTACCAATTACCAAGAACAGCTTTCTTCACTCCCTCCTTGCTTCCCTTGTTTTTTTTGTTTGGTTGTTTTGTTTTAATTGAGAAGATTGTTAGAACCATCACCCAGGACTAGTTTGAAATAGCCTAAATTTCACAGAGAGTTAGGCCATTCTTTTATCCTCATGTGTATTCGCAGTAGGATTACTCTAGTAGTGCAGCTCTACATAGATCACCATTTCTTACACAGATGCACAGTTTTGTAACTGCATAGATATGGTGAATATTAGGCAACAATCTAAGTTGCATACATGTTGGTGAAGCAAACTTGGGGAACTTCTTTTACAATGCAGATGCAGGCACTCTATCTTGTGGCTTGACCCTGCCTAACCACCTGTAGGTACAACAGTTGCAGAGATTTGTAGAAGAATCTCTCCTCAGGACGTCCAACTCAATCTTCTGCATATGAAATGCTGAGCTGAAAAGTCAGCTTCAGTCAGACGAGGGTTCCAGTCCTTTGCCACCCTCTCATGTCAGAAAAGATAGCAAGCTAAATAAATACAAGATACTTACCGTAGGATAATGGTGGTTCCTAATTTCTTGCGATGTTCTGCTATCAGTTATTAAATTAGACGAATTTTAGCAAAAACCTATTAATTGCAATAAATGCTGTTCCCAGTCTGTACCATGGAAGTAATCAAGGAAAACAATCTGAGCCTTTCTGCCACAAAAGCAGGTGCAAGGACATGTGTTGGAGGTACGCACAGCTACAGGCAAAAATTGGGCACCCCTGTGCATATGGAATTTCATGAGACGCACACAGAGGGAGTACTTTTCAAGGATAAATAGCTTGGTTTCAGTCTCTGCTCTCACTTTATCACAAACACAGAGGAAGGCTAATAAAAATACAGTTACTGAGATAGGAAATCACACACTTTCCTATAAAAAGCTCAAGCAATCTTCCCTTGGAGGTCTGAAGAAAAAACAAGGGAAGAATATATATGTCCAAATAGGAGCACATAAAATAAATGCAAACAAAGCCACTGACCTAGATAGATACTTAATTGTAGCAGAGTAGTCTAGTCTCTTTTCTGCTTCTTGCTTACTTGTCACAATATTGCTAGAAGAATGCAGCATTAGCTGCTGTAGTACCAGAAAGCATAAGCACATTGATTTCAATTGAGGCTCACATTCAAATATTTTGCTTAGAAGCTAAAGACCATTTTGTGATTTTATGTGAAGTTTTATCATTCCTAAGTAAAATGTTTTTCAAAAAGCAGCATACTAAGGGGTGTTTTCTAGATTTAACCAACACATTTAAACTGCAGTCGAAGTCTGACCACAACTTGTATTGCACATCCATATTTCCTTTAATTGCTTAAGTATGAACACAACTGCAAACAGACTAGCACAGCCTGATCAAGTTTTGGAATCAATTTCTAAGATAGCTTTTATATGCAATACTTACGCAGATACCAATTCACTAAGTCTGTACACCAATCACTAAATTCTAGCCAACTGTCAAAAAGCTCTAATTTCAATTTCACTAAATAACAATGCAGAAAAGATGATGACATCTGGAAGAAACCACACAAGATGACCAACATACTGAAAAAGGACATGTTATACATGTTTATTATGAAATTTACATTCCACCATGAAACGACAGTAGGTGCAAAAAGCAGATGGGGAAAAAAAAAACCACATTCCCAGACCGTTCAAACATTGTGTGTAATCCCTTTGTGTAAGCAGCCAAAAGAGGCTTAAACCTATTATCCTCATTCCCTCTGTAATGCTCTTTGACAGCAGTAGACTTTTGACTTCATCAGCCCACAGGTATTTTGAGTGTGCAGGTATCTCCAAGTTTATCAAACACGTGAAGCTTGAACCGTATGCCTGTACAACTAGAAAGTTATAAACTTGTACTTGATTTAAGACAACCTGAATAAATGTAGACACCACAAAATTTTCCTTTCCAGTGTCTTGAAATTTCACAAACACGGCACTTCTTTTCTTTGCAGCATCTATTTTTTGTCTCAAATTTGTAAGGTAGCAGAATGTTTTACAAGTGCAATTCTCCATCAATTCACTCAACCAAATCACATCTGTGCAGGACAAAAAGGTCTTGAGAAAGATCTCAGCTACCTAAGTCATTCAAGTTCATTTCCTCTCTTGCAGGAGACAATGGAATCCAAATGAGTTCTTAGAATAATGGCAACTTTAGTATGCTATCAGAAATACATGTGTTTGTCTGCTTGATTTTGGCACCAAGAAGTAAACTTGGAAGATGTAGCAACTTTCCCTGTTGCTGCAAGCTAGGCACACATATACAAAATGCACAACAGAATTTCAAAAGTACTGTACCACGGCATCAAAAAACTGGATACAAACACAACAGTATTCAAACTCTTTGATCATCTTCCTGCTTGTGTAAGTATCCGATGATCCTACAGAAAGCAACCAACAGACCTCGCAGCATCTATCATATCATTTGAACGGAATCAGTCCCTATTGCTAGGCTACAGAAAATGGAATTGTCCTGAAAAGAAACATGCATTTAATTAATGTGCTATTACATAGCTTTTAATGAAAATGTGGAGGAATTTGGATTTAATTTATTTTCCTTTTTCTGCTGATAACACACGCAATGATCTGGAGTTATGTAATGAAGCTAATTAGAAACACAGTGAAATACCTTTAAAAATTATCTGTCTCTTAGATGCATTCCTACAATAAGCGTACATAAAACAGACAGACTTCTGACATGTCATATACTTCCCTGTTTATATCAAACTAATCGTCTGTCAACTCATTCCTTAGTTAACTGGAGAGCAAGAATATCTCCCCCCAGCTCTTTCATTCTTACCTTATCTAGCTAGGTAAGGCCCAGTGAACACTTAAGGAAGTACAAACATAAATATTTACAAGAAGGAATTAAATATTTTTCATTTAAAAAACAAATTAACCCGTATATAGCATTTCAAATAAAATTCACCTTTCATAAGATTCTTAGAGAGCAAAAGGCAACTCCAGGAGTTCCTGAATACTTCTGTGCGCTGCTGACAGACAAATTTCTGCTGAGAGTCCCTGTGCAAGTTTGAAGTGGCTAGTCCTTTTCCTTTTACAAAAAAAGACTGCTATATCAGAGTCATCATGAGATCCACAGGGCTGTAAAAGCAGAAAGGCCACATAATAAATCAGTTTAAGAAGCTTTCTTTTCCTGCCCTACTCTAATCAATCCTGCAGCAACAAAGGTGTGGATGTGCCACATGCCAAATGCAAATCAGTGTAATTATGCCAGTGCTTCACACCATACATCCAGAAAGATGCCACCTATGTCCCACATACACTCTAACAGCCAAGGTAAACAAACACTGGCTGTTCTAACTAACTATATGGAAACAAACCTTAAAATCATTCAAATAGGTCAGGTGCACTGAAAAAAAAAAAAATCACAAACAGATTTAAGAACCTGTTTCCATTCTGATCACTGCCAAAGATCTATTCCCCCAAGGAATGTGGGACAAATATTTATTCTTAAGATACATTTTAAATCTATTGTAGATTATTCAGTTATGACTAGAAGCTTGGTCAGGAAGGAATTCAAAAAGCAGGACAGGCAATAATACTTTGCTGAATGTCACTCTGGAACCAGATTTCTCCAGTGGTGTTTTCTTTTGAGACAAAAAGTTTGCCTCAATGTTAATTCAGAAGGAAGGTCAGAGCCACTTTTCATCATTCAAACATGATTTCAACACAGGCCAAATTGATCTGCATTCATAAAATGCTACAAAAGAACACCGGCTTTCATCTTCCGTTTTCTGAATACAGAATGATAAATTTTGATCTTAATGAAACCTTTCAAACAAAATCCTGCCTAAAATCAGAAATATCTGAACAAAAGGCATGATGTTGCTGCCAAAGTCTCCAATGTACAGAATGCCTAGCTGTCAAGATTCAGATTACTTATTTTTCAAGCATTTAGGTAAATGCTCTCTGCTTATGCCAAATAAATAAAATAAACTCTGAATCAAGCACCTAGTTTTTATTTCCTTTTGCAATATTGAAACATGCCTGAGATTTTTCTTTGTATGTGAAAAAAAAAAGATCTCTTAGCTTGAAATTTTTACCCTAATACATACTTTTATTCTTCTTAGTTCTCATTCATTGCACTTTCCACTGTATGCTTCAGAAGCTCTAGAAAGAAATTAACTTCCGTGAGTAACTCACTAGCACAATTGCACTCTTTCAAAAAAACAAATCCTGATCATTTACTTTTGTGCTCAAATGCCAAATTAAAGGTTTTCACTTCTGCTTCTCAACATGGGGAGTTCAAAAGAGCAGTCTCTGAGCTAGAAAATACTAGAATTAAAGTAGTTCCAAGTTTTTGTATTTGCTACAGAAAAGAACTTGGACAAATGGTGCTGGTCAGACTGATTATTATCTTAATATCGTATTTAAATGATACAGCCTGACTGCTAACAAATTATAAATACTATAGCCATATGGTAGAAAAAATAGAACAGCACCTGCAAGACAGTTCTACAAGTACAGTTTAAAAGGTTAAAATACTGAAAACGTCTACAGTGGAACTTTTACTTAAGCTAAGACAGATGCTGGAGAGATCTCAAAACTAAGCTTTGGTTTCTTGTTTATTTTCTTATCTTCCACAAAAGCCTTCTTTCCCAGACCCAAGCAATGTTCTTTTCTCCTTGACCCTATCACTTCTCTCTCCACCCCTTTTAACATGCACATGCCTTCTCCAACTCTTCTGTAACACACCTAACCTTTTCTGTACTGGATGCTTATCCCTCTTGAATTATTTACTAAGCCAGTGTCCAGAGCAATCAGTCCTCTTTTAGGATATCCATTTTTGTTGACTGTGTGCAGACTGGGGCTCCTAATGCTCCAATCATGGCTGGAAGACTCTGGTTTCTTCTCAGTCCTGCCATTAAGTTGCTACCTGCATTTAAAAACACAGCTGAGTCTGGCCTCCGCAAGCTAATCTCTGCCCCCTGATTCTTCTTGTGGTCCTGTGTATCAGGGGGCTTGACGACCCTGGCAATACCCAGCCTCTTCAGCCTGTCCACCAGGTTCATCTTCAGCTGGCCTACTTCTGGAGCGTTACGGGAGGGCTTTAGGCCATACATTTCCTGCAAGAATGTTTCTGCTGGTCTTGAAGCCAGGAAATTTTCTGAGTGATGCACTCGAGACTCAAAGGGTGGAGGGGAAGGACAAGGTGAACGTGAAGGAGAATTCGGCGGAGTAGAAGGAACGGGGACTGTACGAGGGGGCTGAAGCAGAGGCAGTTTATCTAATAGGGGACTATCATAAACCTTGGCAGAGATGCCACGCTCTTGCAAGAGTTGAGCCAGACTGCTGGTACTGCTGAGGGTAGTAGTTGAATCTCCTCTGTTGGTGAGAAATTCTCCAATACTAAGCCTGTAAGACATGGCTGGAGTGCTCACTACATGGTTTCCAAAGCTCTTGCCACTATTTCCAAGTGAAAGTGGGGCAGACGTAGAGCTGAAACAAAAGTGAAACAAAGAAGATACACAGATATATGCATTAGACAGCTTGGCTCTATATTTGCTTTTTAGTATACAAAAGGTTCACAAAAAAGTAAACTTGATTTTTGACAGTTTCAGCATTAGTGGATTCACTACTAGTGTTCTGCAAAATATCTGGAAGGTATTGATTGACAAAAGGGTTTTAATGTATGTACCAAAGCATTTATCTTTCATGTATAATTTTTAATGTCTGAACATGGAGAAAGGAAACAAAAATAATTGTTACAACACTAAGCAATAGCTTAGTTTTTTTAAAAAGGACCAAAGGAAAAAAAAACCCCACTTCTGTTTTATTCTGGAGAATTTCAAGTTTCCCCTTTGTAATTGCAACCCCTATAATGAATAACATTTTATGCATTGCCTAAATATCCTGGTATTTTTTTAAAAACCTGTCTATATATCAAAAGCCAGAATGCAACCATTTAATTCTATGCAGCAACTCTTAGGATGTCAGCAGTCACCATACCTGGGAGTAACTTGGGTGACATCGGACGGGTGAAGGATTCTACAGGTAGTGAAAGTAAACGTGGAATTTGTTGAAGACAGACACTTGCCAGGATTCAAGGCTGCAATGTGGAGAATTCACATCCCATGAGGTTAAAAGTAGAGACAAATCATAATTAATGAAAGCAATGTTTGAGATGATGTTGTCACTGCTAATTTTTATCTTTTTTAAAGGATAACAAAGACAGTATTGTCTCAAAGTCAGCTATTTCAGTTGAGAAAAAGATTCTACCATTAGTTTATTTTAAAATCCATTTAACTTTCTTGCTTTATGTTTTTGCTCATTTAAGATGAGCTGAAATAATGCTTTTCAAATGTTAGTAACATCAATAACCACAGAAGCTAACTAGCAGTACAAGAAATACGGACATCCAACTTAAATCAAAAAACAAGGCACAAGTTTCTATCTAGCCTTTATAAAATGCTCTGAAGATGAAAAGAATTAGAAGAATCTATACCATGTGTATTAAGTTGCATTTGAACTAGCACTTTAAACTAGTGTAGTACAGAATTCTGCAGAAAACTAAGTTATTGGAGATATATTCCTAAACTAAATAAAACCTAACAAATAGTAGAGTCCTGATAAAAAATGTTGGTCTGTAAGCCCACACTGCAATGAGAGAGCTCAGCACATAAACAGTGATGAAGCCCATGTGCCAAGAGAAAGCAGGGATGTTTTTCCCATTCTTTGACCTCATCCTTCCTTAGGGATTTGTATTTTGACAAAAATAAGATCAGTGTTTGCAACACGAATTTTCCCATGAGGGGTTTGATACAAATTTAATGTTAAGATATCCATCCTCACCTTTTAAAGCCCTGTTTTCTACAGAATCTAAGCTTCTCACCTTTTACTAACAAAAGTAGCACATTTTCGATAATTAAGTGCAAGATACTGGTCATCTTCAATTGCTTTTGTAAGATAACTGCCTAGCATATAGTTATTCAGATGTAACCTTATCCCAGCTAAGTTTTCCAGCAGCCTAATTAAAAAACTGACATAGAAGACAAGCATCACCTTCTACAACCCCCTGCACTATATTTTGTAGCATGTAGATGAAATTGACAGTGTCTCCCTAACAAATTTACTGCAGACTCGAATGCAGAGGGTGGATAGTTTGTAAACTGCTACAATTATCAAGGCATCAAGTATGCGTTAAAACCTCAGAAATCAGCATACAAAAGGAGGAAAAAAATCAGTAACTGTGCTTCTTACCAGTGAGTGGTACTGCTACTGAAGCAATAGGTGACAGGAAAATCCCTGACACTGGTTTTGCCACTGCAGACTTATTTTTCTCCGGGAAGGACTGTTGCACTTGAAATGTTATACCTCCTTCCCCTTCTTCATCATCCTCCTCCAAGTCAGAGATGCGGTGCACAGAGTCATCGGTCAGAGGGGTAAAACCTTTTGTAACAACACCTGGTCTTGGGTCAAGTATGGTGCCTAGGTTGGGTCGAGCAAGCTGCTGCCAGTGAAACAGGGTCTGAGATCCTGGTGCGACAAAAGAGAAAGGTTTCAGGGAGCCAACACCTACTATTACATCAAGTTACAAGAACACTTGATCGCAACAATTTCAGCCATCTGGTGCCGTTGCTGAAGCACACAGTGCACTTGGATGGTGACACCAAGAGCCAGAAAAAGCCTAACATTTAGCGCCATGTAAAAAAGCCAAATACAAAGCGATACTGATGAGCTAGTTGGCACAAAGCCAACAAGAATGCTTTTTCCCCTTATTAATTATCATCATGTCTGTCTATACACACAATGAGTTAGTTGGCAAATGAATATCAAATCTTTTTTTGCTGACAGAAGAAGGAAGATCTTCTGCTTACCTTCGATGGGCTTGACAATTTGCAGTTTTTCTGGTAGGAGGACACGGAGGTTACTGGAGCTGGCAGAGAGATCGGTGAATTCTGAGTTTGTACCCAAGGAAAAACAACTTTCTGTTGGTGTACTATAACCACTAGCCCCTTCTTTCTGCTCATTCAGCAAATGCATTTTGCGCTCCCACTCCTCCTCAAAGAACTGCTTTTCACTCAGATAGTTCTGGTGACGGAGAGAGAGCCTGTGCAGAGCTGTGACTAAATCACTGTCTCCAGGAGTTCCTGGCTGGCCAGGCTTATGTCTGCCCCTGTGTGAAACAAGAAATAATAACAGATATGGAGACCACTAAATTAAATATTTTTCTCTTACATAGCAATGGTCCAGTGTGGATTCAGTTTTAAGTAAATCAGTTTAGAAAGACAATAATAAACTGTTTCCTACTTCAAATTCTTCTCAGAGCTGCTCCTCTGGATCATCTGTGCATGGCTTTCCATCTGTAAGCCTGACTGAAAAGGCTTTGCTGTCATAACAACACTTGACCTATTAGATCCAGGGATTGGTAATGGAGCAGGAAAAGAAGAAGAGCGGCTACGAGTAACGTTAGCAACCCTGACAGTGTCAAATACTCGTTTCTGTTGACTCCTGCAGAAAAAAAGCAAGGAAACAAATATGGGTTTCGGAAACATTTCTAAAAGGATAATAAAGCTCTGTGCAACAAATTTGCTACAGAAGAACAGAATTACCTAAAACATTCCTCTATTAATATCAGAATTACTGCTTACTTTGACCTGGAAGAACAAAACAGTCTACTGATAACTATCTGAGAAATTTTAGAAGCTTATATTTAACTCTTGCTCAGAAACGTGGTCTTCAGAAATAAACCTTCAGAGCTTTAGAAATTGTTATCAGTGTTTAAGCTCTAATATCACTTGCCAGATAATTTTTCTGTAAGTAGTCAAAATGACAAAACTAGTGTTGCTTGTCAGAGGATCTGAATAAAAATATTTCAGAAATCAAAGAATGAGATAACATTCTTCTAGCAAATTTCCAGCTTCTTCATGGAAACAATTAAGAATAACAGATTTCAAAGTTGAAAAGCCTACCAGCTAATTATTTTTTTTTTTTAAAGCTATATAGAAAACTTACTGTAGAATGAAAGTTCACACTTATAGACTTCCCAATAGCTCACCTTACCTAATATAAGCATATGGAAAAGTACTGAAACATCACAAAATATCTGAAAACATACTTTTGCTTGGATAGGAGAGATTCATCAACCTGACTCAGTTCTTTCCGCATTGTCCCTTCAATTTCTGCTGCAAGGGAATCCTAAGGAAAAAAAGAGAACCAGAAGAGTTGACAAATTAAATACAATAATTTTAGCAGAAAACATCTCTCAAAATACTTGAAAATTTTCAATTTTTTTCGTCATAGATATGTTTCACACAGAGTATAATGCATAGACCTTCCAGTCTCTGAAGGTGGAGAGAAGTTTTACACCATAATAACATCTACATAAAACTGTTCAGCTTTCATTAGCAAAATGTATTTTCTTGGTACTCTTGGCTTCTTAAATTAAACAACACTTGGTAAGAGCACTTCTTACAAGGTCCAACCACACACGAGGGTTTCTGTATAAGCAGAATGAAAAATCAAAACTTGACAAAATCCCAGCACAGCCCAGAAATTTGTGATATACTATTCGGAATATTCCTGATACTAAGAAGAAAATAAAAGCTTTTAACATTTTTTTTTCCCATTGATTTACTTATCTTCAATTAGTCTAACACATTTCTGATTATGCTTAAAGTTCAATTTCACAAGATAAGGAGATAAGGACATAAAAGCACATCATAAGATACTTAAAGGAAAAAAACGCTGTTTGAACTCTCAAAAAAAATGGTTTCTTAAGTATTGTCAAATTATAAAATTTAACAATATACTCGCACAACCAAGCTAGCAACTGAACATATCTATTCCTGTACTTAAAATAAAAGTCACATAAAGAGGAAAAGCCACCCTAATATCATAAAATGGCAAGTGAATGATTCATTTACTAAATATGAAAGGTGTACACTCAGAAGTGTACACCTTAAAAAAATGAAAAACTCAGCTTCTTTGCCTATAACAAAATGGTTCCCTCTGCACTGCAGGTAACAGCTGTTTACTCCAGGCCATTTGTGCCAGTAGGTATACACCATAGCAGCAGTATTTGTTACCACAGGAAATGTTCCACATGCCTGAGGGTGGCAGAGACAAGCAACAGAGCTGGCTCTGCTGCGCAGCAACTTCACTTCTTCTTGAGATTCATGCAGCATCCCCAAACACTCTGCATTCCGATCTTGCAACTCATGTAACTGAAAGAGAAAAGATGACATGATACCATTAAGCTCCAACAGAAGCAAAACAAAAAGACACAGTGAAACTGAGTAACTTGTACAGATGGGATGGATTCAGTACCATGTTTCTACTATTACACAGCACATGCTAACATCTAAAATTGAAAGCAATAACAGACACAAGACATGGAGCTCTACGAGTGGGTCCAGTCAAGGGCCGTGAAGATGACCAGAGGGCTGGAGCACCTCTACAGGGGAAGCACGTAAGGCCAGGCTGGATGATGGGCTGTGAGCAATCTGGTATAGTGGAGGCATCCCTGCCTATAGCAGGGGGGTTGGAACCAGATGATCTAAAAAGTCCCTTCCAACCAAAACCATTCAGTGACTCTATGACTACATTCAGCATAACACTCACACTAATTTCAGTGGTGAGGGACAAAGTCCAAATTAAGACTCAAAGGAGTACAGAATTAAAACCAAAAGTACATAAAAACACCTGCAAATACCATAATTACAAACGCAAAAGAAGGAAGAGAATTTCCTTAAGCTACAGCGAGCTACAGCACTGTTGATGTAATCAGTAATATTCATATTAATGCATTCATAACAACTAAGAAACATAAGTAAGATCTATCTACTTGGAACATCCTCTTTGCCTTTCAGACTCTTATGAATCCCAAAAATATGGTTCAAAGCAATTATTCTTTTCCTCCTATCATATTGGCTCCTACCATAATAAAAAAATGAATAAATAAATAAGTTTAAAATAAATAAATAATAACTAAAAAGAAGAAAGCTGTTCTTGTCATTTAGTTTTATTTCTCTTGGATTCTGTTATACACACAAACGTGCACATGCACCGTAAGTACCTCCGCTGTCAGTTGTCTCTGAGCATCTTTGGAAGCTTGTAAGTGAAGTTTCAGCTCTTCCTTCTCAATCACATGCTGAAAGCACAAAAAGGTGTCTATTATTTTCTTAGCTGATCTCCTTGAGAGAGCTGATTCTCTGCCATACTTTCCTGAAACAGTCATAGTGATGTAACCCCCACCTTGCAAGTCTATTTTCACCCACTGCAAGTACACACATCTCCCTGTGTGCACATACACACATGCATGCACACTTCATCAGCAGTCCCTTACTTCTTTGAGTTTATGCTGAAGATCAACAATCTGAAACAAAAGGGATGAAATCTCTTCTTGGTAGCGGACCAGTTCCTCACTCTTCTCTGACAACTCCTCTGTTATTCTGGAAATTTGAGCATTTGTTTGCCCTACAAATATAAAAGCAACTCAATCAAGGGCTTTAAGGAATTAAAAGAAAAAGTTAACTTCAAATGTAGGCGTAACGTGCTGAAAATTGAGTACGCAGAAACTGATATGCATAGCAAAGATAGGATCAATGATCATAACATAACCAAGACAAGCCACTACAAATTATTTCAAGTGACACACGGATCCATAGTCAACACTAGATTTATTGGAATACGCTGAGGAAAGCAGGCTCCAAGTCTACCATTTTCTGTATACAAAGATTTTTTCACACTTTCTCAATACAGCATACACCTCTTAATCTATCTTTTGATTCAAATAACTGTCTGTTCCCAAAGGACCCACTGCACACAATTTCCAGTGGTTATTCTTATTTTCTTTGAACGTTTCCTGAAGAAAAGTGACAAAGCACCTCAAAAGGCTGAAATATTTTATACAGATAGCTTCTTGCTATGCTTTCAGGGCATGTGTACAAAGTCATAATAAAGTATGATCTACCTTGCATAAAAGGTCCGACTACAGATAACCTTAGAGCAAGAAAAATCTTATTTCTTAAAAAAAAAAAAAAAAAAAAAAAATCATCAGTGTTAATGGAATTTGAGTTTAAAAAAATTATTCTCTAGAAGTGCTAAATACTTATCTTTTAAAGCAGTGTAAATTATCTTTAATTGATAGTGATTATTGTATCTCACGGGTTTGCTACAGGATAAAATCCTGTCTGAGGGCATATAGGCATTTGATGTCAATAGTTAGGATGACTTTCCTGAAGACATAAATTTTAAAGCTGCACAGTAGGCACTCTGTGGAAGAAGATTCTGAGAGCCTAAACTGGCTAGAAAGTCTGTATACGCTATGAAGTTAGACAAAACAGAACTCATGAACATTCTCTGAAGGAAAAATGGAGAGGTTTTAAGAAATTAACATTTATTTGCAATGGATATAAGTTTCTACAGACAAAATAGTAAATTAACAACTACCTAGGTATCAGTTCATGCTGTTGCATGGTTATCTTAAAAAAGAAGAAACAGCCAGTCTTCTTCATGGCGGTTGCATACAAAAACAAAAAAGCAAACTTAAAATATGGGGGCTTATTATGCACAAAAGAATCAGACCATATAAAATGACTACTGATTAAAAAAAAAATATATATATATATACACACACACACAATCATGAAAAAAAACCCTAAGTAACAGAACAGCTGCCACTCCCTGCAAGTAAGTAGTCCTCAAAGCAAATCTAAACAACTGTTCCAGATACATCAAAACACTTGCCAATTCAAATTCATCTATTTTCCAGTGTCTGTAGTCTTCAGTTTAGGTTTATAAACACGAGGTTTTGTGCTGAAGTTGAATACCACAATGAAACTTCATGGAATACAGAACAAAAGATGTTTGCACTTGGTAAAAGAGCAAAACTCAAAAAATTGGCAGAAATTACTGAAGCTCATTTTTTAATTCAAGGATGAACAAGAGAAAATTTAGGCAGCAGGTGTTCAAGTACTGTTTTGCTATTGTAAGATACAACTTGGATACTCACGGAGCTCTCTGACACAGTCATTAACTAACTGCTGTTCCTTCTCTTCATACGTAATGGTTTCTGTCTTCAGATGACAGGCCTTAAAAAAAAAAAATTAGTCTTCCCATTTCAGTTTATGTATATATGTATGTATATATATATATATATATATGCATATATATATATATATATGCATATATATATATGTATATATGTATATATGTTAATGCTACAAATTTTATTTTGGACATTGCTGCAAGTGAAGAATCTCCCCTCTCTTTGTCTTCATAAGGATTTGTTTCTTCAATCCCTAATGCCAAACTAAGATGTCATCTCAACACATAGAAATTTCCAAAATACTGCTATTAATTGCAGTTAGATTTACACCAGAACATGTCACAAACACTCAAGGGTCTGATACATCTACATTCTTCAGCTGTATGCTCACATGGATTCACATACAACATAAAGGCACTGTGATAGGAGTAGAGGCTTTGAACATAATAGTAGTGAAGGAAAGAGAAGGATGTGGAGAGTGGAGGAAATGTGGTTGGATATGACATGTATGCAATGAAACAAAACACCTGTATGTTTTTAAAGAGAAACCCAGATGCTAGATGTTTAAACAGTTCTAATTTATCTCATATCCAGCATCCATAGCACATACTATAACTCAGCTATACCTTCGATCGGAGAGCAAGGTTCTCTTCCTCCAACTCCCTGAGTTTATCTTGCAAGATATCCAGCTGCAAGAGACCTTGTGATACACTGAAAGACTCATTGAAACGAAGTGGTGTGGAACAGCTAGAATCTGTTTCGCTTTCCTCAGAAGCAATTGAAACAATACGAAGCAGGTCATCCTTCTTTGACAGTTCATGCTGGAGCTGGTTAACCTAGCACAAAAGAAGATTACCAGCTTGTGAACTACTGTTTAGCTAAACAGTATCACATTATATTATTTATGCAGCCTCTCAATTCTTGGGATATCACTGCTCTACTCTAACATGAGATTAAAAACTGCTCACTGGTCACGATCAATTTGTATATACTTGCACAGAAGATCCAGGCCCTGTGTATCCTACACAAAGTTCACAAAATCATAGTTTTAGCACTGTAAAGGAAACTGAAAATTTAAGGTAATATAGGAATGGACAACACAGCTTACTATTGTTTTTCTTCTTTTTTTTAAGAACAATTTACTTCAAAATAATTTTCCAGCTGCCTTGTTATATCCTATATTTTAACAAGCTAGTATCTTTTTGTTTATGACTTTTTCTGCACTGTAACTTCCTGGACAAAAGAACCAGTAGATATCTGTGTGTGCACAGAATGGTCCCCACCAGTCTATATAATAAATGAACTGTAGGACAAAGGAAAAAAGAGATGAGACAAATCTCAAGTTAAGACAGATTCAATTTTGCTTATTGATATTTTTATATGAATAAAAAAGCTATGCTGGCCTACAGCTGACTGTATGTATTTATTACCAGCATACTGTTTAACACAAGCAGCTGAAACTATTTCACTATTACTCAGCCTACACGTATTGTCCACAAAGATAGAAAATACAAAAAAAAACTTGGGATACTTTCTAGGTTGACAACTATATATACATATTTTTTAAGCAAGAATAATCAAGAAAAGATTAAATAAAGAATAAGGAAAAAAGGGAATGAAGATATGGAACAAAACTCCCTTTGCATGCTTTTTTTTGTTTTATATTTAAATGGAAGCACTCCATTAAGTCAACTCATTTTCTGACTGTTTCTTCTCTTCAGAAGTTGCTACGTAAAAGGTCACAACAGATGTCAACTACATAGTCTATTTTTATTTATATTATTATATTCTTAGTTTAAAACCAAAATATCAGACTGATGTCAAAACAAACACTTTAAAAGCGCAATTTTGCTCTAAGTATATCACAAATAGCACCTAACGTTCCTAACCTAACGTTCCTGCACCTAACAATTTTTCAGTAACCATCATGTGCAGACTTTATAGTTGACCCTTAGCCCAAGAAAACTGACTGAACTATGACAATGAGGAGGATGATATCGAAGTACACTACATAGTTTGAAAGTAGCAATTTTGTGTGTTCACAATGGAATAACATATTTCTATGAATCCCATTTCCATCATCATATAAAGAAGAAAAAAAGGAAACAAAAGAAAAAGAATCACTCACTTGATCTAGAGTTTGTCCTAACTGTTCTTCTAGTGCTTCATTCTGTTCCGTCAACAGATGGTTTCGCTTAAGCAGGGCTTGTCCAATTCGTGCTGCCAGTTCCAGGTCCCGATCTTTCTGCACATGAAAAGCGAATGAATGTCTACTTTCGATCAGATAAAGCGTGAATTCATAGTAATTTTGATTTTCTTAGTTACTGTTTAATGCACCACCGCTTTGACAGCTCCACTGTCAAATGCATTGGTTCTTCAACATTGTCAAAAAAATGATTAATACTTCATTTTGATCCAGAACACATCCCTAACTGTGCTTCCCTTGCATAGTCATTTTCAATAACTGGGGGACAGCACCTAATCTAGGTACAGTTTTGATGAGGTTGAAGGCTCTGTTGTATTATTCTAAGAATTCACATATGCCCAATTCCGTTGTCTTTCAAGTAACAACTTCTCCAGAGCAGACTGCTTAAATGGAATAGTGATGAGAGGGTAAAAGCCAAGAAGAAAGCTATTTCTTCATTGTTACTTGCCAGCCCCTGTGAGGCATCCATAGTTTAGCCAAATTCTGTTCCTGCGATGATGCAAGTGACTAGACAGCTTCTCAGGACCCATGTGTTTGATAAGCAGCTCATGAAGACAACTGAATCAGGCAGGATTCCAGCAGCTGAATAACCTCTTCAAATACATGTCCTCAAATGCATTAACACAGCATTACAGAGGTGAACATACCTCAGCTAGCAGATGTCTGACCATATCAGCATCACTGTAGGTTTTCTGCTCCATATTATCTGTACCTAGAACTGACAAGAGAAAAAACCACACTTACTGAAGTACCTTAATTTATAAGAGGACTGCTGGGAAGGCAGAGAACTAAAACACAGCAGAAATACAGCAATCAGTTGAGAAAACTTGCAGTGACTTATGAAAATGCATTTTAACTTCAGAAATTTGAAACAATGCTTATTTGAGAGACTGATCTCAATGAGGCATTGAGTATTTGCAGCTCTCAGCAATATTAGCTAGAAGCTGAGGTGTTTACATATCCTGTAAAATTAGAAAATGGTGAGAATCTTTAGATCAACTTCTTCAATATAGCTAAGCTATTAAATCATCCGCCAGGCTGGGGACAAAGGGAGACTAATGCGATCCAAATATAGCTGAAAACACTTGAAGACTTCATCTACAACAAGCAGGACTTGAAAATGGGATGTAAGGGCATGAAGAACATAAGACAATTCTGAACAAAACTCAGTGCTAAAACATAAATCCCTATCCTGATCTAGTTCTTGTCCTGAGAAACAAAAGACATTAGTAAGAAAACTCTTAATTACCTTGTGAAAATTTGCAAGATCCAGACAAGGAGGAGGGAGGAAGTTCAATAAGAGCTATAGTAACAGAAAATGAAAGACAGAAGAAAGAAAAAGAAGATGAAAAAGAGTTAAAATTTAAGGCAACAGCCTACTGGGTCTGGCTGGGACGGAGTTGACTTTCCTCACAGCAGACCATACACTGCTGCGCTTTGCACTTGTAGCTAGAACAGCACTGATAACACACCAATATTTTATCCATTGCTAAGTGGCGCTGGCACAGCATCAAGACTTTCTTCCCACCCTGAAAAAAAGCCCAGTAGGCAGGGGGGTGGAAAAGAGGTGGGGAAGGGACACCACCAGGGCAGCTGTACTGAGCTATCCAAAGGGATATTCTGTACTGTAAAAAAAGCCGAGGAAATGGAAGGAGAAGGGGGACTTTTGTTATGAAAGTGTTTTCCTGAGCAATCACTACACATACTGAAACCCTGCTTTCCAAGACACGGCTGAACATTGTTTGCTGATGGGAAGCAGATAACAATTATTTTTACCCTATGTTTCTTCAGCCTGCTGGGTTTGGGTTTGTTTTTTTCCCCTTTAATTACAGTGTCCTTATCTCAACCCAAGTCTCTTTTCTTCCATCGTATTTTTCCTCCATCCTTTTGGCGAGGGGGAGTGAGAGAGCGGTGTGGTGCGGTATAGAAAGCAGCCACTGCAAATGGAATAGTTACTTGCATATATCCTCCACCACAAAAAAAAGTAGAGATGTGTAAAGCATATCTTTTTTATTCCTAAAACTTCTGTGGAAATTTTAAGGAACCACTTAAATATGATTCTCTTCAAAATGAGGATATCTTACAGGTGAAAGATGTTTATGCCTCTTAAAGTTCAACAGAAATTTGCTATTTTCACTTGGAATAGTGATCAAGAAAGCAAAACAAATGCAGCAATATAAAATGAATAAATACAGAAGTAACTGCTTCAGCCGAAGGTGTAAATTAACGTCTTTTGAAACTAATCCATCACCACTGCATCGTGAAATAAGATTATTACGGTCTACATCTATTTCTGATAATTTTATGCCTTGTTTAAACCTGATCCGTACTCCAAGCATGTTGTGGTGCTGGTTCAGAGTGTTTTTGTCTTAGTTCTTATTGAGGGCTGCTGATGCAGTTATGAGACAATGCAGCTACACTGAAGTGCACAGTAATTTTATTAATGTATTTTATGTAAGCTATATATATCCTTTACAAAGGTAATGCCCACAATTAACCTCACAAAACATATCACTAAGTCTGTGCTTCAGAAAAAAATAAGTTGCATTTTAGCATATGAAGAAACTTAGTCTTTTAAGAGGAAAATGGAAAGAGCAATATAGAAGAATAAGATTTACTGAACTGCTTCTGTAATAGTTTAACAGGGAAGAGAATGAAACTAACAAGTCAAATATTTTTTACTAAGTAGATTAGTGAGCATAAAAAACCAACAAATGCCATCCAAATATTAACAAGCTTTGAACTTCAAGCAGTGATATTTACTAATCCTATTTTAAGGTGGGGTGAAAATAGAAAACTAACTCCTCAAAATGTGAAGTACTTACCTGTGGCAAGCCATGCATTTTGTAGGAAAGTTTTACTGTGTCATTTCCACAGTTTGCCAAGAAAGCACTTACCTTGCTTATTAATATTTTGAAAATTCAACTGCACACAAAAATAACTATTAGCCCTTATAGGTAGCATATTACAGCCAGCTCTCCTGTGGTTAAGTGTTCCACCAGACGACTTCAGATGGAAGTTTCTACCCATTGCTAAATCAACTTAATGAAGAATCTATGCTAAGTGCATGCAGAGTTACTCAGATACATAGGTTCCTAAAGACAAAGATACCTATCTCCTCTGGCAAATGACATCTCAGAACTAACAGCTTTGAAACTCATCTCCACACAACCTTTGTTAATTTCCTTCAGTACAGAATCAAAGTTACGCATAAGTTTGTTACACCACTTTCTTATGAGCACACATATCTGTTCACTCACCTTGCCATGTGAAGGCTGCAAACAACTCTTCACTTTGGTTAATATTCTTGTTATGCAGTGCCATATTCACATACACAAAGTAGTTCTAAGGACAGACATTTTCTAATTCTAGGTTTCTTATGCTACCACAGATAAAGCAAAAGTATTCTTCTGTCTCAAAGAAAGCATTCCTCCACTTCACTGGAAACTAGGTAAGTGGCAGTCACCCAGTCACTGGATCAACCTTCTAATAGGCAGCAGCAGCCATAAAAGGAGGAGGAGTTCAAGTGAAGTAAGCAGTGCACTGCTATTTTTTTCCTTAGATATCAACTACAAATTGAAGCAAATCATATCTTCACCATTCTTTTTAGGAAAAAGTTTCCATAATGTTTTCATACACGTATAGAGAGAGGGAGACAGATACCGATAAAAATCCCTAGTTATGCTTCAAGAATATGATCATCATACTCCCAATTTCAGTCAATTATAAGAAAGATGCAAACTTCAGCTAACAAGTGATTCAGATGTGATTGTAACTAGATCCTGATTTGCGTTTCTGTATGTCTGTCTGGGACCACCTCAGCATCTTCCTGTAAGTTATTAGGCTCAAAAAATCTCATATGATGACTCCTCTTTGGACACTTTCTCAGACAAACATAAAATAAACTGTACTTATCTTGAATATTATGATTTGGCAGTTACAACAGTGTACTTAAATCATCACGATGATGATGAATGGCTTGGGTCCAGCTCCAACACCCTGCCATGGGCAGGGTTGCCAGCAATTAGTTCAAGCTGTCCAGAGCCTAACCTGGCCTTGAACCTCCAGGGATGGAGCATCCACAGAGTCTCTTTGCAGCCTGCTCCAGCACTTCACTCTCTAAGTAAAGAATTTCCCCCCAAAATCTGATCTAAATCTGCACTCTTTTAGTTTAAAACCATTACCCCTTATTCTATCACCTACCCAATTAAATGATAGATTTAACATACAGAATTAACTCTAACTACAAATGTTTTAAATTAATGTGATGCATTTCACATCCAGATTGGGTAACCACACTTGAATCTTACATACAGAAGTGCCTACATAATCCTAAAATGCAAAATTCTAAGATGGACTCATTCAGAAGATTCAGTTTTAGACAGAAATTTACAGTCATAGTTACTGAACACTTTTGAGAATGCCAGGAAAACTATGGCAGCAATTCCAAAGAATTCTCACAAGCAGCTCACTATTTTCACAGAACACATTTTTATGGCTAAAAATAACTTTTTGCTGGGTGAAGGAGGAAAACACCAGTTTTGTAATACCTTGACTGCTAAATAATATATGGCTTAAAACCCCTGCCTCTCACTGATTGGAAATGCAGGTTCACGTTCACTGAAGAACCTTCTCTTGGAGCTCTGTGCTTTATCACACTGGAAATGCATGCATTGACCAGAGACACATTTGATGTCAAGTTGCTACCAGCACTGACAGACTTTGATTCCATCTCTTTATAAAAAAAAAACTTTGAGGATAGTACACACCCCACTGACTACACACAATCAATTCAAACGAACTATGAAAGCGTTCATTCAACTCAAAATTCATTTGTTTTTGCAGTTCTGTTATCAGAAACAGGCTGAGCAATAATCATTAAGGCTTTGAATATACTTTCCACAGTTTAAAAAAATTCCAAGAATGAAAGTTCAACTGATAACAAGATTGCTTTAAATTATGGAATACTGTATTTGCAGAAGGCAATATGTTACTTTTATTTAATCATTTGCTATACACCCTGGGTGGAGGCTGAAAGCACAAACGACAAAAAATCCCTGTTCAGAGGCGGCAAGTATGTGGAAGAGGTAATCATTACAGAGAAACAGTAATCCAAATACCAAGTTCATTCCCCCAGGTGTTCAGTTTTGGGCACCTCAGTACAAAGGGGACACTGAGGTGCTGGAGCAGGTCCAAAGAAAGGTAACAAAGCTTGTGAAGGGCTTGAAGAATGCACCCCACAAGGAGAGACTGAAGGAACTGGTGCTATTTAATCTGGGGAAGAGGAGCCTGAGGGGAGACTTTATTGCTCTCTTCCAGTATCTGAAAGGTGCTTACAGCGAAAGCGGCGTTGGTCTCTTCTCACTGGTGACAGGATGAGAGGAAATGGACTCAAGTTGTGCCAGGGTAGGTTTAGGTTGGATATCGGGAAAAACTTTAAAAGAAAAGGTTGTTAAGCACTGGAATAGGCTCCCCAGGGAGTCACCAGCCCTGGATGTGTTTAAAAACTGTTTGGATGTGGTGCTCAGGGACACGATTTAGTGGAAGGTTGTTAAGAGTTAGGGTAGTATGGTTAGGTCATGGTTGGACTCAATAATCCTAAGGTCTTCTCCCACCTGAGTGATTCTATGATTCTGTTGAAGAAAGAGGACTTAGCCATTTGCAGAATCATAGAATCCTTAGAGTTGGAAGAGATCTTTTAAGGCCGTCTAGTCCAAATCCCCTGCAGTAAACACAGACATACACAGCTAGGTCTGGTCGCCAAGGGCCTGATCCAGCGTCGCCTTGAAAGTCTCCATGGACGGGGCATCAAACACATCTCTGGGCAACCTATTCCAGTGCTTTACCACCCTCACTGTAGAAGACTTTTTCCTTGTGTTCAACTTAAACCTACCCTCTTTGAGCTTGAAGCCGTTTCCCCTTGTTCAAAGAGGGTAGATTTATCTAAAAGCTCTTACAGTGTTTTCCTCTTTTTACATGAAAAACACTTGAAATTATGACATGTAAGCATTTAGGTTTTTTTTTTTTTCTTCAACCTTTCTACACCATTTGATTTTTAACATATTAATGGTTTCTCCACATGATCTGATGCTATCCATTGTTTTCTTCAAAATCTGCTAGCTTTAAGGACTGCTGTAATCACAATTGACTGGTAGCAAAAAATAGTTATTATTTTCAGAACCACAAGGCAGTGATCAACATTGATCTAATATTCACCTACCTGGCTTTCACACAATTTATATCCGCAGAAGAAACATCTAACAGCATCTTACAAGCAACAATGACAAAATGCATCAGGGCAAACATCATTAAAAAAAATAAATAAATAAATCATAGCATCATTAATGCTTCTGAAAACAGAATTGCTGCATATGCCATACTGCTCACATCTCATATAATCTAGCACAATTTTTCCCCCCTGTTCTTCCCCCTTCATTATGTTTCTGACCTTGTTTCTAAATGAAACCTAATGATCAGGCAGATATGTGACATGCCAGCTCAGCTCTAAGGATGGCAGTCACACTAAAAGCACTTCCTCTCAACTCAGCTTTTTGTTTCACTTGTGCTAAAACGTTCAAATTTGAACATTACACTTTTAACATTAATCAGTTTACATTTACATTTTTCTCTTAAATAAATGTAAGAAAAAGAAAAAAAAAAAATCCTTCAGCCTGGATATACTCACTCATGTAACGGAAGGTCTCCTCATCATGAACCGGAGAAGAGATTTCAGGAAGATGACCACGGTGGGTAGGAGACTGAATCCAGTCGTGATTTTCATAAAGATACAGAGAGTCCACTCGTAGTTTGTAATCTGGCAACTGTTCCTCTAGCATGCTCACCAACTCTACCTCAGGGAGGTCCTCAGTGGAGCAGACATCTAAAAACGATTAAATGCCAGTAAGAGAACATAACTATAAAATACGCCATGTATTTCGCATATGCTATAGTAGTACAGATTCTATTTACTATACTTTCATAAATCTTCAGTAGATTTGAAAATAATTATTCTGTACAGAACAAATGAGCAGAATACTTATTGATTTAATACTTAATTGATATTACAGTATTTACAAGTTCCTCATTTCCGAGTTACTGCAAAGCTTCCTGCAAAGCTGTTTTATCCATTACTCCCTCTGATTTCTTCAATACATGTAATGAGTTTCAGTTTCTATCTTTTCCTGCTTATTGAACTAAAACGGAGATCTACATTTTACTGATCAATTTTGTAAGGTTTCATTGGCTTTAGCAAGATTACAGTTCTCTTTCCTGAAGGAAATTCATATTTTTCTGTTTCTTCTGTTTATGCTTTTGTTTGCCAATTAATATAAATTTTTAAAAAGTGACTAGAAATAGCAACTGAATGCTGCCTTGAAATTGGGCAACTTGATATGTGATAACAATGATAACAATTCTGTTATCATACATCTGAAATCACGATTTATGAAAACACAGTACCTAAAAATTCTGAACAGGAAATTTAACTCATCCTGATTTTCCTCCTCTTTGATATTATTGAAAAACAAAACACCACAAACAAACAAACAAAAAAAAACAAATAAACAAAACAAACAAAAACATTAGTTGCTAAAATACTGCATCTCAAAGGTATATAATTATTATCATTTGAACATGCCCGCTAAAGATGAAGGCTATCTTCAATAACTTCCAATAGAAGAGATGCCAGTAATGATTAATATGAAATGCAAGGCTGTTTTCAAGTTGGCGATCTGTAAAACATTAGATACATTCAAGATTTGTACCAGAATTATTTCTCCAACTCACCAGAGATGCTCTCCAAGATCCTGTGATCAAAATTCATGAGTCTTTCTTTACAGTTCACTTCTTTGGAAACTGCATTCTGTAGTCAGATTGTGCACTGTCCCTTTATTGCTTTGGTAGAAAGATGGCTTTGGTTTAGAGACAGAGTAATTGAGAGCCATCAAGCTACCGAGACGCTAACAAATCTGGCATCAGTTCCCTTCTGTTGACTGGTTCTTATTCCAAATCTCTTAGGACATGCTCATTTCATCTGAGGTACTACTCATCAGCAGGAACATCTATAGGTTATTTCATAAAAGCTGCATAAGATCCTCAGCTCAGCCATAACCTAAAAATAAAACAAAGAGTGCAAGAATTTAACACATTTCAAATGAGATTAATATGACCTCATTTTTTTCAGTCTATTTCTTCTCTGTATCACCATTTAACTCAAAAAAATAAACAATCATTTTAATCCTTAGCTTACACACTACATCATCATATGTTAAGTGTAGCGTTAAAAAAATGTCTTCTCCACACACTGATAAGATTCTGCTCTGAGCTTTCTATCTCAGCTCTTCTCATGTGATAGATGCTCCAGTTCTTTAACCTTTGCAGGACACACAATTTGTACTGTCTCTTGTACTAAGAGCCCCAGAATTAAACACACAGCTGTACATGTTTCTCACCATGATTGAGCAGAGGGGAAAGATCACAACCCTTAACCAGCTTGTGATCCTCCTAATGTCATCCAAGATGGCTGTTAACTTTCCTTCTTACAAGGCAATACTGCTGGCTAATGGTCTACTTATTGTTTACCAGAACTCCCTAGTCCTTTTTGGCAAAGGTTCTTTCCAGGCTGTCACCTCCCAGCATGTCCTGCTTACCTAGTTTCATTCTGAGGTGTAGGACTTGGCATTTGCCTTTACTGAACAAGAGGCAGTAGACAAAAGCTGAAATGCAGGAGATCCTGTCTGAACATTGGAAGCGTTTTTTGTTGTGGTTTGTTTTGTTGTGAGGGTAACTGAGAACTGGAAAAGGCTGTCCAGACAGACTGTGGAGATATTCAAAAGTCATCTTTTTTGTAGGAAATGGTCCTAAGCAAGCAGCTCCACACAGCTCTGCTTTGAGCAGGTTTGTTGGACTGGATGGCCTCCAGAGTTCCCTTCTAATGTCAACCATTCTGTGAGTCATTGAAGATAGCAGTGCAGGTTCATAAGAAGTGCTTCATGTCATCAGATTCTTTAAGTTTTACTTCTCAGTTTAGCAAGTGCTTAAAAACTAAAAGCCTCAGAGCAGTTCTAACTGTGCTTATGATGCAACCATGATTGATAAAAGAAACAATCTCCTCACAAGGCAAGGTGATTTTGTGCTGTTTTCCACCACACATGCCAATGTTACATTCCTTTCCTTGCAAGTCCTTCTTAGGGACTTCAATACACTATTAGACATTAATCAGAAGGAAGAAAAAAAATAGAGACCCAAATGTTTAATAGTTCATATTAGCAGATAATGTTAATAGGGAGATGCTTGCAAACAGCCTAAAACTGCATAAAAGTGAAAAATTATTGTTTCTTCTGGTTATTCAAGCTTCAATCCTGATACTGTTAGATTGCTGTATAAACAATGGTTATGATATCTACTCTAAACCATATTAAAAAGCTGCCAATTAGAAAATACAAATCACTCTAAAGGAGAAATGATCAGAGGCAGTTACAAGACAACAAAGAGTTACAACAGTTGTGACTACAGTTAAGAGCCTGAGGCCAGTAATAAATCAGTTTGCAATGGCAATCCTGCCTCACATATGGGATATGCCAGTGTCCATACAGATGGCTTACCCCAACATCACGTGTTGCATTACTAATGTATACAGTGCAGTTACACAAGGTACTAAAAGCAGTACAAACAGCTGGAAGGCGTCCCAGAAAATAGTCACAACAGGACACACCAAATCAATCCTATTTCTAAGCTGAACTTTTAAGCTACAATTCTCCAATAAATAACTTAATCTTATATTCCTTTTACACAGACATCTCATGGAACCATTGTACACCCATAATACCAATGACCCATAATAAGGTCAGGGGCATATGTGCCTGATAAAGTAGACACAGCGGGCTGTGCCACCTGCACATATTAACAACTGATTTTTTTTGCCTTTTTTTTTTCTCCCCAACCCTCTGACAAAACTCACATTCTTATCCAATTTTAAAAATATTAAAGGCAGAATCCTTCCTTAATCTGGCACTTTTGCAGCTACTATTCTCAACATTTCCTATAAGCAAATGTGAGAGTAGGACTGTATGTGTATTTGTAACTCATCTGCCTTGAGTTTCAAAGATTTCTTAAGCATCCCAGGAGAAACTGGATTTATTACAATAATACATCTCAATAATACTTGTTTTTCTGAAAAGTATATTCACTTCATAACTACATAACACCGGATGATATTTATTTAAGTCAATGTGTTATTTGTATTTGGTTAATCCTATAACAAAATACATCCTCTATATTTATTTTAAACTAAAAACTTGGTAGTCAAAAGGAACCAAAGAAATTAAAAGAAAGAACTAAGCAAAAAGCACCATGCTAGGTGTGCTACAGTTATTTGCCGTAACTGTAGAAGTTCATGATAGGGAATGATGAGAAGTTCAGATGTGCGCAGCTGGGATGAGTTTAGAAACACACAAGTCACCGTAGAGCAAGAAAAAACTCAGAACTCAGTTGTTTCTTCACAAGTCTGATTGAATCTACCCTTGAGTTTTAATAGTCTAAAAATGAATGTCATTTCCTCTCAAGACTGAGGCTAATCTCTCTTTTATGTAGTCCAAAGCAGAAACAGCATTTCTAGCAGGTCAGTCTCAGTTCAGCCAATCACGGGGAAAAAAGTAAATAATGAGTCGAAGTTTCTAGAGCACCATGCCAATAACAAGCTACTGACTTCAAAGGGCAACCTCATTTGCAACACCCTTGAGAAGCAAACACCGCAGAAATCAATATCACCACTTTCAAAGTTTCTGATAGCTTTATTCCAGTGTACCATGGGATAACTTCTCTGGAAATTCAACCAGCCAATACACTGCACAATAAAAGCCCGAAGGAGGTTCCCCGACCCTGTTAGTCTGCCACAGTGCAACTACAGAATTAGTGCAATTACAGAATTATTCCTGAAGCACAGCAAGTTACAACCGTACTTACATCCACATGGATAACACCCTCAACATCTATAATGTAGCTTTAATACACACAGCTCTACTATAAGATGGTTAGAAGTTCAAATTAGGTAGTTAAGTTGTACAGAGATATGCCCAAAACAGGAGCCAGAGACTTTCTCAGGTATTCTTCTAGTCTGAATAAAAAATAAAAATAAAAATCCCACACAAGTTGGAAAGAGCGAATATGAAAAAGTAACACACAACTTAGGTCCGATATTTATAGTGAAAATGACTAGAACACTAAACTTTTAATGCCTTTGCTAACATCTAAACACTAAATTTGAACTAGTTCTGCCAGACATTTAGAAACCAAATCAGGAATTAAAAGTCAAGTGTGGCATTGACTAAAATCACAACACAAATGAAAATAATTTGAAAATTCTTCTTGTGGATAGAAACAAATTAAAGGGCAAAACACTAAATAAGGTTACTTATTTAAACTGAAAAATGTATCAAAAAGGAAAAAAAAAGTAAGAAAGTTGTTAATTTGGGGAAATAACTGCTAACTCTTTTATAACTTGACTGAAGCTTGACTGAAGCATCTATGCACCTGAAAAGTAAAATAAGACCATAAACTTTTCCTTGGTATTTTGCAATACACAACAGCAAGTTACAGAAAAGCAGAAACTTACATTAACCTACTTAAAATGGTCTGTGCAGCTCTTTCCACTTTGTCTAATGTCCACTGAGGGCTCAGAGGAAATAATGCTATCAGAGACAAGGAAGAAAACACTTCTTGTTGCCCGAGTTAAACCTAGATGCTGTTCTCTTCACAAATACAATTTATTTTTTGTTCAGATTTGAAAACGAATTGTCTAAAAAGATGTTTGTACAGTGCGTAACCACAGCTCTGCCTTTTTTATCTTCTGCCTCACAACTACATGACAAAACTTGAAGCACTGTAATACTTCGCTGATACCACCTGGCCTTCTGGGCCATTTATCCTTAGAAGAACTGCTCCGAAAGACCTGCAGTCGCCTCTGGCTCCAGTACTACATTGTAGTGTCAGAATGCACACACTAAGTGTGTTCTTGCTGCAGATTTCTTTAATTATTTTAAATTTTGAATGCTAAGTGCCTCTCTGTATATTTTATGATCTTCATCACATAGCCTCACACAACTCACTATGATAGAGGATTTAGTTGGCATATATGAATTTTGTCAGAAAGAGTTAAAGTTAGAGCTAACAGCCATCCCATTTTCCCCTTATAAAAAGGAACAGAGGTTTCAGTTTCCTGTTAGACAATTTATTAATAGTAAAGACATTCAAAGACATTAGTTACGAATTAAAGACACCTTCTGTTCTTATTTTGCTGCACAAAAATAACAGCCCTAGAACTTCTTCCTTTCTCTGTTCCCTCTTTCACAGCCACACATTCCTTTATTAACCACTGAACAGTAAAAAATGTGAAGGACTTGTGCTATAAACTATCAAGAGCAAAACGTGAGTGCAACCACACTGCACAAAAACTACTGATTTAGTACTTTCATTACTTCCTTTTTTCCTATTTTACATAATTGTTAAAAGATTTTATAACAAAATACCATTTCTATTATTAGTGTACTACACTGTTTTTACAAAAGTGTACTTGCCATCAGTTTTACCCCCGTACCCCTCATACACCCATTTCCCATTGATGTTGAAGTATCTTAGTAATAATTCAATTGAATATGAGAAAAACCAAGTAGAATTCAAATATTGAAGAACAGTTTATATGCAGAAGTGATGCCCTCTGAAGAGAAGCTAACACATCAGACAGCATTATACATACAAACATGAGATACACATGTGTGTATATTTCCATGCTCTCCAAACTAAACTCTCCATCACAGCATTCAGCTATCACAACCACACATTCCATTAAAGCACTGCTATTTCAATATCATTCCATCTTAGAAACAAGGAGACAAAAATGATTTCCTCGAGAACCTGGCAGGAGATCACACTAATTTTTTCTTCAGCAAGTCAAAAAATCTGAACCAAGATTAACTTGCAAAAGCAGGATAGATGGAAGTCTTAGAAAAGTTGAAATAGCCGTGACATATTATACAAATGAGTTATTCTGCTCTTTGTAACTGCCGCTCTGAACAAGACAAATGTAAAATGGCAGTTGTGCCATCTTATTTCAGAACTTAATTCTAAAGACTTTCTACCACTAGAGAACTCTGTTACTTCAAATTACAATGATCTGAAAGCAGAGATGAGCTGCTTTTACAGCAGGAAAGACTACATAAACAATGCAGGCGTTCATTTCTTCCTGCATAAAAAAAAAACGCTTTCAAAATAGTAGCATCTATTTTGACAACATCCAAACTCAAACAGAAACATCCTGTTATTTTCTCTGTTTTCTGTTTGTTGTGAGCAACTGCCTTCTCACCAGCACCTGGAAGGAGTAAATGAGATTTGTTCCTCTGTGTAGTTATAGGATGTGAGACAACAGGCCACAACTAACTCAAAGGAGATTTTGACAACAAGAAAGCAATGCCAAAGCAACACTACCTTTCCAAAAAGAAGCCAAATGAACAAGCCAGTTATCCTAGAATGCCAAATTTTATTATTACATTAATATGTTAAGAAAATAATTGTATCAAGTATTAAACACACTGCTTTTTATTACCACAATTGGAATTCTATCAAGTCAGCTAATAACAAGAAAAATATTTTGCATGTCAAGGTTAACGAAACAGTTCTATTCTTGTAGTGAACATGACCACACTGAATTGCAGCCAAAGCATTCCTGGGACTCCTGCTCAGAAGCAGAAGCCAAATCTTCCAACAGTATATAGTAGACTATGGAAGACAAAGGAACACACACACTGAAAAACAAGGATCTGTGAAAGTGAACTTTTTCAATCACAATTACCACTTGCTGTGTACCTCACACCTATATTATTGTGCAGCCATTACTATCCCCACAGAAGCCTACTTAATGCTTGTTTTTCCTCTCATGTAAGAAATGGTATCATTTAAAAAAAATAGGCAAATGTAATCCAAATGATAGGATACTCAAACACTACCAAATCATCATAAGCAATCCTGTATCAGAACATCAAACGCAGAGGGTAACAACTTCCAGAAACTAACACAAAAAAATAGAACAAAACCAGAATTCCATATGCATCTCCTGGATGTTTTTTAAACTTGGGGTAGCAGCATCTTTCAGAAGCTGATGTGTATCAAGGAAGCCACAACACGGACCCTAACAGTTCTCTCGTGATCTTTGTTTGGCCTTAAGCCAAGCTGGACACTTTTGCTCCTTGTCAGCCCTGTATCCCCCCCCATACACAACAAAACCAGCCGTTCAGTACACACGTATATGTTTTACGCTTATGCATGCATGAATTGTTGCTAAATGAAATTGCTAAATTTCACAGCTTGAGACCACAAACTCAATTGCGTTTACATGCTTGGAGGCTGTCTATATCATCCCTACCACACAATGTAGAAATACATGCTTAAATTAATTCTATCTTTGGCAGAAACTGTGGGGGCTAACTACATGAAATAACCATACAGAAAAGAACTGGGAATCAATAAAACTTCCTAAAAGCACAGCCATAACATTCAAATGTACACATTCTTCCAGGTAGACCTCCCATGGCTTTTTTAATTCTCTTTCTTCAGAGAGAGAAAAAAAAAAAAAAAAAGAACTATCCTCTATTTGTTAGTCAGAAAGTATAAAAACATCACACACACTCTTGAAGCAAGAGCTGTACTTGTATTTCATTAAAGGTTTGTTAGAGGCTACCTTAAAAATCGAAGCTTACTGCCTATAGTTCAGATGAACTTAAATAATATTTTCCACTAAGATCACTAACATTTTCAGGTTGATGCATAGTTGAATTCAGCCAAGTAAGCAGTTTAAATTTCTTAATATATACTCTAATCACTACTCAGAATTTTAATTGCTACAATTCTAAATTTATTAAAACAAACTAGTCTGATCAATGTGACCCGGCCATCAGAATATTGCTAGCAGCCTAACTAGATAAAAGGATCTGTCATCTCTTTTGTTAGCATCTCTGCAAAAATGCTATTTTGGTAGCTTCCTGGAAAATATATCAATGAATCACATGTTCATCCTTCCTGAAACACTGCCTTTCAACAGGGTGATATTCACCCCAGTCAGCCCTCTACTATATTAGATGCAAACTAACAACAGAACATTCAGATTTTCCAGCATTCTGCTTCTTAAATCATAATTTCAAATCCTCATCCCAAATTTGATGAACTGATACAGATCTAATAGAGGATGCCATCACTAAATAGCTCATAAGTTTCAGGTATATGCAATTTTTTTTTTTTTTTTTTTTAAAGTTACCTTTAGTGTTAGAAGTACAATTAAAAGAAAAAACCTTGAGGATGCATACCTTCAATACAAGAATAAGGTAAACAGCCTACTTAACTGCCCTGAAATGTATTTATACCAACTGCAAGAAAATAGACATTCAAAGCACAGGCAATGTAGACAAGAAACAGAGGAGGAAAAACGAACGCTGAGTTCATTTAGCCTGGTTGAAAAGCATTATGTACTAATTGTTGGAGGCACATTTCCTTTTTGTTCCTTCAATTCCTCCTTACCAGCCTTCCTCCAAACAGACAAATTGATGCCTTGCTCTATCAGTACAGAGTGCCGAACGCCTTCACATCTGAGATATCACACCAACATCTGAGGTATCACACCAACTGTCTGCACATCTAGTCAGGCTGTATTATGTGTGAGTGGGAACTGGAAGGGAAGGGAAAAAAAGCTTCGGAATTAATGAGATCTAGCTTCCCATGCATTTGTTCTACTGTTCTCCTTCCTCATTTGTCCATCACATCAAACTCTAGGGATGTTAAGATTAGTGCTGGAAACACGTGTAAAGACAACAGATTAACTTCAATACTTTCTACGTAGTATTATACTATATAAGTTTTATACTATATAAGTATTCTTAGCCAACAGCAAAGATAAAAATCCAAATAAATGCTAATAAAATACATACTTTTAAAATAAAAAGTATGTGAAAGCTAACCTAAAATTCACCATGTCTTGTAACATTGTGATAAGAATTATTTCATAGTATCTGATGTATCTGATCCACATTCTCACTGACAGACAACAATAACTCTGAAACATAACAAAAAAGGATGTTTTCAACAGCTTACAGTTGAAGATTACTTTCAATAATAATAATAATACAAGGGTGCAGCACCATGCAGCATTTTTTCACTGGGTGGCCAACAGGAAAAAAGCAATTACTGCATTTTACTCAGAAGCTCAGAATGCAACGCTGTAATTAAGAAGCTGATGGAACCCAGAGTCGCCTTGCCCTAAAGTCCATACAAAACCTGAGACACAACTGATATTTCGCCAAACTTTGCCTTCTGTGAGCAGAGGCGCAGCCCCCCCATACGGAGCCCGTGTGGGTAAGGACACTGTTACCATGGAACGAACTTGGCGGCACGCTGAAGGTCACGCCACGCACAGCCTGCGGTCACTGCCATCGCCGCAGCAAAGGTCTGCCATTCGACCGCAGTCAGACACGTATATACTGTAGGCACAAAGCTTGACATCATACGTATCGACGCTACCGCCCGAAAATAAAGCTTAGCATCACATATGTCTACGTTACCACCCGAAAAGATCTCCGCCAGCCTCACCGCAAGAACGGACGAGGGCTGCCGCTTGCCTCCCGCTCGAAACAGCGCAGCCCACCCGCAGCCACAGGCCCGCAGCCGGGGCCAGGCCATGCCACGGTCAGCTCTCGCGCTTCTCGACACGCGCCCGCTGCATCTCAGCAGCTTGTACTGAGAACTCACAGTGCGCCCATAAGCGGCACAGACACCCCAAATCAGCGCCAAGCAGCGCCTTACCCGCGCTCCCTCCAGAGCTCCGCCTCCCCGCCACCGCCCTGCGCCCGCGGCTGACGGGCAGCCGCCCGCCGTGCAATCAGCCGGCGACCGAGGAAGCGCGACGATGACTTCCGCCCGGCCGTCGCGGAACTACAGGCCCCGGCACGCCTCGCGGTGCGGCCGGGCCACCCGCCGCCAGGGGCCGGCTCGCGGCACACCGGGTCGCTCGTTGCAGAGGCCCCGCCAACCCTCGCAGCTCCGCAGGGTTCCGGGCTTGCGGCGGCGGGTACGAGCGGGCGCTTCCTCACCCCCGTGGGGCTTCCCGGCCGCACTGGGGACCGAGAGGCTCCGAGCCGGCCGCGCCTTCGGAATTGGAGTCGGGGAGCCTGGCGGGCCGGGAGCAGGGTGCGGGGTAGCGCTGTGCCGGCCGCCGCGGGGCTGAGGGAGGCGGGGCGGCTGGGCGCCGCGGGGGAAAGGTGCGAGCTGAAGGGAGCTGAGCTAAGGGAGGCTGGAAGCGCTTTTCGCGTTCCGCTCCTTTTGTGGAGGACTTCGAGTCGGTATCTGTCAGAGATCGCTTAACTCCAACCTCTTCAGCCACTCAAACCCACAAGTAAGAGCTGCAGCCCCGCGTCAGCAGAACAGCAGTAACATTGATGGTACCTGGGCTTTACGCCTCCGCAACTCACGTCTTTCTGGAAATAGATGGAACTTACATCCTAAGCTTCAGCTGAGCTGTGATGATGGTCAGCTCAGCTGTGAGCTGCTGTCACAACCTGCAGTAGAAAAAAAGGCTTAGGTTAGGGACCCAAAGCCATAATGAAAATGGACATATTAAATAGTGGAATTTAAAAAAAAAGTTAAGAAACAACATTATTAGAACAAAGGCGGATTAGAGACATCTCTGCTGCCTGATGATACTCCTGCACAGCTCTGTACAAGTTCTCCGAGGATTTCACCTTAGCATACCCGAGTTACTAAGACATCTTTGCCTTGCCTTTTGTGGCTTACTGTCTCAAGCAACAGAGTAACTAAATTTGTATAATGAAACAAGATTTCTTTTTCCAGGTATAACAAGGATACTGTAGCACTGAACTGGCCAATTCAACTGGTCTTGAAGTATCTGCATTTTTTTCCTACCCTACCACAGACTTCTTTGGTGAAGTCGGTAAGTCAAGCCCTTACCTTTTAACAGAGCCAAATACCTACTAAGGCTCTCTCCATTTTTCATATTTGAAAAGGAATCGCACATATCTTCAAGCATTTTGTTTAGAGTAAGAATAGTAAGGACTACTGGTGGCTTAGTTATTTGGCAGGAGATGGTTGGTGCTTGTTCACTTTTCAGTGTTGCCTAGATTAAAGAGTATTCATAATATTCATGAAGGATATAATCAAGCTTAGGTCCCTGATTTATAAAATTATTGGGTTTGGATGTAGTAGTTCACCTTTTGAAGTTAACTTTCAAGCAATAATTACATGTCAACATGGAACAACCCCCAGCAATTGACTTCATGTCAGCTGTCAAGTAGGATTGATTCAACACAGTAGAAGACTTCCCTGTGAATCATCAGGTAGCTTAAAGTCAGTGAGGTAGTCCCACTGTATGCTAGAAGCTGCAATGTGCTTATTACACATAACCATCTCTCTTTGTCCTCTCTGTGTAAGCTTTCAGCGTGTTGGATGGAAAAGTCTGCTGGAAAACTTGTAGTGATTCTGATCTGTGAGGGAGTTTGAGTGCTGATTCTGTGATCAGTGATTTGATTTTTCTTATTCAAGTTCCCTACAATAGTATTTCTTCATTCAGTTGTGAAATGTGAAGTGCAATAGCTTCTGGCTGGGTTTGTGAGCTAGTTCAGCTGTGCTTCTTTAAAATAAGCTGGTTTTTTTTTCTCTTTCTTATGAACTGCTAATGATACACAAATCTATTTGTTTTATTTTCTGCACTTACGCAGTTGACTTGCAGTTAAATTGTTTGTTCAGAAATGGTAATAAGATGTCTAAAATCATGAATTAAAAAGGAAATCTTTAAGTTGGAATATACATGGCATATCATTGGTTATGGAGTTTGACATCCATAGGCTGCTTAAAGGCTTAATAGAAAAGCAGGCCTTCCCAGCTCTGTAGAAGTTCTAGTGTGACATAACTGAGAGGAATCCCTCAGTGTCCTCATTTATGAAAAGACTTTTATCGTGGGTTCATGCACAATGTGACATTGCTACTTTAATTGTTCTAGGATCAATGGGTGTATATGACTTTTCACCTCATCTAAAGTGGTTCCATGTCTTGTTTGGTAAGTTTGTATTTGGGAACCCTCAATGGTTGCAACCTTGTTAGCCAGCGACACCTTAAGTTAAACATCCTGGTGAAATGTTTTGCTTAGGGGGATTTCCACAGTTCTGAGATATTGAAACTTTCTTGTATCAACTTTTGATGCAGGCTGTTTAGTTCCCAGCCTACTGTATGCTCTATACTGTTTTTTAATCTCTTGCATGTCTGACTTGTAGCTGAAAACTTTCTGAACTACAGCTTATTTGGGTTACTTCTGTTATTTTTCCACTGCCTTGCTTAATAAATTGCAGCCAGACCACTAATAACTCACTTGTTTCTTTTCTCAAGGACTGTTCCTGTATTCTACGTACACCAGTTGAGTCAATCAGACCAGAAAAGCAATCTCAGAGCAGCAGCCATGAATCCCTGGTAAGAAAAAAAACCACAAATAATAATAAAAAAGCATTAACTGACAAAGTTCAGTATGAAGTTGCACATGTGCAAAAAAAGAGTGATCTCATTAGCGAGCACTTAATAAAATACTAAGAGGAAAAATAACTGGAGTACTCTGGGGCTTCCGCTTCAGAAGATGACAGCTATTGACTAAGCATTACTCATAATCTTTTACTAGTTTAAAAACAAAACAAAAAATCCAGTAGCTTATTTGTGCAAGTCTTGGTGTAGTAAATCTCAAGCACCAGCTTGAATATCCCAACTTCAGTACTTTATTTTAGCATTCCAGTTGATGTTATTTATGCATTAATTTTAAACATAAATGCACATAGCAATTCTGAGAATTATGTTTTTCTCCACCATTAGGCTGATTCTGAGCCAGCCTGGATTCCCACATCTAAAGGAGGGAATGAAACGATATTTTGCTCTTCCAACGTCTCTCATTATGAACTCCAGGTGGAAATAGGTAACACAACTGTAGCTTAAAATAATTCTTGTTCTTGAAGATGCATTCTCTCTGTAGCTATTGCTAACCGCAATAAATATTAAGTTTGGAAAACGTATTATCAGCTGACTAAAACTATTCTTGTTTCTACTGCCCTTATTCTTGAGAAAAATACAGATCATTTTGTTTCAGTTAGCACGTGCTTTAAAACATAAGACAAATTAACAAATTTTTCTTTTGGTATTTGTGCATTTGGATGCCATTGCCTAAAATCTGTGGCATGCAAACAATAAATACAACGTTAAGTAACATCATAGCTTGTCATTTGGCTGGTTGATTTGATTGTCTTAATGATGGCTGCACTGAATCGCACTGTGCAAGCTTAAAATCATAGAGTTATTTGATTTGGAAAGGACATTTAAAGGTCACTTAGTCCATATTCACTGCAGTGATCAGGGACACCTACATCAGGTTGCTCAGAGCCCCATCCAGCCTGACCTTGAATGTCTCCAAGGACGGAGCATCCACCACCTCTCTGGGCAACCTGTGCTACTGCCTCACCACCCCTACTTTAAAAAAAACTTCTTATGTTCAATCAAAATCTCCCCTTTTTAAGCTTGAAACCATTTCCCCTTTTCCATCACAGCAGACCTGCTGAAGAGTCTGTCCCCTTATTCTTGTAGCCCCCCTTTAGATATTGAAAGGCTGCTATCGAGTATCCCTGGAGTATTCTCTTCTCCAGGCAGAACTGCAGCTCTTGCTCCTCTTGTAGGGGAGGTGTTCCATCACTTGCACTATTTTTGTGGCCCCCCTCTGGATGCTCTCTAACAGGTCCACGTCTCTCCTGCTTATTCTAATGCTTGTGTTTAAAGGGCTGTTAATGTCGATAAATTACTGATGCTGACAAATGTTTAAATGTTCTTTGTTCTAAAGACATTCTAAAATTCTAAAAACAGCAGAATCAAGATCTAATTTGTGTATATATTTTGCCCCAACTACTTAAGTTGTTGGAGTGCTTAAAGAAAACATCATGCTGCTATCCACTACAATTCAGAACTGTAAAGTTCTTTAACTACAAAGAAAATTATGTGGTGATTTACTACATTTTCTAATATTAAGGTATCAACTTTTGGTTTCAGGAAGGAGATTCAACAACTTAACTTCAATCTACCTTGCACGGCATACCCCTACAGGCACACAAGTTGCCATAAGAATCACAGACCTAGAAAGCTGCTCAGAAGAGCATTTGAAAGCCTTACAGGTAAAGCAACAGCACTTCTGAAGCCACTTTGGAACATGTAAAGGTTTAGTAAACCAATGCAGCCTTCGTGCTTTTACTACTGGGCAGTTGAATTCAAATTTTCTCTTCAAAGGAATAGAAAAGGCATGTGCAAGTTTGAAAGATTGCTTTCTGAAGAAACCATTGACAAATGGTTTAGAAATTATCATGGAACTTCACAACTCTTCCTTTGAAACACATTTTGTGCTCTGCATTTAACAGCAAAACTTACGACTGTGAACAAACTAGACTTCAGAAAAATGCAATCACATCCAAGCTATTTGCATATCTATTGCAGCTATGCTCATCATATGCAATTTAGAATAAATACACTGAACAGTTTTTTTTCTACTGATTATTGACAATTAATGCTTTTAGTAAGACAGTTGTTTTATGATTAATACATCCATTTTCATTTAATTCCATAGAATGAGGTGGTTTTATCCCACTTTTTCCAGCATCCCAACATAATGACACTTTGGACAGTGTTTACAGCTGGTAGTTGGCTTTGGGTCATTTCTCCATTCATGGCCTATGGTAAGAACTGTTAACTGCTATTTTGGAGTAAGCAAAAGGACTGATGAAATTTGGGCTATGCAGTTGAGAAGTGTTTTTTTCTGTAAGAAACTCCTCATAAAGAAGGGGAGGAAAAAAAAAAAGGGGGGGGGGGGGGTGGGAAGAGAGAAGAAAAAAACCTTAATAGACACACTTTCCCAAAGCACTTGTTTAGATAAGTCTTCTGTATATCGCCTTCCTCCCCAGAAAAGATTGACATTTGAACTGCATTAAATTTCACTTAGTCCTAACCCCCACAAAGTACTGAGTAATAAGTGGGAGATGCATTTGATCTTACAGAATAGAAAACTTGTTGGTTTCAGTGCAGGTTTGGCATAGGCTTTCAGTTTGCAAGCATGACATGAGTGCAATCCCTATGATTGATGGATGCTTCAGTTGCATTTGTTAAGTGTTCCTGACGTACCATAGTCAATACAAAGGTGAGAATATCACTCTTGGCAAATGCATACCACAAAAGAGGCATAGAAATAACTTCAAGGTGGCTTGTTAGGTTTAGGGTTTTTTTTTTTCCCTCTGCTTCCAGGTTCTGCTAGACATCTGCTGAAGACTTACTTTCCTGAAGGAATGAGTGAAGCTTTGATAGGGAACATCCTGTTTGGTGCAATCAGAGGATTAAATTACATGCACCAGAACGGCTACATTCACAGGTAGGACAACATCAGTGCCTAGGTAAGAATCAGATTACAGGATCTACTTGATTAGGAATTTAGTTTTGCTACAAAACCCATACTCGGTTCAACTGTCATCTTCTTTCCTTTTTCCATATATTTCTTATGGCAGATGCAGACAGTACAGGCTGTTTCATTTTGTTAGTTTGTTTTTGAATAATACAGCAGGATAAGTAAATCCTTCCTTACTTTACCCTCTTTGCAGGGAAGGAAAGACGACCCTTCTCTGACGTCTGGCAGTCAGTTTTTCTTGCTAACCATCTCTCAGGGTGTATTCAAAAGACAGCTCATGCTAAGTGAGCTCATGAAAATAATCTGTTGAACAAAACCGCATGTAAACTCCCCAGTATAAATTAAAGATTTTCATATTTCTACTTTAACAGTGCTTTGAGTAATTTGTCTAACTAAAATTTACCACTTTTTGTTACAGGAATATTAAAGCTAGCCACATTCTGATTTCAGGGGATGGACTGGTTTCTCTCTCTGGCTTAAACAACCTCTACAGTTTAGTTAACAATGGACAAAAGTCAAAGGTGGTGTATGACTTTCCTCAGTTTAGTACATCTGTACTTCCTTGGCTGAGCCCTGAGCTACTGAGACAGGTCAGTTAAAATACACTTCACTCTTCTTATTCCAAGTTAACATGAAGTACTCAACTTCCATCTTACATCTGCTTGTATAAGTGCAATAGAAGCTGTTGAACTGCAACTTAAAAGTTTGATTCTCCTAAAGAGAACAGGTTTTACATCTGTTGGTGAGGTGGTACTTACAACTGAATCTGCCTGATTCTCTTCCTGAAAACTAGAGCAGACCCTGTCTTCAGTGCAACATCACAAAAAAAAAAAAAAAAAGCCTGTTTCAAGTTGTTAATTGCCTCAATCCCGTTTAGATTACAGAATTTTAGAATTGTGTCTTGACACTGGTATTTGTGTTTCTGTTTGCACCCATCAACGGCTTCTGTGGTCCAGAACAGTTTTATTTCTCCCACAGGATTTGTCTGGGTATAATATGAAGTCTGACATCTACAGTGTGGGAATAACAGCATGTGAATTAGCCAATGGACATGTTCCATTTCAAGATATGCCTCGCACTCAGGTATGATGCTAACCTCCATTTCTACTTCAAAGGACACAGATTTTTATTTTTTTTTCTGTTTTTACATAAAGCATTACTGAGATAAAGCAGTGCTTTCACTGATGAAATGGTGGCCGCTTTTAGTTATTTCAAACATGCATGTTTCTTGCTAGAGTAAATAATCCTTTCTCATAGACTCACAGCATAGCCTGAATAGGTCTGTGGGTGGTGCACTTGTAGAACCGCTCTTCCTTTCTACTAGATGCTGCTGCAGAAGCTGAAAGGTCCCACATACTATCCCTGGGATATAAATGCCTTCCCCCATGGGGAATCCAGAATGAAGAATTCCCAATCAGGTGTTGATTCTGGAATTAGTGAGAGTCTGACACGCACAATGACGAGCGAAAGACTACAAAGTTCTGTTTCCAAAACATTTTCCCCTGCATTCTACAACTTGGTAGAACTTTGCTTGCAACAGGACCCTGAGAAAAGGTAACGCTCTGGTGAAAACTAATTTTGTGTCATTTTAGTCTTAGACCAGGTCTAGTAGGGCTTAGGATACAGCAATTAGTTGAATACTGTTACAATCAGAATTTCAGACCAGAATTACTACACAAAACCCTACGCTTACCTTTAGTATTGTTATTTAAAAACTCTCTTATCTGACAAAGGAATCATGCTTTTAAAGTTTTGTTTGACTCCATTTAGGCCTGATTTTCTTACGGTATGAATCTGTCTTGTATTGCAGTTAGACAAGTAAAATTAATTTTAAACACACACTTTGTTCAAGAAACAATGGCAAACTTAAGTATATGTTTTCAGTATGACACCTCTTCTGAATGAGACAAAATCCCTTGTTAAGCAGAAAAGTAAAAATCTTTAAAAGAAATCTCATCTCTTTAGTAGCGCCCTCGTTACAAATTGTGACACAGAACATAGGAATCCTATGCTGCCTTTCTCATGATTCACATTTCACATGCATCAATAACGACACACCTTAAACTGCTTTGTCAGACTAGGCCCTTTCCCAAGACGACTAATTTAACTTTGCAGAATATAATCATATTGTTCATTTTATGATGCAGGCCATCAGCAAGCAGTTTGCTTTCTCATACGTTCTTCAAACAGGTGAGTTCACTAAATTTTTATTAAATGACACAGTTATCAAAAATAATCAAAATAAGTCCTAAAATATTGGAGTGGATTACAAAATATTTAGGTCAGCTAGAAGCAAAACCGTCCTGTAACAGCTCATCTGCTTCAGACAACTTTTGTAAAAAGACACATCATTAGAATAATCTATTTTCCCTTTGATAATGTTGCTATAACTTAGGTCAGCCTAACTGATGAGAAAATTGGTAAATATTCAGGATTTCAAGCAGAAGAATTCCATAGCTAATTCGTGAAAGATTAATTCAACTTTCTGTGGAGTGAGGAAAGATAAACCTCTTACCCTGTTTTCAATACTGTAACATGCAAGAAGTTGGCTCTACGACTTTTATGTGTTTTTAATTAAGTCAGGTGCAAGTTCATACAGATTTTTTTGCAGGCCTCTTTTGATTAACTTTTCTTCTTCATAGGTAAAAGAACAAACACAGAGCTCGCTCCTGTCCCTATTACCGCCCCCTGTTCAAAACAACAGATCAGAGTTCTTGACGCTGCCCTCGGCAGCAGCTGAGGCTGAACCTGGACATATTGCTGCAACTCAACATGACACAGCCTGGGAATTCTAAGTAGATACCAAACGATCATACCTCTCTTGTGCTTCAAAGAAGGAAAATGTGATTTCTACTTGCTGCTTTAGTTTGTATGGTTAAAATACGGTTAGACACTGTACACTTGAAAATGCAGTTAAAGTGGCCATATTCCATTAACTTCATCATATGTTTGCATCAGGAAGTGCAGTATGCCTCATTTTGTCAGATCTCAAGCAAAACTGCATGTAGGAGATAAGAATTCAGTTGTTCTCCTCTTTTGAAATACTTAACATGAGGGTTCCTGCTGTATCTTTACTTTTTACTGCACTTTTTAGCTCATATTACTGCAGTCCAAGTGCCTTTCTGAATTCAGGCTTTGTCTTTTGTCTACAGCTTTTCTTCAGTAATCTATTTATCTTAGTGAAGAGGAATCTTCCATTTTCAAGCCTAAATTTGAAACTGCAGAAATGAATTTCTTATACAAGTCATGTTTCTTTTTCCTGCCTCTCAGAAGGTGTGTTGGCCAGTTGACATGCTGTCAGTGTTTGCCCTGAATTAGCTAGCAAGTCTTTCCTGCAGTTTCAATACTGCATGTTGACCAAAGAAGCTAGTTGAAAACGCTGTTGCATTTTTCTGCATCCTTAATACAGATCTGTGCTTTTGCATCTTCATTTAGTCTTGCATCATCTTAACTAGCAATTTGAGAACCTCCGATAATGTAAAGGAAGTCTTAAGTTATAACACATATAGGTTAATTTTGAAGACTTGTTAAATGATCTGAAGTCACTGTATGTGTTTTTGTTTATACTGTGTACCAAGAATTATCTGGACCTAATATTGTTTTCTCAAAATAAGTTACAAGACACATTAAGCTTCATCCGTGTTACTGCTTGCAAACATCTTCTGCAGTCAGATTCCCATGATTCAATTCAGAGCACAAATTCACAAGAATCTGAGAGGTTTCATTGTCTCTTCCCTGAGGAAAAACTGCCTTTGTGCCACAAAAATCACTAACTTCTCATCTCCCACACTACACCAAGCAACTCAAGCTGAACAAAAGCAGCATTATTTATTTATTTTTTTTTTAAATTAAAACTGCAACCTCATCATGTTTTAGAAAAAGCTGTGTCCCAAGCCACTACTACTTGCTGACATAGGTTCTAACAATAGTGAAAATGTATAAATAGTGAATGGATACATTTCAGTTTTTCAACACACGGAAATTCCACTGCGAAGTGCTCAAATCTGACGTAGCTGGGCCTATGTGTAACCAGCCCTGCAAATACTTCTGCTTTGCCAGCAGCTTCTCTTCAAAGTCTTGAATGCACTGGAAGGCACAAACAATTCTAAACAATCACACTGAAATATTAACAAAATACTTGACACTACTCATTATGCTGTGAAGGGAACTCATAGTTCAGAACATAATAGGTACAACTAAGCTTAAGAGCCTCTCAATAAACTTGCCCTGTCTGCCTCCATATATTTCTATAATTCTTGTACTCCTGTTTTCACCACAATTCAATCATACTAACAGCTTCTTGTTACTGCAAGAAATGTTTCAGATTTATGTCAGTCATCAGTTAAGAAAATAGTTGTTAAACCATTAAGTAACTCCTGTTAATCATACCAGTATTAGCTTGTGGGCTCTTCAGAGAAGACATTAGACTCACATAAACCCCACAGGGTTCTTTATCCCTAACCACTGCAAATCTTGATTGTTTTAAAATAAACTATGTAGCACTTACAAGTATTTTTGTGTAACTGTACACGTAAGCCCCAAGTCAAGTAAGTGAAAACGGATATTTTGCACATACTTAAATTAGAGATGTCTGAACAAACATTACTTCACTTTTGTTTGTTTCAAGAAAGCCTGATGCCAAACATCTCAGGCAGCTGAAGAGCTAGGTTTGCAAGCTTCACTTGAAATAACAGCACTCTACACTCTCTGCAACAATGAACCTGAATACTCATAGCAAAGTGAAGTAAAGCATAGACTGACTTAAACAGACAAATATTCCAGTCTCTGGATTAAGTTTATAGAGAGATTTTTTGCAGTTCTGCTCATTAACTGTGATACTTTCTTCTAAGGAACAACATAAAATGTGTTAACACAAACGTGTGTTAATGCATCAGTTAACACAGTTGTATAATCAATGAATATTAAGGTTATAATTACAAAATAAATGAGAGTTAGGCAAAGCAGATTACAATAACAAAAAGAGAACTGATTGAAAGCTTACCCATATCCTGGGCTCGCTTACAAAACTCCAGCAGAGTGGATCTCCAGACAAGATCCTTCCCCACTGGTAGCCAGCTCTTAAATGGATCTAGGAGGGGTGGAGCCTGGCTTCACCTCTTCCAGCAGCACAGCTGAATTGCCTTCACCTGTGCTCCTGTGGCTGACTCATGGCTCGCCTCAGGTGATCAATCAGAGGTTCAGGCCGTGATTCAGCAGTTCCCATACAACAGCAAATGTGTAACCATCATACTGTTGAACTAGTCACAGCTGCATGGCACTGAAAACAAGATACACTGAAAATTAGATACAGTGCTGTAAAGAAGTTTTTGCATACAATTTGTATTTTCAAAACCTGACATAAGTGATCTGCACTGATAAATGCAGGTTGACAGACTTCCTATTCCAAACTGACATGCTTCCAAGCACAATGAAGCTCTAATTTCTCAGAACATCCATGTATTAACCCTTACTCATACCAATTACATGTTATTAGCATATGAACTAGTGCTGAAGTCAGACTTAAAACTTTCAAAGAATCTCGCGTGTAAGCTCAATGGGAGACATTGTAAGAATTTTCATACATTTACAAAATGTTCTCATGCCCTATGAAACAGAAATTAATAGATGGATTGCTTCTGCAGTTTTGACATTTGTAGAAACAGAAGATCACAAGTGGTCTGGGTTGGTTTTTTTGTTGTTGGTTTTGTTTTTTCTTTTTCTTTTTATTTCTTTTCTTTCTTTTTTTTTTCTTTTTCTTTTTTTTTTTTTTTTGCTGCCATCTTTCTCTTATTTAGCATTTAACACTATGTAATGTAATTAAAAACTTGTCACAAAAGAAAACTTCTGTTATATATCATCCTTAATATAACCATGTTATTATGTTTCCTACTGTCTTGGTCTAATGACAGATGCAGCAGCTTGTGAATGTCTGAATGGATGAACATAGGATAAAAATGTGATTTAGTCACAATAAACTTGATTTTCTATATAAAGTACGTCAGTAAGTATCCATTGGAGAAATGATTGTTTCTTCCAACTGATATCAATGAACAAAAGCAAGCATTACCAAAAAATTACCTAGTTTTACCTTACATCTCTCTTTTCCCTACTCCCTTTTTCTACTCAAAAGTGATGTAAGCAGTTTTTAGCCTGTGAAATCATGGAAAAATGTTTAAAAAAGACTGTTCTCAATGTGTCTGACAAGAGGGAGGTACCAAAAGTAGGTGACTTATGTGCCCTGTCTTTAATGCTAGCAAGTAGCTCTGCTAAAGTACATTAGGTTGTCTAATAAACCACTAAAACACCTAAGATAGCTGTAATGACTTGTCCCAGTGATGGTCTTCTCTGACTGATGAAGAAATACTATAATTCAGAGATCCTGCACAACACATCCTGTGAGACTAATGTCCAAAGAACAGGAATATGAACCACACTGCAAAATCAATTTAGTTGGTGCAACAGCGCAGCAGAGACTTAACAACTTAGAAAAGAAAGCACTGAAAAAGAGGTCTACTAGTACGTAGCAGAATAACTTTTGGTAATTAAAATAATTAAATCTGTCCAGAAACTCAAGATTCGATGAAGGAATAAATATTAGATTTAAACTGGTTGCTATGGAAACCACCATGATTCCCAAAAGCAAGCAACTGATCTTACTCCGCAGATCAGTTATTAAACATGCTAGTTATCAAAAAGCCCCACAAATTTCTGCAAAATGCAAATTACACAAATTAGCTGCAATTGTATTTGGCTTACTTTTCATTAAAGTTTTGCATACCATTGCTTAATGCAGATTTTCATGTTATTACATCATTTAGCTGGATTTTAAGATTATCTTGAAGGAAATTATATAAAAGAGGCTTTAGATTGTTTCCAAAACTCTCACTGTAAGAGTATATGAGCAGTTCTGGCTGAAATGTACTTTATTGCTGGTTTCTGCTGGTGATGATGTTGCCCTGCCCTGGGCACCAATGCCTCCACATCCATCAGTGGTATGGCTCTGGCCTCTAGTGATAGATTTTATGAACACATTCCTTGCATCAACTTCGTTCTGAAAGTCTTTGCAATGCGAACTTTTATGAGCTTTTTAAGCGCGTCCCTCAGGCCACTAAACCGCCACAACTCCCGCCATTTTCTGCAACCACTTGCAGACACGCCTCTAAGCCAAACCCACCTGGGCCCAACCCGCTCGTCTCCCCGGCTCCTCCCCTTCCGTAGCACCGCCCGTACCTCAGAAGCCTACACGTTTCTTTGGCTCGGCCCCTTCGTGAGACTCCAGCGCCGATTGCCCGGAGAAGGAAGGAAAGGCGGTACTGACGTGGCCGCACCGCCTCCTTTAGGCAGAGCCCAAAATGGCGGCCGTGCAGTTGGACCGGCCGTTAGGCGCGCGCAGGGCGCCGCCTGCTGGCGGGAAGGCGTGTTGGCGGCGGGCCGCGGCTCCGCGTTTCGTCCCGTCGAGCATCCCACGGAGCTTTGCTGCAAAGACGCCGAGCAGCACTTCATCACAGAATCAGCTTGTATACAGTAACATAACGTTAGCGTTGAGAAAGAAACAACTTAGACTGATTTATTTTAAACAAAGTAAGCTTTTGGAAACAGTACAAAATAGTACAAGCTGAAACTCATTCTGACCACTTCCTCACTCGTTTCAGTTATTTAAAAACAAAAAATAGGCACCAACTTCTCTGCATTTTTTTCTTCAACACAAAATACCGCATTGAAAACAATGGTAATGGAAATGCACAAAGGCATTTCAATTAAGGCTTCTACATATACTGCATGTTCTGCAATTAAACATCTATTCTGTAAACTTTAAGATGTTCTAAAGTTTTCCAAGTAACTAAATGCACACACACATAAAAAGCAGCTAAATTCCACTGTGAGGCTCAACAGAATGAAAACTACCTTGTAAAAGAGGTAATAAGCCATGAAATTGTTTATCTAACTGTGATTTTAAATGGCAAACCTCAAACCTCTTTCATTCATCTAGGTTATACTCAGGTCCTCCAAAAAAGGTACAAACTAGGAAGGCAAGTCTGGCTTGAACTACTGATGCCATTAATTAAGTCAAAAAATCACTGCTCAACCATCTCACAATGAGAGCAAAATCTGGCTCCTGGCTAGCATTGCTTTGTTTGTGGGATACTTAGAAGGCCAATTCCTAGGAATAATTTCAGAAATGAAATCAAGCAGTGACGTTCCTCATGTTTCTCTATACTGATTGGATGCCTTCACACTGTTGTGTCAGAGCTCCATACTTTATGAGAGAAGTTATACTTTTTATGTATATGCCAAGATAACAGAAGCATGAAATAGCAAATAGAATCCATTACTAATCTCTTCTTCAGGAGCTCAGCAATTCTGTAAACCAAACACACGATGCTTGAAGAATCTGTGATGTGCATTTCCCACTTTGCAAGGAAATTACTGTGTAGAAACCTATGTGGGAACACTAAGCAGTGGCCTCATCTCTCATCTCCTACAGCAAATCACAAGGACCTCCAAAGTAACACTGATGGGGAGCAGCATCCTGAATCTCTTTGTTACAATGTACAATGCAGCACTGGCTGTAATCGAGCTCCACGGTATTACAAGAATACATACACTTCATAATAATTGACAAAAAGGTTAAGCAGTTCCTTCCCACAAACAAGTGAATGCCCTAAAATAGAGCCAGCAGTTACAGAAAATGTTTCAATTCCAGTAGAACTTTCTTTTTTCTCCCCTCTCTAGAATTACATAATTACTTAAATTTGCTAAATAAGCACACTAGAACTCAAGTTCTTGACAGAGCAGAAGCTGTCCTAGTTATTCATGTTCCCATTCTTGTTTTAAAGCAACTTAGGCAACAGTGTAGAAACTTACTGGCTCTTTTACATCTCCCTTCCACTCATTCATCTAGCTAAACTCACCACTACTTTTATAAAACACAGTAGCCTCCAGGGAATTTTGACACTGCACAGCTTTTAAAACCACCCTCAGACACATTAAATAAAATAATGCAAAACTCAATACATATTAAATAAAATTTAAATCTAGTCTTGTGTAATACTTGCATGAGAAATCTATTTCAGACTAGCTCTTGCCTACATCTGCTAAGGAGATAGTTCTATCCTGCAAGACATCTGCATTTATTCACTTAAACTGCTTTCTTCCTAAGATTTGTTTTCATCTCTCATCTCTATGGAATATCTTAGAAAAAAGATATACCTCAACTGCTAGCAGTGTCAGTAACGAAACACAGATTGATGATGACAATATAGCACTGCTGTCAAAAAAGCACTGAATAGCAGATCTTCAGAATTCACCCATTTCCTCTGCCTGTCTAGGTAGCAATGTTTACAGAAGTACCTTGACTTTATGTACTGGAGATAATATAGATTACAAAATAAAAAGAAGATATATAAAAGATTTCAGTCACATTTGAATAATTAAAAATTAGCATACATAAAAGATCCATGAAATATATACAATATAAAAATACTTTTTTTTTTTTTCTTTATGAAAGTTATAATACATGGTTAAAATACAGAAAGCTTTGAGCCATCAGTTATAACTACAAGGTGCATGTTCCACTCTATGGCTGGACTCTGGGTATGATGACTCCCTGAGGAAATTCCTCAATTTCAGTATGAAACATGAGTTCTGAAAAAAAGATAAAACAATACTGCTTTTACTGAAGAAAGTTTCACCTGAATATTATTACATTATTCCAGAAAAGTTCTATGGAATTTCCCCAAGCCTCCTCCTTTTCTTTGTAGCCCTTGTATCAGCAATTCAGTAATGGGAAGACCCACCACTGTCTTTAGAAAACTGCATTTGTCCTCCCACATTAACACAACTAGTACTGACATTAGCAACTGATCATAAGAAGTAGGCTTCAGCCTGGACATTTAAATGTGTATCTGAAAGTAGACTGATAAATTGTTCCAGTTTTGAAAGTGTCAGAACCAAGACTGAAGATTTCCATTTAGAGACCTGATCATTTACTGTTTGCCAACAATTCATCAATGTGGCAAAAATTACACAATCTGAATGTGCAGCACTGTAATTTTATCCACTCAAGTTTTGAAATCCCACACTTCTTTTTGTTTTGCCATTCTATTAATACTTCCTTACTACTTGGGATAAATCCTAACAGAATTTTTGTATTGAAATTGCTGAAGCACGTTACCTAATCCCAGTTGACATCTGTAAATATCTATAATCTCATCAAAACCTGAACTAGATCACACCTCTGTCTTCCTTGAATAAGCCTTTTATTACTTCAAAAATGACTTCTAATTACAATTTAGACATCTACTGTAAGTTTTACTTTCAATAATTCTAAAAGCTGCCAACCAGTTGTTTGTTTGTTTGTTTTTTAAACTAATTGAGTTACTAGAATCAATTAGGATAACTGGCAGCAGCTGAAATATAGAAAGCCGTAAATTAACGTACTAGATTAATTCAAGCATATTTAACCAACCTTCTTTGGTCTCCCAAACACAAATCTGTTCCTCAGTCATAACATTTCTCAGTACTAAACTCGAGCACCCAGTGCAGACCATAGTAGATAGGAGTCTGAACAAATAAGTTTTTGCCAATTAACATTTCCTACCTTCACTGTGGTCTAGCTCTGGTCGGTAAGACAAGAAGATCCAACTTGCCCCAACTAGAATAGATACTACCAGATTCACCACAATCCATGGCTGAAGAATTTCTTCCTCCATACCTGCAGTCCTGGGAAAAGCACATCAACCAATTAATCAGGTTACACACCAGTATGCACATATTACAATAATAACGTCAGCAGAATATCATAAAATACAAATAAAAAGCTTGCTAAGTCAGATGTAATAATATCACTATCATCCTAATGGTCTGGCTTTATGAAGATCTGGTAAAGAGATTGTACACCAAAGACAGCAACTTATCTCACAGAGAACATTCACTTGCAGATTTCAGCAGTACATTCCTTTCCCTGGCTAAGAAATAGAAAACAAAAACCAAAACGCACTGTCAAACTTCACTATGAGGAAAGATATCATATGAAGTCATCAGCAGATCTTATTTTCATCACTTCTTTGTAGGGCAGCAGGCAAATGAGCAGCAAGTCATTGAAATCTGCCTGGAAACCAGTGCAAGAACTTGTAGACAGAGGCCAGATAAGATGGGGGTTTAGGTAAAAGGTTAGGATTTAAGTTGGCTGATACGTTTTATACTGTCATTAATAGCAGCAGGTTGAGATCTTGTTACTAGAATCCAGATTTTTCAATAAACACTTATAAAAGCTCTAAAAAAGGGAAAAAATAGCTAACTGCACGCAGCAAAAGAGATACTTAAAGTTTCTGTCACCCTTCATGTTCTCTCAGCATCGTTCTAACAAGATGTTCAAGTTACGATGCATTCGTGACCAACATGACTGAGACCAAATATGACTTCTCATTTCTGAGCGAAGGTTTCAGAGGTTCAAGGCACACTCAGACAAAGGCAAATGCAGTAATGGAATTCTTTGTTAATACTTTCTTATGCATCTTATATAACCTTTTGAATCCAACAGTTTGACTAAGGTTCATAAGTGAGTGACGTTACAATTTACAGAAGACCTTTCTTAGGTTTCCTACCAGATGCTGCCATTTTCTGAAGGTGGTGTGTAGAGGTTAATTCTGTCACATGTCATCTGCTGACTTAAGGATAAGATAAGAGCAGTGAAGTACACTGGAAGAAATGAAATTAGTGTCAGGTATAAAGCAAGTAGAAAATGCTTTCTCATCTTTTGTGCTCTGCATTCATAGGAGGGGAAACAACCATCCCAGCAGTAGTGTCACTAACGCTACTACTGCAAATACTTTAAAAATGCGCGAAGCATCCGTGATCCTTGAATGCTATTTTCAACTGCTCCCCAAGTCACTTATTTTAAGGTAGGCAATAACAAGAAAAATCCACTGAAAACAGAACATAGGATTTTTTCCATTTACTTTATTTTTTGAAAAATCATCTATTTTTCCTCATCCTATTCACTTCAGGATACTTACAGAACGAAGCCAATGCCGCTGGGTCTAGGGTAAGAAAACCCCTCAGTGCAACTGATGCTTTTGCCAAATCAATCCTGATTAGAAAAACAGGAGTCATTAACACAGCTCAATAAGATAATAATATTGTTCTTCTAACAGTGTTCTGTTGCTTTTGCTTTTTTCAAGATACCTTTTCCTGTCTGTGTTATAGTGCCTTAATAAGCCACTATGCTGCACACACACGCAACGATCCTCACTATGCCAAGCTCCAGAAAGTTTGAAATTAAGGATGATGTTCCATAAGTTTTGTAGCTTTCACACTGCAGTCAGGGAGAGTGGGGAGCAATCTGCTCCCCCCAGTCCTTCCCATTCATTTCAGTGTCTGCACCACCAACAGAATTAATGTTAATAAAACTACTTACAAAGCTCACACTGGCACAGGAGAAATTAAGGATAAACTCAAGATTCCTTCCTGACACCACTTATTGAAAAAAAGACACAATTCCTTCCACGAAATAGACTCCTTCCCTGTCTTACCATGCTGCCAAGGAAACAATGCATCATTAAAATAAACTTCAGTGAAACCAACTCTTTGAGACATAATGCAGAAGCAGCAGGTGAGCCAGGTAAACTGTTTATATAGCTATGTTGCAAACTTAATTGAATAAGGAATTCACATGAAAAGTAACCTAACAGCAACAGCTGTTCTCTACTCCCCTCCACCACAGCTCTCCCATTTGGTTTACTTCTTGATTACACAAACAGCACTCGTACACTGAAACAAGGCAGCAGGTAATGGACAGAAATGAGTAACAAAAGCCTGAATATACAAGTACACCTTTTAACTATACATCAGCTATGTGCAAAATCATTCACCAAGAGTATCATTAAATCATCAACAATTTACCTATCAAAGGCTGAGACTGTGCTGATAGACAACAACAAGTAGAACAAACTTTGAGCAGGGTAGGCTAGCATCTTATACTGCTGGAGCAGGTTAGAAACCGTGGTAAGCTGATTTCCTGCCAAAATGTAGATAACAACGATGTTCCATACAGCATAGCCAGCAAGAAAGCCATGGGTAAAGAGTCCGATTACCCTGAAAGGATAACAGAACATTTGAGAAGTTTAATGCCTTTAACTAGGCATTAAACTACAGATGAAAAGGCCTACAAATTCACCCCTTCAATCCTGCTGCTGTGATAGATTGTTCTCAAGTGCTTTATTCTGATCTAGTTTCAAAAATCCTAAGCAATAAGACTTCTGCTTCCTCCCCTGACAGACTGCACAAGAGCGTGAGCACACAACCAGGAAATTGCAGGTGTTCTGTCTGATCCTGTTGCTACATCCCTTTACTAATGCTACTGGAATCAAATACTTTCACTCTGTCTGTTTCCCCATTTTATCTGTAGCTCCCCAAGACCACTGCCCCTTTCATCTATGCAAGACTCTTTAATCCACCCCTGAGAGAAAGTCAGTCTTTTCAGAATTTCTTCAATCTGTAATTGCCTTCCTTGCTAACAACAAGCTAGGATCAAGCATGGGTTTCCAGGTAAAATACAGAGACATGAAAAAGTTGTCATCTTCCCATTCTGAAACACCATACAACCACAGATGGAAAAAAATATATATCATTTTTTACTTCTGTGTATTTATTTTCTGCAATTTATGCCCAGTCCAACTTCACTCCTCCTTTTTTTACTGGAAAGAGTTCAGACATTTTAACTCTGCTCATATCACAGCTGACAGGTAAATCTCTTTTTTTTTTTTTTTTTTTTTTTTTTTTTTTTTCTGTAGGTCCCTGGTATTTCTGTTATCATACATATCTCTTTCTATTCATCTTTCTTCTGAATCTTAACAACACAGCTTCCTTAATTAGCTTCAGCTTTTTGTTCTTTTTAGAGATTGCATTTCAAATGGATGTCTTGAGTAGAAATAGATATTACCTTCAACAGAAAAAAGCTGGTGCACTTATGCCACCTGCATACCCAACCACCACCTATAAGTATCCACATGAAGTAAAGATACATCCAGCGATAGAGAAGAGACGCTAAAGTCTTACAGATAAGAAAGAAAAAAAAAAAATCCACACAATGATTTCAGTTTCTTTACATCAAAACATTAATCCATCACCTGAAACTTCGGTGCACTGAGAGGGCAACATCTCTGGTGGTCCAAGACGACTTCACATCCAAAAGCACATTGATATTTTCAGTGGTTTTAATCAATTCTGCACGGTCGGCTGCTTGAAAGCGCCCTAAAAGGATGAGAAAATTTATTTCAGAGAGAGCCATTAACTTCACTCAATATTTTTACATTAATGCTTGAATTTCCTATCAAAATTTCCATCAAATTTCTTCTCTCTTGTGCCCCCTTTTCTTCCCTGCCAGCTTCCATTCATGATGCCTCCCTCTGTCAGTGTGGTGTACCGTGACAGACCAGGATTTATGAATCTACAGCACAACTGGGTAAGTACTCAGTGTTCTGTACTAAAAAAACCCACCACCAACAAAAAAATAACCTTCCACATGCATGATTTTTTGCAATATAGTAAATACTTCTCAACCTGTTGTGACAGTATTAGGTCAAGTGAGCTCAGTTCTGTACTACCAGGTTTTTTTCACCTACAGAACCACAGAACTAAAAAATCCAACAAATCAGTAACACTGCAACACTAGCATTCACTGCTGAAAGATTACAACGTACATTTCTTCTCAAGTACTTTTTTTTGCTGGCAAACTCCCTTTTAAAATTCTGCCCAATAGCAAAATATTTGGATTTTAAATACAATTATGTGTTCATGCAAGAACTTAAGTTAAAAAAAAAAAAAAAAAAAAAAATCACACAATGCACTTACGATTTTTTTCTACAAACACCTTGCTAACAGGCTGGCTAATTCCACTGGGAGCAGCAAACACAGGCTGCTGATCTGGGCTCCTTCTGTGTTCATCTTCAATGATGTCATCCTCCTCTACCTCCAGCTCATTGGAACTGTGTGTTTCTGCCGGCCGAGCCTTCCTATCATCACAAGTCATACAATGGGGCAGAAGAAAAATTTAAAACTTGAAGATTTCAATGAACACTTACCATTCCTAACCTCACTGATACAAACAGATTAAGCTACTGACCAGTATATTACCCCCGCATAAACTTAAAGCTATTATTCTCACTAAAGCACTAACACTAAGCCTTGATTTGGCGGCTTTTCTTTCAATTTAGATACCTTCTTGTGTCAAAACAATAATTTGGGAAAAGTACAGAGCAAGAGATTAACAACCAGAAAAAATACGTACTAATTAAATACAAGGCCAAGAGAATGGATGCTTGTGGTTGGAAAGCCAACTAGAATGGTGTAAAGGCATAGCTCTTGGAGAAAAGGCGGATAAGAAAGCAGCTGTTTCTCAGAAAGTTAAGAAAAATACAGGAAAAATGAAAGGAAGCAGTTATGTGTTTTAATTTTTTATGTACTGAAACAGTAGGCTCATGCTACCATACTCTGAACTGAAATGCATCCAGATACACACAAAACAAACATGTGAAGAAAGTGAGATCTTAGCCCTGGACAGGACTGCGTGCGTACAATTTGCTAAGCAACGTAAATGGTACTGTGAACTTCCAAGATCCTGTGTCTTTGTAAAGTGACACTAAAATGTTATTCAGTTACTTCTACTGCCACAGATATTCCGAATTATGAGCTATTCATCTCACTTGGTTCTTTTTCTCTGTTTGCGGACCACTGGTTCTTCAGCTTCAGGAACATCCACGCCATTTCCATTCTGAAATAAGGATGCAATGTTCTGCTGGGTAAAGGAGGTCTCAGAATCTGGAGATTTGAAAAAACAAGCCACATGAAAATTGTATAGCTTTTATGGGATTAGAGACACGTTCACTTAAATACAGAAATACTTACTACATAAACATGGCAGAAATGGCAACTCTAAGCTATCATTCACCCAGAGATTAATTCTACTTGTTAAAAGGGCACTCGATTTGAAACACTTTAAACCAAAACACAAACTGGCCAGTCATATTTTTGTCACCAGGTTTTATTCAGCCTTCTTTGCAGCCTACCATTATTCACGTACCAGGAGGTACTTTCTTCTTCTTGCGTTTCCGCTGAGGAGGGACATCCTGAGGTTCAGGAGTTAGGGGCTCACTGCTTTCAGACTGCCGACGAACAGTCGCTTGGACAATGTCATCTAAAAACCAGAGAAAAACCTCCAGCAACTTCAATCAAAGCTGCTGAGAAAAAGGCAAGAAAATGCTGCTACCTGTTACACAGTGTAGAATATCTGTATTTGCCCAGCTGAGGTGAAAACATACTGGCTAGAACACATAAGAGATGGGAAGCAAATACGGTAATAAGAATATACAAGATGAAAACATACGGTCTCTGTTTCATCATAACAATTTCACATCTGGGAGGAAATGTAGGTATGCAGGAAGTAGCAGGATTCCCATTCAGGTGTACAACAGAGGACTGACAGAATGGAATCTACTACAGCAAGGAACAATAGCTCTGTATTTTTCCTTTCTATGTGCAGAGACAATAATGCAGGGGACAGAAAAATTAACAGTAACAAGTTGATTCAGACTGACAGATAAACGTGTTAAGGCAAAACGGTGTAATAACAAAGGGAAATTTAAATTAATTGCTGAACAAACAGCAAAGAATCCAGGAGGAGCAGAAAAAAAAACAATTCTGAAGAAAGCTTACTCCAATCTGAGAGAAAAAGGGCTAAGCCTTGGAGGAGCCAGCTTTTCATGGCAGGTAAACATGAAATATCATCAAACATTCTAGCATCAATTGGCATCTTTTCATACAGGAGGACAAACCTTTTTAGAGTGCTTTTAAAGCCTGATATTTTGATACTCTTTTAATCAAATAAAGGAGTATATTTATACTCCTTTATAGGATATACTGATACTCTTTTAATCAAATAAAGGAGATTTACTCATCAAACCATCAGTCCCAAATCAGCTGATTTACAGAAATCCAGTAGATTCTATTAACATCAATTCTTTATCAAAGCAGATCAGACTTGTAATTTTGCTTAAAAGGATATGTTTATTCAGCAGATGCACTTCTTGTAAAAATGCAAGGCTCTGGTGTCAGCCATGCTTCATGCTCTTAACTCTCAGGCGACAGTGGAATGGTTAACTTGTGACTTTATTGGGCCGAGGATTTAAGCTGAGCCAATTTGTTAAACTAGTTGTATGTTAGTTCATTCAAAAATTCAAGCACTTAACACACTCAACATTGCATGCAGCTTACAGATGGAAGTGACTATTTAATTAAGTATTAACAAAATTGAGAAAGGAAAAAAATAGCAGGAATGAACATTAAAGCATTTTTTGCAGTTCAATATTAAAATTTGCTCTATTACCAGTACTGGGAATGGATCCAGGGAAAAAGAGAAGACAGAAGAAGTTACTTTAAGGTAGCACTACGGACTTGCTCTAAACATACAGACTGTATTCTGGTGGTGGTGTGTGCTGGGGAAAGCACTTGACACAAAATCAATTTTAATAAAGAAACTGAGAAGAATATTATTCCAAAACAGAGTACAAGACTGAAAAAAAAACGTATTTGTCAGGAGCTTGGCTACAGTGTAGGTATCACTCAGGATTACAAACACAGGTGGGACCTTACCTAAAGGAGTCTTTCCTTTGGGCTTTCTTTTTTTGGGACGACTGAGTGGAATGTCATCTGCAGAACAGAAACATAAGTCAATGTGCACAGCATGCAAAAATCTCCATTTTTCTTTTTTAACAACCATACTGTTCCAAATTAAGAAATAGAGTCCTTTTTACAAACAAAGACATCCTTCAGCTTTTAAAGATAAGGTGACAATTAACGGATTTGCACAAGCAGGAAAAGTGCAGTCGAAAACAGGAAAGCAAGACAACAAACCTGTCTCGTGTGCAACAAAAGCTAATGCATGTTAAGCAAAAAACCAAATGATGCTCTGAAGAATAAACTGCTTCTTTAGATCATAGTGACAACATTCCAGTTACCCTGATTTATTATGGAACTACCAATTGGTAAAAAGAACAGAGGAAAATACCAGATAGTTCTCACAATAGCAGCCCTAATACCCATGCAATTTAAACAATTATCAGCCTACATTTAGGAAAACTGTAAGGACCAATCCTTCAAGAGAGGATGAAGCGACACCAAAAGGAACTATCCATGTTTACGATTCTCTTTGATGACAGAATAACTCACCCTGGTTTCCACTTCACATTTAATGAGAAAAGGCGTTGAAGAGCAGCACAAAAGGAACAAAGGTAAGAAGAGAGTTAGTTTTTAATCAACTCACAACAGTGACATTCTCTCTACTTTTTTATTTGATAAATTCCCTTATTTCATTCCTATGTCTTTTTATTGGCAACTGTACACAAAAGGGTTAAGTGTACGAAGCAATCAACCAGACTCAACACTTTGCTAGTGACCGTGCAGTTTCTTGATTGGCCAGCTGTAGATCAGATTAAAAGCTATAATCACCTGGCTAATTAAAACTTGCCTGACATATAACAAACTAACAGAAGTTACGAAACATTAGAATATATACCTTACTAAAAACACACTAACTTTATGTGTTGCCAATCACGAACACCACATTTTCTCTAAGGTACTTTGAAGGAATTCTGACATATACATACGCCATAAAAATCTGTAGAGTTGCTTTTCCTTCCACATTGATCATTAAAATGCTGGGGGAAAAAAAGCCCAAATTTCTCCCTATATTACATCAAACTGATAAACACCTATGTCTCCATTTGATAATATCTAGCTGAAAAATCCCTGTCCTGATGGATTTGCAATTTAAATATGTCAAAGAATGCGGAAAAAACAATAGCAACAAAGAGTTAAGGGAAAAGACAGTGAAAAGAGAAACATCAGCAAGACTGAAATAAATGCTAATAAAACTCATGCTGCTTTTTGTCCAAGACTTTAAAAGGTTTAATCTACCTGAATATTAAAAATGAGGTAAGTTTTTTCAGCCTCTAAAAACATCATGTGCTTTATACATTTTGTAAGGGATTCTAGAATAACAAAGCAGCAAGAAAAGCCATGTTTTAAAAGCTACTGTAACTATGCAGGTACTTATCAAACTGATTTTTCTTCATTTCATTTCTCTTAAAAACACAGCGGTAAAAACACAATCAACCCTGTAGAACGAACTGATCTTACCTTGGCACTGGAGGGAGGGCACGTGGGGGGCACTGAAACATAACAGAGAGACAGAAGTCAGCTTCTCCCAGTGCAAAACCATCCCGAGGTCTGTTAAACCACTCCACAGAGGACAGCTGCTTCCAGAGGCAGTAAGAACTCACACCATCTATGTTTTGCCACCTACGCTTCCGAAACCAGATTCTAAACATCTCATACATAACCAAATACATAAATAGTAAGAAACAAGTATCTCCCATTACCAATCTGAAATGCAATTCTTGCACTGGATGATTCCCATCCAGATACAGGTGAGCAATTCACTTGCTGATTCTACATTACATAATTATATTTAAGAAGTACAGCATGAAACATTTCACATGTTCCAAGAATTCAGTCGATACCAGCAACACAAAAGGCTGCTTGACCAGTAAGGCTCAAGGGTCCCCAACTCACCACTTGTTTTTTCCCCATATCATTGGAAGCAGTTCCCTGGAAGAGGCACTGTGAACAGTTCTCCACTCCTGACGTCGCTCATGCTGAACCCCCGCTAATTCTGAACTAAAAATAAGCTTCTGGCAGCCCGGATTAGCTGGCTATGAACCTCCCTGCCCCTGGGCCAGGGCCCAGTGCTACTCCTGCTGGAATCAATGGTAGTTTGCTCTGGCAGCAAAGCTCGTCCTAAAGAGCACCTGCCCCAAAACCGCATCGCTCCATGCGCCGTTAGAAGTTCAGGTGAGTGCTACTCGGGGATTTTCACCTGACAGATGAAACACCCTGAGTGAGGAAGGGAGAAAAAAAATCAACCTAAGTTTAGCTCGGGGCTCATTGCTTTCATCGATTTCTACGTTGGGGAGGAATCTATCGTTAATTATTTAGGACAGGTCCAAGATCCGCAGCCCTTAGTCGCAGATCCCCAGGGCCCGTAGGAGCACGCCGCCGACCCAGAGCGCAGTGCCGGCTGCAGGAGAAGGGGCCGTTCGGAGCCACCAGCCCCGCACACCGCGCACTCCCGGCACCATTACCGTTCCGTGAGCAGCCGCAGGGCCGCGGGAACGCGCCTAGGAACTCTCCGAGGAGGAAATACACCCGCGGCCGGGCGTCTGTTCAGGGAAGCAGAGCGAGAGGTGCGGCTCCGGTAACGCGGCACCAGCAATGCGTTTGCCCTGCCAGCGCGGTGACCGAGCTGCCCCAGCGGGGGTCGGTTCTTCAAACTCTAACACATACTCTTTACGGGCTTCGCGCTCATCATACTCGTTATCCTGCGAACGCACGGGGACGGAAACGCGAACGCAACGTGGGCTCAGCCCCGGCCCCGCTCCCTCCGCCAGGGCAGGCCCTCCCCGGCCGCACCGAACCGCCGCCAACGCCCGCACCGCGGCCGAGGCCGGAGAAGGCTGAAGGCCCGGCCCCCCACCGCCCTTTTCTGGGGAGCCCCGCCGCGCCCTCACCCGCTCGGGGCCCGCCCGCGGCTCCGCCATGCCGCGCCCGCCGCCGCCGTCCCGGGCCCCGCAGGGAGGAGCCGCCGCTCGCTTCCGCCCCGCCCCGCCGCTACGGGCGCGATCTTCGGCTGCACGGCCGGCCGCAGAGCGGAGCTGCCCGCACGGATTCTCAGGCCGGTGGGCAGGGGGGGAGGGGGCGGAAGCAAGGCCTTTTCCAAACTGGGATTTTGGCTTCCTTCGTCTCGTTATCACTGACACTATTCGCAAATGAAGCGATAAGCTCTAAACGGGAAGAAAATTAAACCACAAAGGGAACGAACACCCGATGCTGTGCTTTTCTGCCAGCTGCCTTTCAATTTATGTCCCACTGCTGTGAGGGGCACAGTACCAGCCCATGCACCGGTCCCTCTCCCACTGCTCCTACTCACCCCGTTCCAGGGCCATGGTGGACTCTGCTTTCCAGCGCGTTTCTCACCAAGGACACCGGCTCTGACTTCACAAGAAGCTAGCTACAAGAGCAGGCTTAGTACAGGAATCACCTCTTGTAGGCAGCACAGCCTTCACCAGTTCATTTTCTCCGGGGAAGCTGGGCTGACAGAATGAGCTGTTTCCTCAGCATCCAATGCACCTGTAATGCGAGATGAAGAGAGTGAGGAACTTGCCAGCTGTAATCACTGTACTCCCTATGAAGAGAACATGCTGCCTTGCCTCAAAGCAACAGGACAAGGGGCTTTGGATTTGATTTTCCTCTTTAATAAATCCATGTTTCGTCAGTTTTCATTCACTTGAGTTGATGGAGGACAAGCCAAGCCCTGCTAGATCATGGCGGCAGCTCTGCCCCACCGAGTGGCCTCAGGTGTATGCTCATTGCTCACAACCACTACATGTCAGTGTGTGATCAGCACTGTCTGGGCTGGTCTGGGACAGACAGAGGGTGCAGGGCAGTGGTAACTTAAGTTATGGCAAATAACTGTGTACATTTTGATATATTAGCTGTACACAGATTGATGAACAACAAAAAACCATGCAGCCATACTGTCCACTTTGATACAGGAATTTGAGAATAGATTTCAAGATTGCAAAAAAAAATTTTTTTTTGTATATTTAAGACTGCAGTCGACATAAATGAATAACCTGTGAATTTTCAAAAGTTGCAATCAGGCATTCACTTCAAAGTTTGGTCATATCTCTTTACCAGACTTTTATAAGCCCTCTCTTGCAAGAGAAAAAAATCTCTCACTTCACAATCACACCTTATTCACATCATCCCTTTTTGGCAGTACATTCATTTGTGAACAGTTGTCAAGGATGAAGTACGAGTAAAACTTCACCTAAAACCAAAACAAACACTCTGAGACCTCCCCCTGAGAATTGTAACCACTGCCATCAAACCAGGCCAGCGTGTTAAGTTTCACAAAAACAAGGTCACATATCCCTCTAGTTTGATGTTTTTGTTGCTCTTTACACAGTAGCTGTATTGCATATTTTATGAAGGCTGCTCTGAAAGTAACACCCTTTATTTTATTATGTTGGCCTGCAATATCAGAAGCAAATGTTGGTAATATGGAGGTGAACCTTCCGACTAATATTCCATTCCATTTTGTTGCCATGTGACAAATGGCAGAGGGGCAGTCTGACAAATTGGCATCTGAGGCAAAATTCTGTCACTGAATTCCTCCATGTGGAAAAAATGCCACCATTCATTGACACTTTCTGAACATTAATGGAGACCAAACAGGATGCAAACACAGTGGGTCACCTTTGCTGGTGCAGGTTTTGATGAGCACGACATGTAGGCTCTTGTTCATCGCTGACAAAATGCATAGCTAATGGTGGTGATCACAGTGAAAAATAGAGCAGATTCTCAGCTACAAGCACTATTAAATAATGTTTTGCTCTTTTTATCTGCTATAGTTTCCATGAAAGTAAAATAGGAGTAATTACTTTCAGAGCAGCCTCTGTATATGTGGCTGAAGACAATTCCTCTTCACACAGTGTGGCCCAAGCAAGCCAAAAGGTTGGACACACGTGAGTAAATGATACATGCAACAAAATAGATTTTTATTTATTCTTGTAGTGGATTGCTCACAGTGTTTCCTTTTTGTACAAAAAAAGGTGCAATTGTAGCATAAAAGCTGTACAGTTACACAGAACACAGTATGATAATATCTCCTATAGCGGCTTCTTTCCTAATCCTCTTCCAAATCCCTTGCATACGAAGACAAATTCTCACAATCCTGACATGAGGATTATTCTTGAAGTAAAACAATCTGTAATCTTCATGGAACTGCCTGCCACTCTGCATTATGTCTCAGTATCTGAGCATATCCATATTGCAGGGACCCACTGGGGCTCATCTTGTGCATGATGGACTGCAGACAACAGCTGAGCAGATGCTTCTTGTAAGTTGTCATTCACAATCACTTGATCAAAGAACTGACCAAACTGAGCTTCCATTTTCTTAGCAGAATCCTCCATTTCCTGTAGATCTTCTTCCTGTGAGACACAACAAATCTCTAAAGCTCTAGTAACTCTAGAGTGAAACAGTCAGCATGGCACCTGCAGAACACCCTGCGCTACGAAAACAAGTGAGTAGCCAAGACAATGCCATTGTACACCATTTCAATTTACAGTTGCTATAACAACTGAAAAATGTTGGCTACAATCATTCTGAATTCTGAAACAGCTGATTGCCATATGCTTCTCACAGAAGTACCTTGAGTCTCAGTATGCTCCACTTGCTCTCTTGCACACATTCTTACTCTGCATTTTAATTTACCTTCTCCATTTTCATGTTTCTTTGTGTCACAGCAAATATGATTTATTTCCATGTATGGTTGTGCACTGAGGTCTCTAAAACTTTAAGATGTTAAGCTTGATTATGGTTTGCATGGAAACAGTGGTGATAAATACACTACACACATTGCAAATGCAAGCTATGTGTTTCCCACAAGCAGGATTTGTGTTCTATCTATAAAAGTCACTATGGAACAGATATCAGTACTGCCAGTAATACATTATACAGCATTTACACACAATGCAGTACATTACACACTTAAAACTGCATGAAAAATATTTTGTTACATCACTGAATGAAGCACATTTGATCCATACATTTCAGTACAAACAGTAAATATGTGTGTTGGCTTAAACCTTGTCACAAGGTAGTTAGTTAAAACTGAAGTATCCCCAATAGTCTCTTTGCATGAAGACACTGGACCAAATGCTTCAATTCCTTATGTACAAATCACAACCCTCCTACTTCAAAGCAAATTTAGAGGGGGAAAATACGAAAATAAAATGAAAAAAAAAAAAAAAAAAGAATTTAAATCTGAACCTCAGGACACAAAGTTGTAAAGATGTAACCGAGTAGCACAGTAGAAGGCATTATATTCTAAACACACAACCCCAGTGTAGCAAGTCATGTCTCTTCCATTCCCACATCTCACCTTGAATTTCATGTTCACATAATAATCTGTAATGATTCTGGCATTTTTACGTGTTTGCCTCATGCAGCTTATGCTGGATGGCTTGATGAATATAATATAGGGCTTTAATTCATGAGTCCGGGCTATTTGGATGCCCTGCAAAGTAGGAGTAAAAACAACTATTTCAGGTGTATTCATCCCAGTTGTATTTCAATAGAAAACCAATTGCTTACAATGTACTGTTACCTCCAGACAGAGCAGTAATCTTTTCCACAAACACCTACTTTAGAATGACCTCACTGATAATCCCTGGACCAGACATTATTAAAGCAAGCATAGCATACCAGTCACTTAATTCTGCTTGACAACCTTATTAGAAGATGCTTTCAATGTCAGTGAGTATCTGGACACTGCCTTTAACAAACTGACAACATTAAAGAGGTCTCTGATTTTAAATAAACAACCACCAAAAAAAACCTATTGAGCTACTTCTGGAGAAGTATTTTTGGAAAAGAAAAAAAAATAAAGATAAAAATTGCAGCATGTAAAGTTGGCCAAGCTACCTCATTTAAAATATAAGTATGCAAATACACAGCAATTCTCCTACCTCCTAGTGACCACTAAAGAATGGTTATGTACCATTACTTCATACCCTTACTAAAACCTGCCCACAAACTCGCATTCTAGAAATTCATGGTGGCATATAATGTAGAAGCAGCGAGATTAAATTTCTTCCCTCCTCCTCCCTCTTATTCAGGAAAAGGGCAGCAGAATAAACCTATGGATGTTTTCAGATGCAGAACAAATACCAAAGTGTAGCCTTACCTGCTTCTACAGCAGCTTGGATTTTGAGTAGTGCTCCGCAGGTATGTAACTTAAAAAATAACAAACCACTGCAAAACTAAGGCTCAGTCTAGCTCACTGTAATCACAGCTTCCACATGAAAGAATAGTCCTTGCTGTACGCAAATATGAAAACTCC